CAAGGAATCTATATATATATCGATTATAACTCCTTAAAATTTACTTTGGTGAACTTTTTCTATTGGGGTCTCATTAGTAAAAAGGATCATTTGCGTCTCTGTATGTGTAGGTCTTGTGTGTATCATCTCGCCACATGTGTGCACAGTGACAGTCAGACGTGTGTCCATGATCCTGTTAAAGAGCTCGTCTCACCTTATCTCATTTTTTTAATTATTACTACTGTTTGCTTTTTAGAATAATCCATTTATTTGCTTTTGTTTGTGTGGATGGATGTGTTTTTGCTGCTACTGGACAAATTTCTCCTACAGGGATCATAAAGTATCTATCTATCTATCTATCTGACTTCAGTACCAGTGCCTCCTGTGCCCACGGATGGCTGAACTAATGATGGCACCTCTTTTAACATCAAGGAGTTGGTTTCACACACAGATGTAGATCCATGTTCACATAAAGGTGACGCTTTGAGCTCGGTCTCTGTTCGCCTCAGAGTCTCAGAAAAGTATGTATCAATTACGCATTTGTCTGATGTATTGTTTTATTAGACCTCAGACTTAGTACAGACTGCAGTACAGAGCTGATACACACTTTCTGGCAGTTCTGTAAACATGCTGCTCAAAGAAATATATTAAAAAAATTGCGCCATATGACATCACAGAGTGTCTAGGAGCTGATTTAGGTCTGGGGGGAGATCCTTCAGGAGAGAATCTGTGGTCTCATCAGCAGCATGTCCCGGCGTGGTAACGAGTATATTCAGGTTCACACACTACTGAGTCTCGTCCAGACTCGCCTGGAGGAATTAGCACAAAAGTTGGATCAGCCTGAGACACATTTTTCACTTTTATTATTTTATTTTGAATTCTGACCTACATTGGGTGAAGATTTTGATTTCCATTAAGCACTCCTCTTTTATTCTGCTCTCAGTAAATTACTTTATTTTTCCATTAAAGAATTTTGACATTACGTTTATATTCCTTAAACAGTGCTACATACTGAGGGGAGTATTGTTTTGGACCCGCCTAGTTTAGCTGCTGTGGACTTTTGAATGCACTTGTTAAATGAATAGGGCTTGTGCCAGTTAACACATGCGCAAATTCATTTTTCCACATTTGCCATTTAGATAAAGACGGCAGGAGGGAAAACACAAGTTAAACATAAGTTTCAACGGCGTGATTGGCGTCACTACGTCTGTTAATGATTACAGTCTATGATTGCAACACTGACATTTCCCCTCGGTGGGACCGTGGGACGAGTACAGCTTGTCTTATCTTACATCTTTGTTTGTTGTTTATCTATTTTTCATTCGTATTCATTAATAACATTACGTAAGTCATTGGTTGTGTAACGTGCATCTGGCCCGGCTTCATGCATAAGAAAACAAATGTAGACCATTAAGAACACATTTTTACTGACGATAGAATCAAACAACTCAAATAGTATCATTATTCTCTCCTCACAGCGTCTAAATACCTGCGTCTCTTTATCACTATCAGAGCTGTCGTCATTAGTTGCATGCTTGATATCTCTGACGTTCCATTCAGATCTACTAATTAGTTGATGTTGTTTCAGCTACATGGAGCCATATGGAGATCTGTTTTTTTTATTTTTTTATTCCAATGTTTAACAGCCGGGTGGTTGCTGTGGGTTTTTGGTGATGTTTGAGTGTAGGTGGAGGTGTGTGGGAGAGGCCTGCGTTCTGTGCATGTAATGAATGCAGCCTCTTCTCTTGACGGTTTGCAACAGAGCTGAGAAACTGCTCTTCCCTTTTGCTGTAAGAGGCTACCGGCAGCACTATAGGTGTGGGAGTTCTATAGACTGTGTTTGCATGCAGTGGGAGTGTTCAGGGAATTTATACTTGTTAGACTAGAAGTGGGAAGTAAAGGGAATGATAAATTATGCTTAGGAGTTATGGACTATGAATTATCTCAATGATGTTCAAGTGTTTTATTGGCAAGCAAAACAAAATATACTATGATTATATGTTTAAATGCAATGTTATGTTTCTGGTATACTGGTACATCTAAATAAAACAAGAATATGGTGATAGATAGATAAATAGATAGATACACAAACAAAATAAATAAAATGATAACAGCACTTCAGGTCATAGCAGCAGATGTGGTGCCGTTGCTTGGTTAGGACATTTTCTCTGCTCTAGTCCAAAAAGTTAGCCTTCCTCCAGTGGATTTTTGACTGATCGCTTGGTTCGAACCATGAATCCTCTCCGCCCCGGTCTAGACCAGTGCAAAACCATGTCAATGCTTACTATAGCTTTCAAAAAGAGAAAACATAAGACTCTTGAAAGTCTTTCCATCTTGTGCACTCAATACGTGGGCCTCATTCTTGTTGGGATTACAGAATCACGTGCAGAAAATATATTTACACAAGAGTATGGCATATCACTGTCAAGAAATGAAGACAAGGCAGCATCTGTTTTTTTTGAGTCCCTTCATTTATGAACAAAAGGAGACAACGTTTTTTATATGATTTATTTCAATGTGCATAAGAACAGAGACGTTGTCAATTGAGATATTAACGTTGCATTCTTCAGATATAGATACTGTAGTAACAATGTGGGTAAAGGAAATTTGCGTTCAGTTCTTCAGAAAATAATGTAAGTAAGTAAAGTAATCTTTATTTATATACCGCCTTTCACAGACCAGAGTCACAAAGCGGTTTACAATTGTTATTATTTTTGGGCATTGGTCCTCTCACTCCACACAGAGATGGGAGCGGGGTCGCCAGTACAGGAGGCGCATGCCAGACCTATTGTGCATGTTTTTAGTGGTAGGGGAAACCGGAGGACCCGGAGGAAACCTACGCAGACACGGGGAGAACATGCAAACTCCACTCAGAAAGGCCCTGGTCCGGCCGGGATTCGAACCCAGGACCTTCTTGCTGAGAGTTGATGATGTTTATAATATAATAATACTAACAGAGGTCCACAGTACAAAATATGCAGGTCAGATTACTCATCATCCTGCCTGATACAAAGTTAGTTTTGTTTTACAATGGCACTATAAGTGAGCTCATGGTATATAGGGGATGGTATAGGCACTTCATTGAGATGAAAGTAGTGCATCCTGGTCCACCTCTTGAAACAGATCATTGACGTCATGAGGACTGCTGCTTTTTTAAGCTAAACGAGTCCAGTATAGACAAATATGTGTGAACCAGTCTTTTCTGTTTATGGCATTAACAATCATGAGTGATTTATCAAGATGTAAAACCATGTAAAATGTTGATTAAAAAGATGTGACATGATGTCCACATTGTTTATTGTATGGCGTTTCATTTGCTGAAGCAGAATGAATCCTTAGGGTTGCCAGATTCTTTGGTAAAATCCGGCTAGTTTAATTCTTACTATCTAAACCCCAGCAGCTGCAGCACATGACGATCTGAGCTAGAGCATCTCCAGCTACATGCTCCACATTTTTATTTAGACTATGACTGAGGACTGAATATGGATTGTGATTCAGTGTCGGATCTTTTAAATCCTCGTATAGGTTTGTCTTCGTCTGGGCCTAGTCTCCAAACTTGTGCAGTCGGACACATTAACGTGCACATATGGTGGCTTGACAACACTTCAATATGGACGGGAGTTGTCTGTGCACTGGTGTCACTGAGCGACTGCAGGAGAGAGAGGGAGAGCGTGGGCCTCCTCTTCTGCGCTGCCATGTGCTTCACCACCTCCTCATCACACTCACCCACCTCACACACACACACACACACACACACACACACACACACACACCCACACACACGCACACGCACACGCACACGCACACGCACACACACACACGTACAAACTGACCCGACTGCATTGAGAATCACGCAGGTGGACATCCTTACTATGCTGTTCAGTGATGACGTAAAACACTGCACTTCCAGGTCCATGCTTAAGTTATATGTAAATAGAAAGACTTCATGTCTATATGTGAAATAAAAAGTGAGGAAAATTTACTTTTTGCAACATTGTCCATTGTCCATTATAAGCTCACAAGTACAGTATCTCCTCACCTCTTGTTCAATGCAGAAGTCACAGAATGGGCTTATTTCAATTAGGAATACTTTTTAACATCAATTTTGAATCCACTGAAAGTATGCTTTTATGGTATTTGTTTGTTAAAGCATTTGTCTTTGGAAACTTTATCTGGTTCGATCCCTGGGCAAGACACTTAACCAGACTTTGCCTGAAGCCCCTGCTGAAAGCGCAGTCATCTTCCTGTGGACCCAATACCTGCAGGAGAATCGCTGAGGGGCTGGTGATAGCGCAGAAATGGATTAATACATTGGTTAAGAATGAATGAACGAATAAAGGGCTTCCTGTATGACAATGGATTGTGTACCATTTGCATTTTCATCAAATCACTTCTCTTTGATAATAATGTGAGATACAAGACACACAGAGATGCATTTTAACACTTATTTTAATTATGTAAAGTTACCAGAATAGTAGGTTTGGAATAGAGCAGGACCAAGACAAGAACCGTGTAACCAATAAAATCTGCCACTTTGTAATGTTGTATTTTTAAAAGGACAGATTTATTTCTCATTTGACGTAATTCATTTCATCTGCATTATTTGTCATTTCCAGTCATTACAGTGTTTAGGTGCATAGCTCTTGTGTGGTGCCTTTTCGGTGCCTGCGTGGGTAGTGGGACATCTCTGGGCACTATATGTGTCTTTGCATTCCCAGTCTCCATCTTTCAGTGTTTTATTTATCCACATGCACGTTGGCCCCTGGAGTGACATTTGTGTTTGTTCTCTTTCTCTTTTTGCTATTTTTATCCTGAAATGGCAGTAGCATCCATCTCAGAAAGAAAAATTAGGAGATGTCCTGTTTTTTTCAGGGGTTTTTTCACCAGAAGCAGAAGTTATACCTGTTCCCTAATAAATTACACCTTGATATGAATTACTGTTCTAAATACAGTGCAGCCCATGCTCAATGTCTGTTTATATCATCTGTGTCTGCAGGATCTTGGCGACAGCTGGGGCTCATATGAACATCCCAGTGGATCTGAGGACCCTGCGTGCGGTCAGAGTGCTCCGGCCGCTAAAGCTGGTCTCTGGGATTCCAAGTAAGTCAACACAAACAATTGTATGTGTTCATGTTTCTGCTCTGCTCTGCTACAAAAGGGGAAGAGCGCAGAGCAATATGGTAAGACAAATACTGAGACTTATGGTTTCTTTTATTTTACTGTTTTAGATCAATATTGAGATCCCACATCCACTCAATATTTAATAATGAGCCATGGGTGTCATAGATTATCACTATATCTGGTTTGCAATTATGGTAGCTTTACAGAATATCTATATTTCTGAGCAACATGTGATTGCAATGTGATATTTGATCCTGTGTGTTACTAAAAAGACGTTACATTTCAACCCTTATCTGTATTTGATAAACAAGATTCAAGTTAAATACATATACATGCCTGAAACAAGTAGTTTAAAAATATATTTTCTGCTAAATTCTAGTCCGACCTGAGCTGTGCACATGTGTTATTTGGAATGAAAAATCATACTTCTGCCCTACAGCAAGATGACACCACTCAAATCAAGATTTTCCTAAAAGCAATTGATAGCCTTTTGTTTTCAAAGAACATATATAACTGCAGTTTTTGCAATTTGCAAATTGAGACCACAGAAATTGTTATTTTAATTCAATTGCGATTAAATGGCAGCCCTAGTATTTTTTCCAACCTTACCCCCACAACTATTTCTTTAATGTTTTCTGCTTCCCTAATAGTGGCTGTTCTTGCCCCCAGGCCTGCAGATCGTGCTGAAGTCCATTATGAAGGCCATGATCCCACTGCTGCAGATCGGCCTCCTCCTCTTCTTCGCCATCCTCATGTTCGCCATCATCGGCCTGGAGTTCTACAGCGGGAAGCTCCACCACACCTGCTTGCCCTCTTTCGACATCCTCTGTACGGTGCAGCAAACTTTGCCAAATTAAAAAGCCAAGCAGAGATGATAATTGCTTTCTCAGTGTGTGTGTGAGGAAAATTGTTTTGCTCTTGTTGAACTTTGGAGTGAGTCCAAATGGAGTGGGAGTTCGTATGTTTAACCAGTGTTGCGTAATATTTGTGCTGTTGAAACTTTCTGTATTGAGAAGCTTTTATAAAAATGCCCTTGATTTACTCCTCAATCAATTCCCACTCTCGCAGGTCAAAAGCTTTGAGTGATAACCGAAAGGACAAGGTTGCGGATACAAGTGGTCGAAATGTCCTGCTCTCTTAGAATTAAATAGGATCGAGGACAAGTTGAGGAGGCTTGGGCATCTGTTTTGGTCACCTTCTGGGCATGTCCCACTGGGGAAGACCCTGGACACACTGGAGCCGCTATGTCTCTTCTTAGCTGCCTTGGGAACACTTCAGGATTCCCCCAGATGAGCCAAAGAGAGTGCATGTACTGGTGCCTCTCTGCTTAGATTGCTGCCTCTGCAACCACAGAGGACCTTGGCATTGTGGCTAAAGCCGTTTTATAATATTAATACTGTAATATCAAGATAACGGATACATTGTGGTTGTTGATTTGTTTTTTCTTTCCCATTGAATCAAAATAATAGTTGTTTGATACATACAGTAGTAATTTACCATTCTGAAGTTCCTCTGAAAAGTTAGTTGTATTTTTACATCCAATATTTATTTATTTATTGTTTATTTGGCTATCCATAGATAGGCAGATTTTCATCACAGTAACAAACACACACATTCACCCTGGACTATTGTGCCCGTTTTTGGTAGTAGGGAAATCGGAAGAAACCTACACTAACTGCTGTTCCAATGTGCCGTATTGTTTACCACTCATTTCTTAGTGCAAAACAAGCAGTTTGTCTTCCTCTTCACTCACAATAGCAGCTGAGGGGTATTATAGAGATGTTGTTGGCTAAATTATCAACTGCCTAATCATTCCTCATGGACTGTGTAATCAGAGGCCACACCACTGCATTTATGGTCTCTGCCTGACACAACTTGGAGACAACTGAACCTACTAACCGGCTCTTATTTCTCGCACCATGTCCTCCTTTTCCAGACAATGAGACGGTGGATTCTTCTGAGTTGGCGTTTGCATGTGGCGTGAGGAAGTGTCCGGAGAAATACGACTGTAACGACACCTGGATTGGGCCAAACGATGGAATAACGCAATTTGACAATATACTTTTTGCCGTCCTCACCGTCTTCCAGTGCATCACGATGGAGGGATGGACGGCTGTGCTCTACAATGTACGCTTCAAATACACATATTGTATTTTTTGGATTATAAATGGCTCCGGAGAACAAGTCACAGCAGCCGAAAATGCAAAATAAAGAAGGAAAAAAACATATATGAGTCGCACTAGAGCATTTTATTAGCTTAATCACTCAACTTAATAGCCTGGACTATTAATAGATTTTTTACGGGAAATAAAATATAAAATGTAAAGAAGCAATGTGTAAACCTCTGGCCAAAACTGGTACTGCAACCTCTCCCACTCTCCCTGACTCAGGTTGCCAGATATGCAGATGAATCTAGCTGGGACCATAAAGACAGAAATAACAAGAGTTTTGTCAACAAGAAATCTATAAACAAGATTTAGGGGTTGTAAAACTGATTTTGAAATTTTATCAGTTAAAGAAGTTTTGGAAAAGAGCATGTTTTATTAATGCCTTTTGACAGATTAGGGCCCTTTAATGATGACTTGACATGGAAATCTCACATATTGCTACTTTAAAATATAACAAGTATAAATCGCACCCTGGCCTAACGTTGACAAAAACTGCAACTTTTAAACAGAAAAAAAAAAAAATTATTTACTAAAAACAATCTCATCATGAAATATGGACACTAAATCTTGCTTTTGTAATTGTTTTTCTATACTTTTTTAGACCAATGATGCTTTGGGAATCACATGGAATTGGTTGTATTTTATCCCCCTCATCATCATCGGTTCGTTCTTTGTGCTCAACCTGGTTTTGGGTGTTTTGTCTGGGTAAGTAGCAGTTTTCTATACAGTATAAAGTGATGAGTAATACATTTTTTGTTATCTTGTTGTTGTTATTTTATTTCAGTGAGTTTGCCAAAGAGAGGGAGCGAGTGGAGAACAGACGAGCCTTCATGAAGCTGCGTCGCCAGCAGCAGGTGGAGCGAGAGCTGAATGGTTACAGAGCCTGGATAGACAGAGCTGGTATACTTTCAACTTGAAGGGACTTTATTATTATGAAAAATTATCTTCATACACTTTGGTGTAGCATTGTTCCCTCATTCAAACAAAGTTATCTAGAGTTATCTAGTTATCTAGATCCATCCATGATAATATTAGAAACTTCTGGTACAAATTTGCGCAAACACAACCCCCCCTCAACCCTCGGCACAAAGGCTCATAAGCCTCTAAATTAGTCTGGGCTATATCTCCTGTCTTTTCAATCTTACAATAGTGTACAATTTTGTGCAAATTAAGCACTTTGGGTGACCTTGGTCTGTAAAAATGCGCTATATAAATAAACATTACTAACTTACTTTCAATTAGAACAGAATAGAGTATTTTCTTTTTTCATCATACTTTTGTTCGTTCATGTTACATTCAAAATATAATAATAAAAAATATATATAAAGGACTTGAAAACAATAGGGCGACAGTGGCTCAGTTGGTAGAGCATTGGCCTTTGAGCCTGAAGGTCGTGGGTTTGAGTCCACCATGAGACCTTCTCCACTAACTCCCACTGATGACTGCTGTCGTTGTGTCCTTAGGCAAGACACTTAAACCCACTTTGCCTGAAGCCCCCACTGAAAGATCAAGGCTATGCACTCACTGACAGAACAGCCTTTCTCCTGTGGACTCACCAGCTGCAGAGGATCAGTGAGGGGCTGGTGCTATGTGACTTGGGTGGCCCCGAACCCAGAAATGGATTAAGGGGTAGAAAATGGATGGATGGATGGACTTGAAAACAAATCCATAAAATGAAATATAATAATAATTTTTTTTTTGGAATACAGTCTGACTTCTTCATTCATTGACATGCAAACAGTTTATTCAGACATCATGGAGACTATCTATAATCTGGTGCAGAACATGTCTGTCTCTCTGAGCTGTCTCTGTGCACTGTCCCTTCAATGAGGATGAAATAACTAATTCACATTTCAATGCTAATGCAAGGAAATTAATCTTGTTAGTATATTTAATGGTGAGTCATGTATTTCATATTGAACTCTGAGGTAACCTGTAATCCCAAACCCAATTTTTTTGTCCTGGTTTGAACCCAGTTATGTACCGATGTAGATTTGATCTGCTCCTCTTCTTGTCCTGGTTTAGTCTTGATTAATTCCCGGCTCAGTTCACAGGCTGCATGTGACCCATTTGAGGATCTCTGCCCTTTTGAGTGAAACACAAGACAGGGTGAAACCATTTTCTCTTCTTGTATCTGACAAGTATATTTGCCTTTAGATGAAAAAACACCTTCAGAGATACTCATACATTCGCAGCAGCGCCGGAGAACATCTATTTAATACGCTGGTCAAATGTCACTTGTCAAAGCGAGTGGTGGAGCTCCGTCTCTGCTACTATAGGAGTTACTGTATATCTGTGTAGCTGTAATGGCTATACCACATGGCTGGTCACCCACGCAATCGAGGGTGCGGAATAGGTGATATTGACTCACTGACTTAAATTTGTGGCCGTGCTGGCAAAAGAGAGAGGGAGAGTGAGAGAGCCGATCTGTATATGTTAGTGAGTGCGAGTCGTGGGAGAGTGTGGGACGGCAGAGACAGCAAATGGAACACAGAAAAAGAAATGTGATTTCTAAACAAGGTCATGCAGGCCTCTGGATGCTGCCTTTGCACCACTTTGGTCTTTGATGCTGTGTTTGCAGACAGCCTGAGGAATGTAAAAACTGTTATTTGTACAGTATGTATTTGTGGTTGGTACATTATGATAAGTATATTTCTGTGTGTTTTTGTTTTACAGAGGAGGTGATGTTGGCAGAGGAGAGTAAAAACTCAGGGAGATCACCATTAGACGGTGAGTTATGAATGGGAAGGCTGTATCTCAATCTTTAAAACAGTTTATGGGTAATAATAACAGATATAATAGAATAATGATGAATGCTAACTAACTTCCTACTATCAGCATCTATTACTATTACAGTGTCTGTATCGAAACCATTTCATTGGTTGACGATCTTTCAATTACATCCTTGCTAGACCGTATTTAAACTGCACCAGCTACACTTCCTGGTGTCATCTCTCTCTGTTCACATAAACGCACCAGGAAGCAGGAATGTGTGCTACTTCATCAGCTCTGGAGATCAACAGCTGTGTCTATATATTCCTGCCTGCACATATATTAAAAAATATTTAAATAAAAATCAATAAAAATGTTTTTTTGACAAGAGACATTGATTTTCTTTCTTATAAAAAAAAGAAAACAAATCATCATTCAAAGCTCTCTTCATTCAAACTTTTATTCCTGAACCTATTTTACAGCACATGGCATGGTTTCTCGGCCTATCAAGATAGAAAAAAGTATCAATTATTATATTTATAATTTATATTATTTATAATTTATAATTTATATTATATTAAAGTCATTTCAATAATCTATAGTTAGAATTCATTGGGCAGTAGTTGTCACCATTGATTACCTTCTTGCCAAATGCTTTTTTTCTATTTTGATTTTTACGTTTAAGTGTCTTGTAAGAGATTTGATTTCATTTGATATTTTGCCCCTGTATGATAGTGCTAAAGCGAGCAAGCAAGAAAACTGGTGCGAGAAGAGGGGCCCCGGGAGACGACAAGACGTACACAGATATGTCCACAGCAAGTGAGTCTATGATGAAGTTACTGTTTTTAGACGACCCATAGTTATGTCCTTTAATCCATTCATTACAATCAACGCTTTTTAAACAAATGGTCGTGAAGTGAAAATGAATCCCCAGTTGTCACGTAAATATACTTGCTAATCAATATATATAAATCAATGAGAACACTAAATATACGTAGTTACATGATACATAGAGACAAACCCCAAAAGAATGTATGCATACACAAGGACGAGGGTGTAGAAGAAGAGGCTCTGGCAGGCCTTAGCCGGAGAGTTCTTCAACATAGTGTTGGTAGACACAGGGTCTAGAGCAGGTGTGGGCAAGGTTTTAGTTCCAACAAGAGCAGGAGCCGACCAGACTCCACGCATTTCCTCAAATATTCAGATTAAAACTGGACTCACGTGAGCAAATGGGTGGAGTCTGTGGAACTAAAACCTGCATCCACACTGGCCCTTTGAGGACCAGTTGGTCCACCCTTGGTCTAGAGGTCCCCACACATATGCATAGGAGGGATGATGTCAGATGATGAAGTCCTGATCAGGACACAATAACGTCCCCAAACAGAGAGACCATTGGCAGCAGAAAATGCATTCCAACACCAGTTCTCCTGTAGAAAATATGAGATGCGGGGCTGTCCTTCAGCCGTTCTCCTCCTCAGATAGAGTAATTCACCAGTGACACATGTCTGCTTCTTCTCTCTTGTGTCCTTGAGGTATGTCGCGGTGCAGGATGAACTTCCGCAGTGGTCGCCGCGGCCCGGCTGCTTACCTGCGCCGCAAAGAGAGGATGTTACGCATCTCCATTCGGCGCATGGTGAAGACAGACACCTTCTACCTGATGGTGCTCAGTTTGGTGGCTCTCAACACCATCTGTGTGGCCATCGTGCACCACAACCAGCCCGGCTGGCTCACCATCTTCCTCTGTGTGTACAAGGCAAAATACATGAATGTGAAGCATAGGTGCTAAACTCTTATATTTATCTCTCTACAGACTATGCAGAGTTTGTGTTTCTGGGGCTGTTTTTGGCTGAAATGTGCTTGAAAATGTACGGTCTTGGATTTCGACTTTACTTTCATTCATCGTTTAACTGCTTTGACTGTGCGGTGAGTTACTGTCAATCGTTAAAATGTAACTGTATTGGCAAACATTGTAAATATTCTGAATTCAACATTTTGAATTAAAGCCCCAGTACGTAACTTTTTAAGCCAAAAACTATTTATGGTTCTATTAGCGTAAATTGTTATGGGCATGTGCCACGGGGAGGAGACCCCAGGGAATAACCAGGGCACACTGGAGGGATTATAGGTGTTCACACGGGCCTGGCCAGGGCCGGAGTGGGACAACATTTCAGGCCGGGAGCTTTACATCCATTCAGGCCAAACAAGGTTCTAAATTTGGGTTTTTGTCATTGTATTTTGATGTTCTTTTAATAGTTTTAAGATTGACTGTCAAAACTTTTGTTTTCTTTATTTTTTTTTTATATTGACTGTTTATATAATCTCGGACGTTTAAGGATTGTTGTACGTTGCTTAGCAACGTAACGTTTATGGAGTTTAGTGAGAATAAAGACACACACACACACAATGAACTAAGTGTTCATTAGTGTATAACTATAACAAGCTAATCAATTATTGTTAAAAAAGTAGTAAGGTAAAATCACATCGTTACAGCTCATATAAAAGGAAAAATAAAAACGTGTATGAACCATCAGTTGGAGAGACCACTCATTTCAACCGGGGAAGCTACACTGGGTGCACTGCTAGGCTGGCCTGGCTGTGTAGCCGACGTGTGACGTCACATTTGTTTAATTTTGCTCTGGCCCAATGACAGTAAAGCTTTGGCCAGTGTTGTGCCAGTTCACAGCTTTTCTGAACTAGTTCAAGTTCAGTTCATACATGCTCAAAGTGAACAGTTCACGTTCAAAGTTCTCAATTTTAATTCTGAACTAGTTCAAATTTCAGTTCATTTTACTTTTTGCGAGATATTCAAATAAATATTTGTTTTCACTACGAGCTAGAAATCACAATATGTGGTATATATATATATATATATATATATATATAATTATATATTATATCCTGTACACTGCACAGGATGTTTTGACTCCAATGCAGACAAGATTTACATGGGTTTCAATGGGAACTGAGTTGTCCCATCTCTGCTCATAAGTACAAACTGTAATGCGCTGCAGAACGTGTGTCTATACTTTATGTCAAATGTAAACGGCCCTGTGTCACTGACTTACCCCTGTGTTTTCATCACGGCACATGTGAGTCCAACAACCAATGAATAGCACTAGCATATAGCGCCGCACCGCAAGTACACCGTTAATATAATACATCCATGAAGTACACTGAGTCGGGGTGCGTTCACAGACGGTGGAAACCGTAGGAATTTTTAGTTTTCAGCGGAAACAGTGCGGAGAATACAGGAGGGAGGAACTTTCTCTCGTTGCGTTTCAAAAGAGAAAACAGATTTCACTCAGTTTTAAATGGAAAACAAATTGTCTGCCGTTCATGACACATAATATGAACTAATTCACGTTCAAGTTCTTTATTAAAAAATGTGTTGCGTTCAGTTCAACGTTCACGAAAAAATGAGCGTGTTCAATGAACGCGTTCTTTTGAACTTGTTCACGCACAACACTGGCTTTGGCCTGGGCCTTGCTCATTTGACCAGGCCACCAGGCAGGGTAGGAGTTTGCAAAGACCGTGAGGATGAAATTAAATTAAAAGAAAAAAAAAAAAAAAACCGTGATGATAGGGCAGGCCCAGGCCACTTTGACACGCAGGCCACCGGGAGATCTCCCAATGCTCCCGATGGCCAGTCCGGGCCAGGGCCTGGCTCTACACATTAGCAGACCGAGCCCGGCCTGGGCCTGCTCTGAAGTAGGGCCCAGCGGAGTCTGCTTTAGCAGCACCACACTACTCACTTTGAGAGTGTGAAAACGCCTCATGTCTCTCGGCTGGCCTGAGAACGCTTCAGGATTCCCTCAGATGAGCTGGAGAAGTGTGTGTGGAGATGAAAGTTCGCAGCTGCTCTGTTTTAGACAGCAGCATAAAATATGTTCCATTGAATCTTGCAGGTGATTTTCCACGTCTACAAAGTTACGTACTGTTGCTTTTGTAAGTGTTCTATTGTGTTTAGTCATATTAACATAGGGACCAACTTTCATGAACAATATCAAGAGATCTTGTCCATTTGTCATAATAAGTCCATTTTATTTCACGTCTTTTGCAGGTGATCATTGGCAGCATCTTTGAGGTGGTCTGGGGTTTCTTTCGGCCCGGAATGTCATTTGGCATCAGTGTGATGAGGGCTTTGAGACTTTTACGAATTTTTAAGATTACAAAGTGAGCATTTAGTTGTAGGAAGAGCAGAAACAGACGTTTACTGACATCACTGTAAAAGCATGTTTCTTTTGCAGGTATTGGGCCTCACTGAGAAATCTGGTGGTTTCTTTGATGAGTTCTATGAAGTCCATCATCAGCCTGCTCTTCCTCCTCTTCCTCTTCATTGTGGTCTTCGCTCTGCTTGGGATGCAGCTCTTTGGTGGAAGGTGAACAAATACACCATTTGTAATGAAACTGGTTATTCGATATAAACAAAAAATCCAACATGTTGTGATATAATCTATGCAATGACTGTGTTGATGGCTGTAATATTTGGCATTTATTCATCGCGAGTTTACATCAGCAAGTGTTGGCTATAAATAGGTGATGAGTCTTGGAGTTACATGAATGAAAATCTCCTCCTCTGGTCTCCTCTGATGTCCCCTGGTGTATTCTTGTCTCCTCTGGTCTCCTTTGGTGTCCTCTGGCTCCTCTAGTCTCTTCTAGTCTCCTCTGATCTCCCCTTGTCTCCTCTAGTCTCCTCTGTCTGGTCTCCTCTAAACCCTCTGCCTCTGTCTGCTCCCACTTTAGGTTCATCTTTGAGGATTACACTCCCACCAACTTTGACACGTTTCCAGCTGCCATCATGACGGTGTTTCAGGTTCGCCTCTTTCTGAATGCTTCACATGACACATTACACCATGGGAAATGTCTCACCCCGAGCACAAAGACAAGCACTCTCTGTCTATCCCCCACTCTCTCTCTCGCTCTCTCTCTCTCTCTCTCTCTCTCTCTCTCTCTCTCCTCTCCCACCACCTCCGCTACTCGCCCACACAACCATCTTCACAAATGCATGCGAGTCAGACATGATCGTTACAACATTACATGACTTTACAAATAGATCTGCTGCAAAAGGCGATGAAAGGAACAAATACTACTTGTGAGATGCACGTTGGGTGGTCTTGTACAATTATTCTAATGTGGTTTTACTGCAAATTTAAAATAAACTGTATCTTGAATCTTTAATACATATTAACTGTATTTCCCCAGTGTGTAGCTATATGTTTACTCCAAATACTTTTCTTTTTTTCTTTTTTACGTATTTAGTGTCAATTATTGTCTCTGGGGAAACATACACCACTTGAATGAAACCATACAGCTACACTTTATATTCAAATAATTAATAATTAATAATTTGTCTTTGTGGTTGAGTAGTTAAATACCATGAGCAGCTTCTGATTCTGGGCAGATCTTTCCCTTTTCTATTTCTTAAAACAATTGCACATCTGATTGTAATATAATAAAATATAGAAAATCAACTCTGTCAAATGTATTTCATGACTGAGGACTGCAATGACTCATGTAGTGTGTTTTTCTACGCAGATTCTGACCGGAGAGGACTGGAATGAGGTGATGTATAATGGGATTCGCTCACAGGGTGGAGTACAGTACGGCATGTGGTCGTCCATATACTTCATAGTCCTCACGCTGTTCGGAAACTGTATCCTTCTGCAGGCGAGAAAGACTCATACTCGTACTCACCCCAACATACTCTCGCACATCTGCTTAGGAACACGAGAATCCATTTATACGTGTTATATTACGTTCTTAACAAATCCAACAGACACACTGCTGAACGTCTTCTTGGCCATCGCTGTGGATAATCTGGCAAACGCTCAAGAACTTACAAAGGTTTGTGCACTCACAGATCTTAAATGGTTTGTATAATGCTTTTTATGACAGTGACAGTAAGATAAGATAAGATAAGACTTTAGTGATCTCACAATGGAGAATTGTACATTTGTCACATTTGGCATGAATGGTATCAACTCGGGTTTTGCAAAAGACAGTAAATGTGCAAACATGTTAAAAGGAGAAAAATCTGTTTCTTTTGTGTAAGATATATTATGTAGAATACAATTAAAAAGTGATTATATCAATACAAGTTGTTTCAGTCCTAGTGCAGGTTTAATATACAACATGTGTTTTGACAGGATGAAGAAGAAGAGGAGGAGTTTTTCAACCAGAGGTATGCCAGAGGGAGAGACGGCTTAATATCGGAGTAAGTTACTGGTTTTATCAAGTTGTGTGAATGTAAATCACAGCATCCACATTTCTTGGCACTTCTCAGTGACTTCTGTCTGCATGTTGTAAGGATTTTGCAGATCAGTTGCATTCTTGTCGAGGCCTGTTTGGCTCCAGTCTGTTTTGCATGGACAAAGGCATGTTTCAGATCTAAAACTGAATGATGCCTGTCAAAAGCATGAGTCTACATGCACATGAACTAGCCCAGTATTAAACGTGTGTTTCTTGGCCTGTGATTGGACGCCGTAGGTGGTGGATGACTTCCTGGTTTCGGCACATGCCTTCATGACATTTTCATTTAGTGAGATGTAAAGTTTGCTCTTATACAAAAGAACTTGGTCAGTTTTTTTTTCCTGATGAAACTTTTTGTGAATCTGATCGTTTCATTTGTCTCTTGTTTGTCTTTATTTACATGTAAATGTTGGTCTTGTGTTGCAGATGTCTGGAGAATTTGAATTTCTTTGCTCTGCTGAATTCATCATGTCTTGTTTTATGACTGTTTTACTGCACTGACCAAAATGCTAAGAGTAATATTTGATAATATAATATATATATTTTCTAAGAGTAATATTTGATGCCTGGGTGGAGTTTGGATGTTTCACTGATAATCTTTTTCTGAAAGACTTGATTTAATATTCTCAATACTCATTACATTTAGTAATGGAATTATCACAGAGGACATATTTTTGTCAGTGTCAGAACGATGTTCTGTGTCCAACACTAATGTCTTGTTTTCAAACGGTCACTCATTGATTTCATGGACCACAAGAATCTGAAGACCAGTAAGTAAACATGTAGCATCTCTGTCTCACCATCATCCTCCTTCTTTTTCTATTCAGCCTTTTCAGATATTGTTTTTACTGGTAAAATTTCAATCCTGCTCTTCTTTTTCTTTAGATTTTGTCCAATACTTCATTTTACCTATTGAAAATATGTTTTTTCAAGTATTCAAGTATTTTACATGTTCTAGATATTTTTTGAATACAGTATATTGTATCCACAAATGACTCTAAACTATGAGTCATGTAAATTAAGAATATAAAAATAATCTACAATCTGACATGGTGATAGTAATAGGGACTGTTGTTTTCATAGTGGGAGACGCAGACCCTACCTGTACAGGAAGCGGGCCATCCACAGAGGCCGACCCAACGTCCCGGAGGAGGCTGATGCTGGCTTCGTGGCCCCGGACGAGCAGCCTCTTAACAGTTCTAAAGCTTTCTCTAATCGCCGTGAGCGACGGAGGAAAGTCAACATGTCTGTGTGGGAGCAACGGGCCAATCAGCTTCGCAAACGGCGTCAGATAGCCAGTCGAGAGGAGTTATTCAGCGGTCCCACAGAAGACACCGCAGAGACCCCCACTGTTCCTGCCCTGTCTCCAGAAGGGAAGCCAGCCCACCTGCCAGAGTCACCCATGTCCGAATCAGACCCACCCATGTCTATCACCATTCCCATCCCAGAGCCCCCCACCTCAGAGCCTCTGGTCAACATCTCAGAGGAGAAAGCCCCACCATCCAATCACCGCAGCGCAGGGGCCACCAGGCACAGAATGGCCCGTAAGTTCAGACACAGTCAGGGGCCGGAGGACGGGGCGCGGCACCGGAGACACCGGCACAGAGAGGCCCGAGCCGAGGCCAAGAGTCTGGACTGTACACTGGCTCCAAACGAGGAGTTGCGGGTCAAGAGGTCCCTCAGCCAGGACCCACGAGTGCTGGATGAGCAGGATGAAAAGGAGGAAGATCGAGAGAAAACAGACGTTGTACATGACGAGGATGGAACGTGTATCGTGAATCCATATGCTGAAGTGGGAGACAACAGCAGAAAGTAAGTTTGACATTTTTGTGGTTTATATCGGATTGATTGTCAACAAATCTATACAAGAGAAACCATCATTTTGTTTGTGCACAATATTCAACCTTTAATGCATACATTTTTGTAGACTTCGGACCTCCTGTGACACCTAAAATTCTATAAACATGTTGATGTTGATGTGGTTGTGTTCATTCCTGTTGACAAAAACTCCCCACCTGAATCCCAGATCTTCCCACATCGACTCGGACACCACAGACCAGTCTCAGTGCCAGCCGCTGGTTGACTGTAACTGGTTGGGTTATTCTGATGGTCAATCTGATCCGTTTGAGCCACAGCCAACTCCACAAGAAGCCACAGAGTACAGCGTCTGCAACACAGAAACCGACAACCACCCCAGAACCACCGGATCCTTCAAGCATCACAAAGTAGAGGGCAGTGTGGCCATTGACATGTCTTCTCAGCCTCTGCTGGAGCTCACACCCATGACAGGTACCACTCTTCTCATCAGGCCGTGACAGGAGCCAATATTCTCCCGGTCTTTGCATTAGAGAGGAGGCGATGGTTGTCTGCATGAGAGCATTTGAAATTGTGCTCAAGCCTCACAGTGATGTGCCCATTTGGTACTTGGAACAGGAATATGTTAATTAATTTGGAAATGTATCAAGTTTAGAGTTGGAGCAGCACTCACTCTCACTTTGGCCTCTAGTTCTCGTGCTTGTTTGCAAAGATTTCTCTCCTCTTTAGTGTCACATGTGAAAACCGAAATATTTAGTTAAGTGTGACAACATTTCTCTCTCAAAAGGTCAAAGCTGCAGCAACTCAACAGCTAAAATCGGATTTTCTTTTTGACTTTATGCAAAGTGCATTTTCCGTTTTGTCTAAATAAAAATACAAAAGAGTCTTTGGACGAGAAAAAGGATGGAAGTGGGTAGAATTGATTTGGTAAGCTAACATTTTGATAATGATTTAATAACAGCTGAAATGTTAACTGCTAACTTAATGTCAGCAACTAGCAAGTAGTGCTCATCAATCCAAGGTGGTTTATTTAGTTTGTGGAATAATAAAGGTTAAAAAAAATACCTCGGCAGAATTAACAATTTTGTGGGGGCATTAAAATCATAAACAATGTTTTTCCTACCTAGTTTAGTGGTTGAGTGAAGCCATTTAATGTAAAGTCCTTCAAACATACCAACTTCAAACTCACCTCGCGTTCATTTAGGTTCAAATTATTTGCTTTGAAAAAAGTTTAAATAATCAGGGTTTGAGCTCTTAAATGACTTATGAGACTTTACAGAGCATCTTTCAAATGTCTCCTGACTGTAGTGAGCGGGAAGGAGCTGGAGGTTTACCAGTGTGAACAAAACGCAAAAGATGATGATGAAACAGACGATGATGACGATGATGAGGATGATGATGAGGAACCACCACCCTTACCTCCACCCAAGCCGCCAGTCCCCGACAGCATGTTTGTCTTCAAGGCCTCTAACCCGTAAGTCAGTGTAGATCAAATACGGAGCTTTCCAAATGTGACAAGTTACTGATAGTGTTTGTGTCTGCAGCATCAGGAGGATCTGTCACTATGTTGTAAATCTGCGATACTTTGAGATGAGCATCCTTCTGGTGATTGTGGCGAGCAGCATCGCTCTGGCAGCGGAGGACCCAGTGTGCACCAACTCAGAGAGAAACAAGGTGTGGAGCCATGGTCCTACTGATTTAATGAGAACTATGGAATAATGCACAAAAGCCTATTGCCACTGTCGCACTTTGACTCTGAGTCTGTATGACAGGTTTTTAGAATGTTTTGGCTGGACACTACTTGTTGTAAATATTACACCAATTTGGAAGAAATTATGTTGAATATGTTGCAAATTAGATTAAATTGGCAAATACAATTTCTCCATCCAACAAAAAGTAATCATGTGTGTGTTCTGTGCTTTAGGGAACACACAAATGGGGTCATAATTTTCCAACCAAAATTTGAATATAAATTTAATTAAAGTTAGAAATCAATCCAAACTGGTAATAAAGCTGTACATTACAAACTATTCTTGAATAAACTATATCATATTTTGTATCTTAAAACAAGTAAGATTTGCCAATGGGAATAAGTCATTTTTGCGTGTTCATTTGGCAAATCTAGTTTTTAGACCAACAATACATAATAATTCTATACAGTGTATTGAAAAAAGTATTATGTTATATTTTCACATGTTTCCAGGGGTTTCACTTACTTGACCTGAGGAGACACATAAGTGGTTGATTTGCATAAGTATAAGTAAGAAAGTGATTAGATATCACTGGAATTGGTTGGGTTTTTTTTGTTACTGATATTGGTGGCATAATCTAAATATATTCTTACAAAAAAGGCAACTGCTGTGGTTAAAGGTGATGTCAGCAACTTCTATTGTGTTATTATAATGCATATTTTTGACCCCATAGTATCATCTATATTGAGTATAGTTGAATAGTTGGAGGAATTGTGAGGGGCAACAGCTCAATACACAGAAATGAATGATTTTGTAACCAATCCGGGCCCTGTGGGGGCGAGTCTTACTTGCATTCAAAAAAACGTCTCTTCATCCTCCCAAATAGAAAAGTTTGTAACCGACATGTCCTTCTGTTTCCTTCACATCAGGTCCTGCGTTACTTTGATTACGTCTTCACCGGAGTGTTCACCTTCGAGATGATCATAAAGGTGGGAGTTTGCTCGTTCCCATTCCTCTCCGCAGTCCCTTTGTCGGACCTTTTACATTCATGCATTTATGTCCTGACCTCCAGATGATCGACCAAGGCCTCATCCTTCACGACGGTTCATATTTCCGCGACATGTGGAACTTGTTGGACTTCATCGTGGTGGTGGGAGCTCTCATCGCCTTTGCCCTAACGTGAGTCATGGTGATGCTGCTGCTGCTTCTGATTACACACTGACTCACTGCACCAATGTACTCAACGACCTCGCTTTAAAATGTATTTACCGCTAAAGAAACTTGTCATGAAGATTTATATGTACAATTTGCATTAAACCGTCTATTATAATGACTTTACTAACTGTGTAATGTATTTTACTGTTGTTTAGGGATGTCACGATACCACATTTTAGAGTTAATCACGAAAAACACTGCAATTCTAAGCTGGGGTACCGGATTGCCACAACATAAGTTCACATTTCAAAAATACCAACCTGCTCATATGAATCATTGGCTCAGCACCGCAACATTTTTTTTATGACAGCCCAAAATGCCCAAAGTGTTGTAAATCTGTCTCATTTTGATAGACGCACTTCCTGGAGAGAAAACGCAAAGCCATTCACACTTAAATGCGATATTATTAACTTTCAGTAGATTTGATAAAAATATAGCCATGCGTGTATTGTTTTTTTATTTAAAGTAGTAATTTCCTTCCTGCAGTTTCCTGAATAGACACAATGCATTAATATTCTTGATTGACAGACCAATTCTTGATTCTTGATTGACCAATGGAGAGGTTAAACTATTTTCCTCCAGAAACATCATCACATTTATCATATATTTTATGACTCAACTTTTTGCTTGTTATATGATTTAAACAGACATGAAACATTCTTCGAAAACAATAGACTCAGCTGAAATGACTTTACTTTGCTTCTCAAAATTCTTACGACCTACATGAACAAGAGAATCCATACTCCAAAGTATTATGACATCCCTGTTGTGTTTCGTGATTTTCAATGTGGCAAACGACTAATACTTTTGTGTTTCTTTTGTCGCACTGTAGAATTTCTGTGACTTTCCGTGTTGTGAATATAGCTGTGATCCTCAATTTTTCTCTTTTGCCTCAATTTTCTCTGTTGTTCCTGTGGATTTTGTCACTGTTGGGGCTTCCAGGAATGTGATGGGGTAAAAAAAATCACACTTTTATTGTTGTGTCGTCACCATTGTGTCCCGGTTTCAATGTTATGTTGCATTTTGACTCATATTGTCCAACAGTCTACACATCTGGTCCACTTAATGTCTCAGTATTTTGACAGGTTGAGTGGTGAGTTGAGGTTTGGAAGATTTCATTCATATCATCAAGTGAATGTGTTTTTGTTATTAATTTTTCATTTAGGAAGAAAAGTTACATCAGCTCTTTGATCTGTTGTCAAGTATTATATGGAAGTAACTCAGAGTCGAACATAATAACTAAGTCATTTATTATCCACATTTTAAAGAGGAGGAATTATGCATCACTTTTTCCCCTTAAACATAACAATTGCTTTAACTAGAACATTTCATATTGTATTGAATGACAAATCATGTCTTAAGCTGAAAATATATTGAAAAACATGTATAAAGGATGAAAATGTATCTTGCCTTGTAGTTCCCCATCAAACCAACAGAGGGCAGTGTTTGATCATTTTTTTTACATAAAATACAGCCACACAGTTGTCCACAGTGGCTCATTTTTTTTTTGGCTCATTATTTTTGCACAAAACATGATCATATGAGTCAAATTAAATATATAACACTGCAATAGATAAGCCCTTTTCAAATACTTTCTATATTATTCATTAGTTGTGTTCCTGTTTATTTCACACATAATTTTTGCGTCCCTGAGTGAAAAGTTGGAAAATCCTGGTACATTTTACATACATTCAATTTTCCATGAATTCTTACAGATCTCAGAAGGAGCAGGCAATAGTAATAGATACAGATGAAGGAATTTAGTGAAAAACTGTCTTGACAAATGTGTTTGAACATACTGAACAATAATCTGATCGATATTGAGACTCGAGCAATCCGCATGTGTCTGTTTCATGTGAAAAATCTGCAAAACCACAAAAACATTCCTCATTTCAAATACGTCATTCCCCCAGGAACAACAAAGGACGAGATATCAAGACCATCAAGTCCCTCCGAGTTCTGCGGGTTCTGCGGCCCCTGAAAACCATCAAAAGACTCCCAAAACTTAAGGTACATGCTTATATACAGATGGGTTTTCTGAGGCCAAAGTTCAAAGTTTGACTGACCAAATTACAGTAAAAAGGGCAATTGTACAGATTTCTTGTGTTATTATTAGTTTTGAAGGCTGCAAATAAGCATAGAAAAGGGGCTAATGCTAGTTGGCGGCACGGTGGCGCATCAATATGTGCTTGTGTTCGATTCTACCTCCAGACGAAGCCTCTATGTGTGGGGTTTGCATGTTCTCCCTGTGTCTGAGTTGGTTTCCTGTGGGTACTAAAAACATGTAGCTTCTTTCCACAACTATGACTGTGTCTGTAAAAAGCGCTTAAAAAATACAGAATACTTACTCAGTGCGAGTTAGAAATTGTTCAAGATTATTCCATAATACTTTTATTGAAATGAACTATTTGTGGACGTTTTGTTTTATTATTATGTTATTTTTGTGTTTTACTATTTTACATTTTAACACATTGTGAGACATTTTGACATCAAGTTATTAATTTTATTGGGTTTGGATATTGAGTATGTATTTGGGTTTGGATTGAAACAGTAATTATATTTGGGAATTGGGAAGTATAATATCATGGTTTTTCTTCCCTGAGAAAATAACCTTAAAATTAGGTCAAACATGGCAGCAATGGTAGCATTATGGCAGGATGGGAAGAAGTTTGCTGATAATTCAAAAACAAAAAAATCAGCCTCATATATCAGAATCCTTATTGGGCGTTGCAGATTGCTGAAGGATGATCCAGCTAACTTGCTTCTCTTTCACACTTCTTAGGCTAACTTGCTTCTCTTTAACACTTCTTAGGCTAACTTGCTTCTCTTTAACACTTCTTAGGCTAACTTGCTTATCTTTCTCTCTTCTTAGGCTAACTTGCTTCTCTTTCTCTTTTCTTAGGCTAACTTGCTTCTCTTTCACACTTCTTAGGCTAACTTGCTTATCTTTCTCTCTTCTTAGGCTAACTTGGTTCTCTTTCTCTTTTCTTAGGCTAACTTGCTTCTCTTTCACACTTCTTAGGCTAACTTGCTTCTCTTTCAAACTTCTTAGGCTAACTTGCTTCTCTTTCACACTTCTTAGGCTAACTTGCTTCTCTTTCTCTCTTCTTAGGCTAACTTGCTTATCTTTCTCTCTTCTTAGGCTAACTTGGTTCTCTTTCTCTTTTCTTAGGCTAACTTGCTTCTCTTTAACACTTCTTAGGCTAACTTGCTTCTCTTTCAAACTTCTTAGGCTAACTTGCTTCTCTTTCACACTTCTTAGGCTAACTTGCTTCTCTTTCACACTTCTTAGGCTAACTTGCTTCTCTTTAACACTTCTTAGGCTAACTTGCTTCTCTTTCACACTTCTTAGGCTAACTTGCTTCTCTTTCTTTTCTTAGGCTAACTTGCTTCTCTTTCACACTTCTTAGGCTAACTTGCTTCTCTTTAACACTTCTTAGGCTAACTTGCTTCTCTTTAACACTTCTTAGGCTAACTTGCTTCTCTTTCAAACTTCTTAGGCTAACTTGCTTCTCTTTCACACTTCTTAGGCTAACTTGGTTCTCTTTCTCTTTTCTTAGGCTAACTTGCTTCTCTTTCTCTCTTCTTAGGCTAACTTGCTTCTCTTTCTCTCTTCTTAGGCTAACTTGCTTATCTTTCTCTCTTCTTAGGCTAACTTGCTTCTCTTTTCTTAGGCTAACTTGCTTCTCTTTCACACTTCTTAGGCTAACTTGCTTCTCTTTAACACTTCTTAGGCTAACTTGCTTCTCTTTCACACTTCTTAGGCTAACTTGCTTCTCTTTCTCTTTTCTTAGGCTAACTTGCTTCTCTTTCTCTTTTCTTAGGCTAACTTGCTTCTCTTTCACACTTCTTAGGCTAACTTGCTTCTCTTTCACACTTCTTAGGCTAACTTGCTTATCTTTCTCTTTTCTTAGGCTAACTTGCTTCTCTTTCTCTTTTCTTAGGCTAACTTGCTTCTCTTTCTCTCTTCTTAGGCTAACTTGCTTCTCTTTCACACTTCTTAGGCTAACTTGCTTCTCTTTAACACTTCTTAGGCTAACTTGGTTCTCTTTCTCTTTTCTTAGGCTAACTTGCTTCTCTTTCACACTTCTTAGGCTAACTTGCTTCTCTTTAACACTTCTTAGGCTAACTTGGTTCTCTTTCTCTTTTCTTAGGCTAACTTGCTTCTCTTTCACACTTCTTAGGCTAACTTGCTTCTCTTTCACACTTCTTAGGCTAACTTGCTTATCTTTCTCTTTTCTTAGGCTAACTTGCTTCTCTTTCTCTTTTCTTAGGCTAACTTGCTTCTCTTTCACACTTCTTAGGCTAACTTGCTTCTCTTTAACACTTCTTAGGCTAACTTGCTTCTCTCTCTCTCCTCTTAGGCTAACTTGCTTCTCTCTCTCTCTTCTTAGGCTAACTTGCTTCTCTTTCACACTTCTTGGGCTAACTTGCTTCTCTTTCTCTCTTCTTAGGCTAACTTGCTTATCTTTCTCTTTTCTTAGGCTAACTTGCTTCTCTTTCTCTTTTCTTAGGCTAACTTGCTTCTCTTTCACACTTCTTAGGCTAACTTGCTTATCTTTCACACTTCTTAGGCTAACTTGGTTCTCTTTCTCTTTTCTTAGGCTAACTTGCTTCTCTCTCTCTCTTCTTAGGCTAACTTGCTTCTCTTTAACACTTCTTAGGCTAACTTGCTTCTCTTTCACACTTCTTAGGCTAACTTGGTTCTCTTTCTCTTTTCTTAGGCTAACTTGCTTCTCTCTCTCTCCTCTTAGGCTAACTTGCTTCTCTTTCACACTTCTTAGGCTAACTTGGTTCTCTTTCTCTTTTCTTAGGCTAACTTGCTTCTCTTTCTCTTTTCTTAGGCTAACTTGCTTCTCTTTCACACTTCTTAGGCTAACTTGCTTCTCTTTCACACTTCTTAGGCTAACTTGCTTCTCTTTAACACTTCTTAGGCTAACTTGCTTCTCTTTCACACTTCTTAGGCTAACTTGCTTCTCTTTCTCTTTTCTTAGGCTAACTTGCTTCTCTTTCTCTTTTCTTAGGCTAACTTGCTTCTCTTTCACACTTCTTAGGCTAACTTGCTTCTCTTTCACACTTCTTAGGCTAACTTGCTTATCTTTCTCTTTTCTTAGGCTAACTTGCTTCTCTTTCTCTTTTCTTAGGCTAACTTGCTTCTCTTTCTCTCTTCTTAGGCTAACTTGCTTCTCTTTCACACTTCTTAGGCTAACTTGCTTCTCTTTAACACTTCTTAGGCTAACTTGGTTCTCTTTCTCTTTTCTTAGGCTAACTTGCTTCTCTTTCACACTTCTTAGGCTAACTTGCTTCTCTTTAACACTTCTTAGGCTAACTTGGTTCTCTTTCTCTTTTCTTAGGCTAACTTGCTTCTCTTTCTCTCTTCTTAGGCTAACTTGCTTCTCTTTCTCTCTTCTTAGGCTAACTTGCTTCTCTTTCACACTTCTTGGGCTAACTTGCTTCTCTTTCTCTCTTCTTAGGCTAACTTGCTTATCTTTCTCTTTTCTTAGGCTAACTTGCTTCTCTTTCTCTTTTCTTAGGCTAACTTGCTTCTCTTTCACACTTCTTAGGCTAACTTGCTTATCTTTCACACTTCTTAGGCTAACTTGGTTCTCTTTCTCTTTTCTTAGGCTAACTTGCTTCTCTCTCTCTCTTCTTAGGCTAACTTGCTTCTCTTTCACACTTCTTAGGCTAACTTGCTTCTCTTTCACACTTCTTAGGCTAACTTGGTTCTCTTTCTCTTTTCTTAGGCTAACTTGCTTCTCTCTCTCTCCTCTTAGGCTAACTTGCTTCTCTTTCACACTTCTTAGGCTAACTTGGTTCTCTTTCTCTTTTCTTAGGCTAACTTGCTTCTCTCTCTCTCCTCTTAGGCTAACTTGCTTCTCTTTCAAACTTCTTAGGCTAACTTGCTTCTCTTTCTCTTTTCTTAGGCTAACTTGCTTCTCTTTCACACTTCTTAGGCTAACTTGCTTCTCTTTCACACTTCTTAGGCTAACTTGCTTCTCTTTAACACTTCTTAGGCTAACTTGCTTCTCTTTCACACTTCTTAGGCTAACTTGCTTCTCTTTCTCTTTTCTTAGGCTAACTTGCTTCTCTTTCTCTTTTCTTAGGCTAACTTGCTTCTCTTTCACACTTCTTAGGCTAACTTGCTTCTCTTTCACACTTCTTAGGCTAACTTGCTTATCTTTCTCTTTTCTTAGGCTAACTTGCTTCTCTTTCTCTTTTCTTAGGCTAACTTGCTTCTCTTTCTCTCTTCTTAGGCTAACTTGCTTCTCTTTCACACTTCTTAGGCTAACTTGCTTCTCTTTAACACTTCTTAGGCTAACTTGGTTCTCTTTCTCTTTTCTTAGGCTAACTTGCTTCTCTTTCACACTTCTTAGGCTAACTTGCTTCTCTTTAACACTTCTTAGGCTAACTTGGTTCTCTTTCTCTTTTCTTAGGCTAACTTGCTTCTCTTTCACACTTCTTAGGCTAACTTGCTTCTCTTTCACACTTCTTAGGCTAACTTGCTTATCTTTCTCTTTTCTTAGGCTAACTTGCTTCTCTTTCTCTTTTCTTAGGCTAACTTGCTTCTCTTTCACACTTCTTAGGCTAACTTGCTTCTCTTTAACACTTCTTAGGCTAACTTGCTTCTCTCTCTCTCCTCTTAGGCTAACTTGCTTCTCTTTAACACTTCTTAGGCTAACTTGCTTCTCTCTCTCTCTTCTTAGGCTAACTTGCTTCTCTTTCACACTTCTTGGGCTAACTTGCTTCTCTTTCTCTCTTCTTAGGCTAACTTGGTTCTCTTTCTCTTTTCTTAGGCTAACTTGCTTCTCTCTCTCTCTTCTTAGGCTAACTTGCTTCTCTTTAACACTTCTTAGGCTAACTTGCTTCTCTTTCACACTTCTTAGGCTAACTTGCTTCTCTTTCTCTTTTCTTAGGCTAACTTGCTTCTCTTTCACACTTCTTAGGCTAACTTGCTTCTCTTTCACACTTCTTAGGCTAACTTGGTTCTCTTTCTCTTTTCTTAGGCTAACTTGCTTCTCTCTCTCTCCTCTTAGGCTAACTTGCTTCTCTTTCACACTTCTTAGGCTAACTTGGTTCTCTTTCTCTTTTCTTAGGCTAACTTGCTTCTCTTTCTCTCTTCTTAGGCTAACTTGCTTCTCTTTCTCTCTTCTTAGGCTAACTTGCTTCTCTTTCTCTTTTCTTAGGCTAACTTGCTTCTCTTTCACACTTCTTAGGCTAACTTGCTTCTCTTTCACACTTCTTAGGCTAACTTGCTTCTCTTTCACACTTCTTAGGCTAACTTGCTTCTCTCTCTCTCTCCTCTTAGGTTAACTTGCTTCTCTCTCTCTCTTCTTAGGCTAACTTGCTTTTCTTTCTCTCTTCTTAGGCTAACTTGCTTCTCTCTCTCTCTTCTTAGGCTAACTTGCTTCTCTTTCACACTTCTTAGGCTAACTTGCTTCTCTCTCTCTCCTCTTAGGCTAACTTGCTTCTCTCTCTCTCTTCTTAGGCTAACTTGCTTTTCTTTCTCTCTTCTTAGGCTAACTTGCTTCTCTTTCACACTTCTTAGGCTAACTTGCTTCTCTTTCTCTCTTCTTAGGCTAACTTGCTTCTCTCTCTCTCTCTTCTTAGGCTAACTTGCTTCTCTCTCTCTCTCTTCTTAGGTTAACTTGCTTCTCTCTCTCTCCTCTTAGGCTAACTTGCTTCTCTCTCTCTCTCTTCTTAGGCTAACTTGCTTCTCTCTCTCTCTTCTTAGGCTAACTTGCTTCTCTTTCTCTCTTCTTAGGTTAACTTGCTTCTCTCTCTCTCCTCTTAGGCTAACTTGCTTCTCTCTCTCTCCTCTTAGGCTAACTTGCTTCTCTCTCTCTCTTCTTAGGCTAACTTGCTTCTCTCTCTCTCTCCTCTTAGGCTAACTTGCTTCTCTTTCTCTCTTCTTAGGCTAACTTGCTTCTCTTTCTCTCTTCTTAGGCTAACTTGCTTCTCTTTCTCTCTTCTTAGGCTAACTTGCTTCTCTCTCTCTCCTCTTAGGCTAACTTGCTTCTCTCTCTCTCCTCTTAGGCTAACTTGCTTCTCTCTCTCTCTCTTCTTAGGCTAACTTGCTTCTCTCTCTCTCTTCTTAGGCTAACTTGCTTCTCTCTCTCTCCTCTTAGGCTAACTTGCTTCTCTTTCTCTCTTCTTAGGCGGTTTTTGATTGCGTGGTCACGTCCCTTAAAAACGTCTTCAACATCCTGATCGTGTACCAGCTCTTCATGTTCATCTTTGCTGTGATCGCCGTGCAGCTTTTCAAAGGGAAGTTCTTCTACTGCACCGACGGCTCCATGAACACAGAGAAGGAATGCCAGTAAGTCCCAAACTCGCACGTCTCTATTTGGTGTCAAACAATCTGCTACAACTTTTCACTGGCGCTGGGTTGATGCGGCGCTGCGGCGTGTTACAAAGAGCTATTGTGATGAGTGTTGTGCCTGAGCTCCCGTTTCCTCACTCCTCAGCAGCTTGCAAAATATAAACCAAAAACAATAGAGCAATACTATGAACTCAAATAAAAATGTGCGGACAAAACTATGTTATTCTGTGTTATTTCATGAATAAGTAAAACAAGATTTGTCTCAACAGGAAGAATAATTAGGATTTTGTGTGTGTCTATTATTAAGACATCCAACATTTATATTTGGCATCCTCCTAAGAGCCCTGTGAGACACTATTTGACTCTGGGCTGATTTGCTATTGCTAAAAATTTTCACATTCTAAATCACCACGGTGGCTGAGTGGATAGCACTCTCGCTTCTCAGCAAGAAGGTCCTGGGTTCGAATCCTGGTCGGAACAGGGCCTTTCTGAGTGGAGTTTGCATGTTCTCCCCGTGTCTGCGTAGGTTACCTCCGGGTGCTCCGGTTTCCCCTACCTCTAAAAACATGCACGATAGGTATGAATGTAGATGAGAGAGTGAATGGATGGTGTTGGTTGGAGCTGATGGTCCAGTGTGTTCGGCGACTCGCTTCTGTCATCACCGTGTGTGGAATGATTGGAACAATATCTGAAATCTGAACATTGTAAAGCGCGTTGGATGACCTTGGTCTGTAAAATGCGCTACATAAATAAACATTACTTACATACTTACTTACTACGAATTGTGATACTATTTGGGTGGATCTATTACCTATTTATATCATTTTAATATGAAATACTCCAGCTTTAATTTCATGCTTTTGTGAATCATTGTAAATCCTGTTATCCAATTTACATTTCATTAAGCAACAATTATAGGATTTAGAATTTTTTTGTGTTAATATGTGTTAACAAATCCCATCATTAGCTCATTAATGTTCTTTTCTTCCAAATTGCAATATATTGATATTACTGAAACATCTCAGCGCAACAGAAACGTCAAATAACTTATTCTAGACAGATTTCTGAAACTTATCCATTTACAAATTTAAAGCATTAACAAATGGAGCATATTGGAAAGTTATGCAAAAACTGAGGATTTTTTATTTATTTATCTGGTATTGAAAATATTTACATGGTCCTATTTACATTATAAGGAGGGAACTGGAAGTGTAAGTGCTGTATACCTAACATAACTTAACAGTCCTTACAATGAACCTTCACTATGACAGGCCGGGGTGTGTGTGTGTGTGTGTGTGTGTGTGTGTGTGTGTGTGTGTGTGTGTGTGTGTGTGATCTCTAACATATGGGATAATGTTCTCCACAGAGGTTACTACATCGACTACAGCCGCGACAAGAAGGAGGTGAAGAGGCGGGAGTGGAGGAGGCACGAGTTTCACTATGACAACGTCTGCTGGGCTCTCCTCACGCTGTTCACGGTGTCGACTGGAGAGGGGTGGCCACAGTGAGTTTACAACCTGCTTTTCTCTGAGCGTCAACTATTCAATAAAGGCCCAAAATACAAGAGGAGTGGTGAGAAAATGTGTTGTGGGTGTCAGACAGAAGAAAATGACAGAAGATGCAGAGGTCGGAGAAGGTTGTGACCATTAATAGCATTAAATTCCTAACAAGTAACAAATGCTCAAGTTATAAGATTGGTGACTAGTTGTGTTGACAGTGATGGGTATTTGTAATTATTGAAGAAAAGGTTCAAGTTTTCTTTCATTGCCTTGGGATTAGTTGAATATTGTGATGTTTGTATAGTCACTGGAACATGACAAAATAACTGTCATATCTTTTTGATCATGCAGTAAATGAATGTATTGAATGTATCAAATTCTTCAGTACACAAGGGGTAGGTGCAAACAAGCTTAAGCTTCTGCCTACTCCTTTTGAGCATCATATCCACGCTATTTATTTATTTAATTATTTACGTATTTACTTACGCCTACCTTTTTTGGCTTTGATTACTGTGCTGAACTTTGTATATAAGTAGAACTGTGTGGAACTCAGATGCTCAAATAAAAAAGATGAATTGAATTGAATTGAATTGAAGGTGTCGCAGCAGAAGTCATGTAACAGAGTTTTGCTGCGTGGACTTGGCTTTAAACCAGACGAATCAAGGACGCTCCTTCAGCCTCTGTAACGGCGCCAATAGATCTGTTAGCTACGACCTTCAGAAAACCAAAACATCAAGTGGAAAATTACTGACTTCTCCAGACTATTGTAATGACAAGCTTAGTTTGAACATAATTGCATCAAAAGTGTCACAAAAGATCAGTAACCCTGTTTTTAAATCTGTGCATCATTCAAAAAACTAGGTTGGTTACCTAATTCAATAGTTATTTTATTTATTTATTTATTTATTTGACAGGGAAAATATAGTCATACATCAATCAAAGTTTATTTGTTGAGCGCCTTTCATACACATGTGCAACACAAAGCGCTTCACAGTCCACATCACAAATCATCACATAAAACAAACATCAGAAACACAATTAGAACATTTAAAAACACACAACAATTAAAACCCTAAAAACTTTAAAATTACAGAGGGAATTAAAAAATAAATAACCACGGTGCATTAAGAAATGAGCTAAAATCCTTCAGTTGAATGCACAGGCAAACAGAAGAGTCTTTAACCTGGATTTAAACATTGTCAACGTAGACGCCTCTCTCACATTTTCAGGGAGACTGTTCCAGATTTTAGCAGCATAAACCTGAAATGCAGCCTCCCCATGTTTGGTTCTCACTCTGGGCACCAGCAAGAGTCCAGTCCCTGAGCTCATCAGAGTCCGGCTCGGTTCATACGGGACCAGCATGAAAGATGCAACTGATGCGACACATACAGAGTGTACAGCTAATGCTAATTTTCAACTCCTGTCCCTGGTTGAGCTTTTCCCTACAATGCATCACATTATAAAGAATAAATAAAATAGACAGGCCAAAATCACATATTCAGTCTTTTTTTTTGTCTTTACCCTGTATTTTTTTCTCAATTTTGTCATGGTAATGCAGCAAAATACCACAGCAATCCAGCAAGTACAACAGTAATACATTCCATGAAAAAAAGCCTGAAAAAGATTTGCCTTACAGTAAGATAAACGTTAAGTGAAGCCATACTGGGATCGGCCTTGCCCCCTTGTTCTTCCATCACTATAGCAACAGCACCTGTAGCCGCACAGTAGAGCGGCGTGACAAAAGAATGAATCATGGCTGTTTTCTTCAGCTATCTACAAGATCACGTTCCTGAACATAACCAACATTTAATCCTTCATAACCATTCAACACAAGTCACAAATTAAAATGATATCGATTGTACGCAGCCCGGATACTTGTGTGTGGTTGTTTTATTGTTACTTTTATTGTTATTAGTTGGATAAGGACAGTCTTTTCATCAGATAGAAAATACTACTTTAATGTAGATAAGACATTAAAGGACACTTAAGAATTAGTCATTTGAGCATCACTTTGGCTGTCTGCTCCTCATTTCTACTGTTCTGTAACTGGTTATAGAACACTGAAATTTCCCCACTGTGGGACAAATAAAGGAAAAGATGGTCAACATTACTTGGATATTAAATTAACCTGCCAAAGTCGCATCATTTCTACACCCATGATACTTTCTATACAGCAACATGGCTTCCAAAAAACCTGTACATTGGTCCTAGAACTATATATATTTTTGTCTGCTATTGATTTTTTTAGTCCTCTATATCTTATCAAGTTTCTGGGCTCCACCTTTACTCTGTTTTACGCTATGACGTCTAAAAGGTGCATTTGTATTTGAACTTGTGTGTGTGTTCCTCAGGGTTCTCCAACACTCCACAGATGTCACCGAGGAGAACATGGGCCCCAGTCGAGGGAACCGCATGGAGATGTCCGTCTTCTACGTGGTCTATTTTGTGGTCTTCCCGTTCTTCTTTGTCAACATCTTCGTGGCTTTGATCATCATCACCTTCCAGGAGCAGGGAGACAAGATGATTCAGGAGTGCAGCCTGGAGAAGAACGAGGTAGTAGAGCAGGGGTGTCAAACCGGTTCCAGAAAGGGCCGGTGTGGCTGCAGGTTTTAGTTCCAACTTGAGCAGGAGCACACCAGACTCCACCCATTTCCTCAAATCTTAAGGTGAAAAATGGTCTCACCTGAGGAAATGGGTGGAGTCTGGTGTGCTCCTGCTCAAGTTGGAACTAAAACCTGCAGCCACACCGGCCCTTTGAGGACCGGTTTGACACCCCTGTAGTAGAGTGTCCGGGTCTTTCACACACGACTGTAGATGTTCGATTCATTTGTGTTGTGGTGTTTTCAGAGAGCTTGCATCGACTTTGCCATCAGCGCCAAACCCATGACCCGCTACATGCCTCAGAACAGACAGACGGTTCAGTACAGGCTGTGGCATTTTGTGGCCTCGCCCTCCTTTGAGTACACCATCATGGTCATGATCGCTCTCAACACCGTGGTGCTCATGATGAAGGTGGGTCACAGTCAGTCTGGGCTTCAGTCACTGACACCATCGTCTCAAACCAGCAGGTCCATTTTCACGGTACAAGGTTAACATTTATTAGCAAATTAATGATCATCTGTGGGTCATATCTGCATGTGAAAGCTAGATCCCATCAGACCTCTGAAGTTAAGCAGGACAGGGCCTGGTTAGTACTGTGATGGGAGACATCTGGGAACACCAGGTGCCACAGTGGGGCGGGTGCAATTGTAAAGTGCCACACTGTTGCTGTGTCCTTCGGTAAGCACACTCATTCTAGGCAATTCCCAAATGAGTCGGATGTGTGCGTGAATGGTGATGACCCATACTGTTTGTCTTGATTCCGTCAGTGCGCCCCAGGGGAGCTGTGGCTACAACAGAAGTTTATCACCAATAAGATTTTTATTGTCGTTATTGCCTAGTTTATGTTGGATGGCTTACATTAACCCTCCCATTGACTACACTCAACTAATTAATGCCAACATGTCACAAAGTAATTAATTATAACTGTTCTGTATTTTCTATTAACGTCTCCCTCACAAACTGTTGAGTCCTGGCTTTTCATCAGTCTTTAGATGTAGATCCCACTGAGACATGAACCTCGTTTGCCCTCCAAATGAAAGGCGGTTCTTTTCAATAGGGCTTCTCAAAACACTTAAAGAGCCTGAAAGAAAGCTGACGGCAGGAGATTTACGACATCTATGGGGAATAGTCTGTAAATAAAGGTTACATTTTTGGAACTTCAAAGGTTTTATGGAAGCTATGTATATTTCATCCTAATTAAGCGTCCATTGTATCATTATCCCAGCTTTGTGGTGTGGCATAGATCCAGACTTAGATTGGACTGAAGCACAGAGGGGTGACCAGGAGAAGTTATTGTTATGTAGTAGCAGTTTATTTCTTTGGTCATTCTGAACATTAGATCTTAGGTCACATGTTTTCAAAGATCTCATACATTATACAATAAAAAAAGAACAACATTTTAGCACTTAGTGAAAGGGGTGTGAAAGGAAAATCGAAACTTATTCTGCCTGACCCCTATTACAGCTGTGACAATATGCACAAAGACACATTATACATATTCTCATATAGCAACGATGCTAACATGTAGCACAAAATAATCCAAAAATAATCCAATTCAAGCTTTCCGTACTGCAAATACACTGCAAAAAATGACAAAACGAGGTAATAAATCCCTAAATCATGGGGTTTACCAATGGACAAAGCCATTTAGTCACTTTTTCTCATTCCAAGGGAGAAATTTCTTGTATCTTTTTAAAACAAGATATTTTTGCTTGTCCTATTGGCAGAATGTGCTCAAATTAAGATACAATTTTGACTTATTTCTCTTCACTTTTTGCTGTGTATTTCATTACTCACATGGGCTAACATTGTGTTTCAATCATTCCAGTACCACTCAGCTCCGACTGCGTACGACTATATTCTAAAGCATCTGAACACGGCCTTCACTGTGCTCTTCTCTATGGAGTGCATCCTGAAGATCATGGCCTTTGGTTTTGTGGTGAGAAACGGAGACAAGTCGATGAAAGCCTTTGTCTGCACGTGGAACACTTAAAAGCAACCAACATTCTCTTTTCACAGAATTATTTTCGAGATACTTGGAACATTTTCGACTTCATCACTGTACTTGGCAGTATTACAGAAATAGTGGTAGATTTGCAGGTAAGTTTCTGCCAAGTTAATATTTTTTCACAGCATTCCGACCCTTAAAACAGACTTGATTCGCCTCATTTTCTTCTGTTCTTCTGGAATTTTCTCATGTCTTGCTCTCGCTACAGTTGAATTTGACCATCTGTGTTGTCCTTCCTGCCTGTGCCTTCTGTCTGCCACTATGGGCCTCACGTTTTGTTTTTCTTGGTGCCTTCTCGCCTTTTGCCACGCTCTCTATAACCACTTCTGTGTGTGTGTGTGTGTGTGTGTGTGTTTGTGTGATTGGCCCAGTCTGTCAACACTATCAACATGAGCTTCCTGAAGCTGTTCCGAACTGCCAGGTTGATCAAGCTGCTGAGACAGGGCTACACCATACGCATACTTCTCTGGACCTTCGTGCAGTCTTTTAAGGTAACGCTTTGCTCCTGCACTTAAAGCAGTCATGTGTACTTTTTACAAGTTACTCCAAATACACACAACGAAACCATGTGTTTCCATTTCAGATGCGGATATACAGTAGATGTTTTTCTGGACTGACTTGACATGAAAATAATTTGCAAATAATACAAATCTGGGCGTCTATCGATCTACAGTATCTATCTATCTATCTATTTAACTTTCTATCTATCTGTCCATCTACTGTATTTAATGAAATAAATTCCAAGACACAATTTCAAAAACATGATAGAGTGATGACGTGGAAACACAGAGTATAAGATACATTTTATGCCATTATAAAATCACAAATATGTAAAACTTCTATTGTTCCACAGGCTCTTCCTTATGTCTGCCTTCTGATCGCGATGCTGTTCTTCATATATGCCATCATTGGAATGCAGGTACTTATCTGTTAAATCTGGCCTCACGTTGGAGACGGCACCACTCCGGCACTAAAATCACTTTTACAGGTTTTTGGAAACATCAAACTCAACGACGACAGCCACATCAACCAACACAACAACTTTAAAACCTTCTTCAGTGCCCTCATGCTGCTGTTTAGGTAAAAAATCTCTCTCTATCTCCCTCTCTGTCTCTATCTCTATGTCTCTCTCTCTCTCTCTCTCTGTCTCTGTCTCTATGTCTCTCTCTCTCTCTCTGTGTCTCTGTCTCTATGTCTCTCTCTCTCTCTGTCTCTGTCTGTCTGTCTCTCTGTGTCTCTCTCTCTCTCTTTTTCTCTTTCTCGGTCTCTCTCCCTGTCTCTCTGTCTCTCACCGAGTCCGTCTTTGTCTCTCTCTGTCACACTCGCTCTCTCTCTGCCTCTCTCTTTCTCTCTGTCTGTCTGTCTGTCTGTCTCGCTATCTGTCTCTCTCTGTCTTTCTCTCTCAGTCTCTCTCTCTCTCTGTCTTTCTCTCTCAGTCTCTCTCTCTCTCTCTCTGTCTTTCACCGAATCCGTCTTGGTCTCTGTCTGTCTCTCTCTGTCTCTCTCTCCCTTTCTCTCTGTCTCACTCTGTCTCTCTCTGTCTTTCTCTGTCTCTTTCTGTCTCTCTCTGTCTCTCCCTGTCTCTCTCTCTCTCTCTCTGTCTGTCTGTCTGTCTGTCTCTCTCACTCTCTCTCTCTCTGTTTCACTCTCTGTCTCTCTCTCTGTATCACATGAACACTTTTTGGATGATTTGTAAATGCTTCTCCAGGAGTGCCACTGGGGAGTCGTGGCAGGAGATCATGCTGTCCTGTCTGTCGGGGCGGGAGTGTGAGCCGGACGACTCCCTGGAGCCTTTCACCATGTCCCCAGACCATGAAGGAGGCTGCGGCACTGACTTTGCCTACTGCTACTTTGTCTCTTTCATATTCTTCAGTTCCTTCCTGGTAATTCAAACTTACATACTGTTATAAATGGAAGTCTAGTTGTTGACTCACATACTAGGCCAAAACAAATTGATATAAAAGAGGACGTTTAATGACACTAAACATAGTTACAAGATACATACAGACAAAACATAAACTAAATCATAAATATACCCAAGGAGACATGATGGAGACAGACACAGACAGACAGAGACAGACTGGGACGGAGAGAGACAGAGACAAATGTTTTTGTGGTATTTGTGATTTCAAAGAGATTCCTACTATTAAACAAATCTCATCATGTTATTTATTCATTCATTCACGTGCTAATTTATTTTTATGTATTTATTATTGATCTATCTCATACTTTCTAGATGCTGAATCTGTTTGTGGCTGTAATCATGGACAACTTTGAGTACCTGACCCGGGACTCCTCCATCCTCGGCCCTCATCACTTGGATGAGTTTGTCCGAATCTGGGGAGAGTATGACCGTTTGGCCTGGTAAGATATTTATTTATTTACTGTTTCAATAAATGACTGTTGCATATAACGATATTATTATTATTATTGTAATTATTATTATATTTAATTGAATCTATTTCCAGGTGGTATGTTCCAACGTGTGGTTTTAACTTTAAATGTATATACTTTCTCATATTGTTACACATTGTTTATTGTTTGATATCATTTTGTAGTATACCAGCCATTGTTAATTAAGCATTGACATCGTTTCAAAGTAAACAGAACGTAGTGGGTTTTTTCTAGTCCCACAACACATGCAGTTCAGTTATTATCCAGCAGAGGGCAGGCAACGTGCACTAAATCCATGGACTTTATATCTGTTCTCTTTTCCATCTTTCTCACAGTGGGAGAATTCACTACACTGCTATGTATGAGATGCTAACACACATGTCACCGCCACTGGGACTGGGCAAAAAATGTCCGGCCAAGATTGCGTATAAGGTAGAATACCACAGCCTATAAAAACAGCCTCAAAAGACATCTCTGTAAATGTCTCTAACTCTGAACGCTCGTGTCTTCTCCCCCATCAGAGGCTGGTGCTGACGAACATGCCTGTGGACGAGGACATGACCGTGCACTTCACCTCCACTCTGATGTCGCTCATCCGCACTGCTCTGGACATCAAGATTGCCAGAGGTCAGACGCTGTAATGTGGGCTGTCTTAAAGAGCAGGGGCGCCCGGATCAATCAATCCATCAATCATCATTTGTAGAGTGCATTTCCTACACAGGGCTACACCAAGCGCTTCACAGTCCACAAATCATCACATAAAACACAAATCTAAACGACGCAGTTAAAATCACGCAGGTAATTAAAAACATTAACATATTAAAATCACAAAAGGGATTAAAATAATAAATAACCACAGTGCATTCAAAATAGAGATTAAATCCTTCAGTTGTATGCCCAAGCAAAAAGAACCGTCTTTAACTTGGATTTGATTTATCCTTGACAGCTTTATATTCACACATAGACCAAGCGCAGGGCTATGGACTGATGGGAAATCGTGTGAATCGTTCAAAAAAAGTTGAATTTTTTTGTAACATTAAAGTGTTGTCTGACCCTGTCCCAGTATTAAAGCTGGGGTTTGTAACTCGAATGCGTGTATTTTTTTAAAACTCTGAATAAGATCCGCTTTTTTTCAAACAGAAAACATGACAAGAGAGGATCACCCTCACGCTGGCCGGAATCTCAACCATTTTGTGGAGGCCTATAATAAATAAAAACTAGGGGTTAAAAAACATATATATATATTAGTGTTATTAGTGCTAGTACTCCAACATCTCAGTAAAGGAAATAAAAAATACATTGCTTTCTTCAAATAGTGGACATTAAAAAATTAAGAACTTAGTCTTATCTGTATTTATACTAAGAAGTTTGTAGAGAAATAAAAAAGATACATTTGCCTTTGAACCTGGGATAAGGAAAATGTTATAACGATTTTTGCTTCAGGTGGGGAAGACCGCGTGGCTCTGGATACGGAGCTGCAAAAGGAGATCAGCATCATCTGGCCCTACCTCCCTCAGAAGAATCTGGACCTGCTGGTGCCCATCAACAAAGGTAAAACCAGGAGCTGTAAATACCGGCGTGTCGTGTTCAGAGTGAGGTCATGCTTGTTTTTATTCTTTGACAGATACAGACATGACCGTGGGGAAGATCTACGCTTCCATGATGATTATGGATTACTTCAAACTAAACAAGGCCAAGAAGCTCAGGCAGCAACTTGAAGCCCAGGTAACTCAGGACAGGACAACAGCGATAGTGATACTGAATAATAACTTTCTATATTTGCTAGTAATAGTCTCGCAAATATTATTGTATATCTCTATCTTTAGCATAATAAGGAAAGAAAAATTCTGCAACGTTAAGCAAGTTACGGTTTTATAGTATTTAATGTGAAAACAATATTTACTAATGCTTGAACAAAGCTGGGGTACCTAACTTTCATACCACAAAAAATATAATGGCTCTATGTGTTTTTTTATGATTCTCTGATCTATGTTGGCAATTTCGAGAGTTTTGAAATGTCCTCCGACATTTACTACTGTTTTGATTTAGAGCTATACAAAATTGAATTGAATTGAATTGATTGGTCAAAGGCAGAGGACAATAAGACATTTCTCCAATTGCATTTTATTTTATGGTTCCTAGTTTTATTACTGTGGATTTTAATGTTGTGATTGTGTTGCTGTTTAGTCCCACTTATTTTTGGATTTTTTTACTTTGAAATATTGCGATGATGGAGGACTACACAAAGAACCATTAATATCAGTTGGACATATTAGTTGTGAGAATGTGTGTGTGAATGAGTGAATGTATGAGTTTGGTTGGATGGGGGGTCTGATGGATAAAGCCTTCTTATTTTGGAGTGTTACCTGTTGTTCACAAGAAATAAAATAAAAATAAAAATCTCATAACCTTATCAATGTAAAGTAATAAATGTTTGCATCTGTCCTTCAGAAGAGTAGCCTGATGTTCAAACGCCTGGATTCTTCGTCTCTTCCTGAAGACATCCTGTCCAACACGCAGACGCTGCCCATGATGGCCCACAGCGCCGGATCCGCTTTGTGAGTTTTGAGCGTGCTTCTTCCACGGCTCTAACACGACCTTGTTTTTATCTTTTACCCTTTGTTCAAATGCAGGACCAGAGGAGGATTCGTGGCTCTGAGTCCCATCTCACCACAGGAACTCTTTTTGCAGCCGATCAGCTCTGAGGTTGATTCGACTCCAACAGAGAATCTGGTAACACAGACAAATTGTTGCGCAAAAAATGGGATTATGTGCTTTTTTTTTTACCTTTTACAAAACTGTTCCTTCATCAACTTATCTGGTTTAGCTCCATGCTTTTTAATCAGAAACTTCTTCCACAAATTGCCACAAATAGGTCCTTCTGTCCAATATGTACCAATGTCCCTTTTTTCAAACTTGGTGAAACAATTCCTAAAGCTTTGACATTAAGGACAGAGAAGTCATCCTACTTTTCAAGCTAAAGTATTGCCTCCAGTCAAGTTCCATTAATTAAAGTATTTTCTCACCTTAATAGTAATTCCCCAGATCATGTCCACAGTCCCAAACAAAAACAAATTATGTGTATTCATATTTGTCCATCAACATGACAAACTTTTGGCTTTGACGATATTTCTGGCGTATCGGCTCTTGTGTTGTCTGACTCTGTTGTTTTTGTGGAGGTCAAATATGGTGTTTTGTTGTGCTTTTTAAGATGGAAATATGTTGTCAGATTGAGATAAAATATTGTCCAAGAACAGCTCCTCAAACAGTAACAGTGGCATGAATAACATCAACCTGGTGTCTGGTGGAGTTGTCAAAATATGAAAAACGAATTCTATATAATTTTAAACTATATAGAAGTAACTATAGTTTTACTTGCACCCAGTATTATTTGGGTTTGGCTGAGTGTGAAAGGTAATATCTCACAGCAAAAAGGTTTCTGGTTCAGTACCTGTGGCTGCCTCTTTCTGTGTGCAGTTTGCATGTATGTCCTTGTGTCTGGGTGGGTTTCCTCTGGGCGCTCCGGTTTCCCCCAACTCACAAACCACGCATCGTATGTGAAATGCTCCAGCTCTGGTAGTTCTGACAAAGCCGTGTCCTAAAAACTGGACATAGGTATCGAAAGAAAGGGTCAAATATAACTATTAGCATGAGAAAGTATGTATAATAGCAAGATAAAGTATACTATTTGTGATAAAAATGACAGCTTATTGTTTCAGTATCGCTCATTCTCTGATTATTGATACTTTTGACAACCCTATTGAGTCTCATCCAGCACTAGTGTCTTGGTTTTTGTCATACCTGTCTCGACACCGTTTGTCTCAGTGTGGTTAGCGCTCCTCTTTTTGGTTAACGGTGACTGAATGGGCAGCGGTCAGTTTGGCTCAGACCTCAGGCGTCTCGATGCCCTGCTCTCTCGTTTGTGTGCCAGGTGGTCCAGTGCACTCGGGGGCTTGTTGTCCCTCTGGAGCTGCTGGGCCGGGGCCTGTGCTCGCGGGCCTCGTCCATGCCGCGTCTGGCTGTAGAGCTGCAGGTACAAACTCGGGTTCAGAGGACGTGGATGTCTGCATGGCTTCAGAATGGATACACTTGTGATGAAGGCCTGTAATTACAAGGGGACTGGAGATGCTGCAATGCTATGACTGTACTGTTTTCCCTGCATTTTCATGACGTCTTTCCCAGTTATTCAGAATGCACTATTTTGCAATCCAAGCATGAAAGAGTTCAAGAGGAATGGTATTGCTGCCTGTGCAAGAAACTATCGAGTCAGCCTTTTGCAGTAGCGCAAGTAACAGCATGTCTACAGAGCTCCTGTTCGCCCAAGACCAAATGTATCAGTGCAAAAAGTGATGCAAAATATGTCAAATATTGTTCAAAATTTGGAAAAATGTATATTAATTTGAGCACATTTTAACTGATCAAATGAAAACAAGATTTGCCAATGGGACAAAGCTAAATTATCTTGTTTTAAAAATGTCTCCCTTGAAATGAGAACTTAAAGCAATAGTTCTTGACATAACACTAAATGGCTTTGTCCCATAGACAAATGTTGTTTTAGGAATGTACACTTGTCAGAATGAACTCAAATTAAGATAAAAACCACCTGACCGTGAAATTCTTTTAAATGATCAATGGCCACATCTTATAATTAATTTAACTGTTGTTCCGATGAATACAGTTTGTAGATTCACCTTTATGGGGAAAGGTATAAGTCAATATGTTCTGTTTGTATAATGCCAGCAGGAAGAAGGATCCAGTGACCCGCTGAAGCGCTCGGTGTCGACGGTGGGCGATGAGCGAGTGAACGGGCTGTGGCAGGATGAGCCGAGTCCGCAGAGGCTCTACCGGCCACGGCACAAGAGCTACAAGTGTGCGGGTCAGTGCTGCTCCACTCACCAGGAACGGACATTGGTCATTCACCCCTTATGGACCAATGGCTCGATGTGTTTATTATCAGTGCATTTCTTGAGGTGTTTAATGCTCTGATCCAATTACATTTATTTTCGTTTAGCCCTAAATCACAACAGTAGTTATCTTGGAGGCTTTACAAAACCATTGAATTTGCTAACACGGATCAGGGAATCACAACTGTTCAAAAAGAAATCCAATGATAAAGAACACAGAGCCATTGGTTCATAAGGGGCAGATGACCAGTGTCCATAAATGTTGATAAATGTCCATAAAGTCCATAAGTCCTTTCAGATCACTGCTGTTGTGATTGAGGAAAAGACTTGCAACAATTGTCATAGTTCTCATCATGCTGTTACTGTTCCCACAGTGTCACGGTCGGAGCGGCAGCAGTCGGAGCGCGAACGCCGTCACCTGCTCTCCCCTGACCGCTGCAACTCAGCAGAGAGGAGCCAGCCGGCCTCTCGCAGCTCCAGTGTGGAGCGAGTGCACGCAGACGACAAGCAGGTGAGGCTCTGCAGAAGGACAGCACAGGGTTTTGTGGCCATTGAAAAGAAATGTGTTTATTGTGCAGCACGTTTTTGTATTGGTTCAGGAAAAGTCTTTGTCTTGTAAACTTCTTGAAGAAAAAATTATGATGTGGACCAGTAATAAATTAGTTATTGTTTGGTTTCTTAGGGCAACAGCTCTGACAGCCCAGTGCCCTCCACATCAGAGTCCAGCACCCCCAGTGGTCGGAGGCCCATGTCCCGGCCACACATCTCCTACTCTCCTCTGGCCAGCCGCCCTCAGCCCGAAGACGAGGACGAGCCCGCCAGCCCAGAGACCATCCGCAGAGTCAAGTCCAAGAGGGAGACTAAAGAGAGCAAAGCAGAGCGGAGGAGAAACGCCTCCCCCCTCCGCCGCTTCCCCTCAGAGCCTTTCCTAGCCTCGCAGGAGCAGGACGACGAGCAGAGTCCAGACCCCACCGGACCCATAGAGACCCTGACCTTTGAGGCGGCTGTGGCCTGCAGCCTGGGCCGCTCCAACACCATCAACATAGCGGCGCGCACTCGGACTGGCTGGCAGGTCCCCAACGGACACTTCCGTAAGCGTCTGGCACAAACCACATCTGTGGGAGGCTGCGATGCCCTGAGTGACACTGAAGAAGACGACCGGTGCTAGGTCTGGAGCCGGAGACCCTTATCTGTCCCTCCACAGTCTCTGCTTTCACTGGAGCCACAGGACCCTCTGTGGGCTGCAGGGTTCCAAAAATTATAAAATGTGGGGTAACAAATGCTTGAATCGAGTGGTTTTTATCTAAATTTTAGTACATTCTGTCTGACTTAAATTCAGATGTCTCAATGGGACAAGCCGTTTAGACTCATTTCAAGAACTGTTGCTTTGTTTTCTCATTCCAAGGGAAACATTTCTTGCATCTTTTTGTCCCATTGGCAAATCTTGTTTTAAGCCAGTCAAAATCCGATACATTTTGCCAAATTGTGACTTATTTTTCACACTTATTGCAGTTTAGAAACAAACTGACGTTATCTTGGTTTCTGACAGGTTCATAAAGCATTATGGCCATACACTACTAATGTAATAATTGTGCTATGCTGAACACAAATGCCTGCAGCACACTTTTGTATTGGTTCCGGAAAAGTCCAGTAAACTTCTGATGACACCGCTTGAGGAAAATATTACTTCACAGATGAATAAAGACTGCGTCTTTAAATCTCAATGACCTGCCATAAACTTGACCAGACAGTAATAATATAAATCTGTATGAAACAAGCAAAGCAAATTAATAATTTTGTTGTTTTCTTTTCTCAAGATGTTTAAAATGATTGGTATTGCGATAAACAGTATTTTATCTGTAAGGTGTGTGAATATGTAACTACATTTTCTTATAAATAAATGGTTTTGTAAATACCTTATGATCATCGAATCATTTCCAATAAACAAAGAAGAGATCCCTCCACAGTCTGGAGAAGACGGAGGCCCGATGACGTGGACTCTGATATAAATTATTCAACAATGCTGGACTTTTTTACAGTGCAAATGAATGTGACACTTAAGCAATTTCCGATTGTTTCTTTTACATTGTAATTTTACTGTCTTAGAAATGTCATGGAGTGAAGAAAGATGTTTTATTTGTTTTGTAATTTATTTATCTAAGACACATGCCAAACCTTTAAAATTCACACCCAACAGTCTCTCTACTTTTATTCTCAAATGTATTTCTTTCAATAAAGCAATTAATCACATGGAGCCACCAGCTTTGTAAGTAACTTCTGGCAAAAAACTCAAACTTCTTGCTAATTTTCAAACACACAAGTCTTTCTCACCGTTATGAAACAGTTTCACACGAGGAGGTGAACTCCACTGATATGCTTTACATAAAACAAGATATTTTAATGTTTATTTCATGTTTGTGTTTTAATTTTAAAGGACAATTCTGTGAAACTCGCTTAACCAAATACCTGAGATTGTTTCAAAATAATACCTTGGAATGCAAATAAAGTGTTTTTATGTGTAACATAGGTGTAAATAAAAAGAAGGTGTCATCAAATGAACATGGTCACATCTCTTGTCATTATAATATTGTATGTTTCAGATTTTAAAGTGTGTTTTTGTAGATTTAAAGCTGGAGTACCTCTTATATAAATGGAGGTAAAACTCAAAATGGCAACTGATATAATAAATAAATATATACAGTAAAATGATAGATACAATAACAAAATAATAAAACCTCCACAACAGGACAGATTGTTACTATATCAATATTCTAACCAGACTTTATAGTTTAATCTTGTTAGTTAGTATGTATTCAATATACAGATGCCAATTAAATCACGCTACTTTAAATATATACAATGGCCTGATTTGTGGCCTTGTGTGAGCAGTTTATTTTTGTGTTACAAGACTATTTCTGTCTGGACAAAAACATTTGTTTATTTATGAGACAAAAAATGGTGTACCCGAGAGTAACTTTCATTTTATTTTTTTACAAATAATAAATGTTGTTTGTCTGCAACAGGAAGACCACAACATCCTCTCTTTATCTTATTAGAAAACTCTTAAACTTATTCTTTGGGCTGAGATCTGAGACTGGTCCTCTCTTTTTCCGTCTGAAAATAAATGTGAGACCAAAAATATGTGCATGTGAAAACTAGTGATAGAACCAAACAGTTTTATATAGAAAAAGTATGGATTTTATTATAAGTTATAAGTCATTTGAAAGTTAGGCACGCTAGATTTAATTATCTGCCCTTTTTTACCCCTCACTTTTTTAATACCCCTACCACAACCTGGCCATGTCCCATTTAAACTGGGTCACCTTAACTATAATCAATCAAAATAATCCATCACTTCAAGGACTGAAACTTGGGTAAATACATGTGTCTATCATATATGAACGAAACATCAATATAACAGAAAACAAATAAACAATAAACAATCGAAAGGGGGCGGGCTCTATATTAATAACTGCAGTCTTATTGGTCAGTGACGAAGGATTTACGTGCGTGGGTTGACGTCACTTCCTGATAACATGTCCTCTCAGAGAAGAGCTAACAGCTGAAAAAAAAAACTCTTTTATCATCACTCCCCTGCTTTAAACTGGGGGTTGTCGTAATATCTCACATTTCTCATGCTCTTCTGCATAAGCCACAGCTGTTGTTTTAGGCGCTAGTTGGTGAATTCTGTGCTGAAATAGTTGGAATGAGCGCTTGTACTTGTCGAGGAAGTCTCCCAGCTGGCTAGCATAGTTAGCTAGTAGTTAGCATAGGAGTTCTTTGTTTAGTACTGCAGCGAACATGCTCTCGGGCTGTTGACATAAATGATCCTTATGGCCAGGGCTCTTCTGCGGAGCTTGTAAACACACACGCATTCGCAGAGCAGCTTTGTGGGACCTGGGTCAAACTTTATACAGACACCGCTGTTGTTGTTGTTTTTTTCCCCGCTGGACAAAAGGTAGAGAACATGGGGAACTGCCTGAAGTCTCCCACATCAGACGACATCTCTCTGCTGCATGAGTCCCAGTCGGACAGGGCGAGTTTCGGAGACGGGATCGACCCAGACCTAGAGCCACCTCCGCCTTATCAGGTGAACTTGGGGTTTTTTCTGTCCATCCAAATGTCTTGTTTTGTTTGTGTGTCTGTTCAGCACATTGAGTTGGCTACATGTCCACTGAATGTCACTTTATTATCCTGCCACATATGTGTATAACTTTACACTGTATTTAAATATAAGTATATATTGATATTGAAGCATTTACTGCTAGCTAAGAAACATGGCAGCTACTTATATTGTATATTTTTGTGTGATCTCAGTACTGTCCTGTATGTGCGCTGCAACATTGACATTTCCCCACTTTAGGACTAATGAATGCTCTTATCTTTATGTATGAAATGTGTGATATAAATACATTTCCTTCCTCGATCAAGACGTTTTCTAACTATGGCTCGGGAGAAACATTCAATAACGCCAGCTTTTAAAAACCCAATATAAAACTTAAATTTTGTAAAATGTCCAGTGTTGACGTCTGTGTGTGGCCCTGCTCTGCCTCCTGTTTGATCAGGGGCCCTTGGTGATAAAGGTTTAAACACCCCTTCTCTAAATGTTATTATTTTGCTTTGAAAGTTCCCCATCATGGCATTAAAGTCAATTGCAGTAAAACCACTATGGAATACATTAATCAGGTGTTAGAAACATATTTAATTATTATACATGTATCAGTAATTAGTGTGCAAGTTTCCTACCATATTGATCCACCTTGAAAAGCCTTAAACTTTTAGATGCTCAAATATAAAGAAAATTGTGTGACAATTTAAAGTCACACTTTTTAACTCACTTAAAGAGTGCAATGTATTTTATCTGTCCTCGAGGTTACGGCCCCTGAAAAATCTCCTTCAGTTAAAAACAGTTCTGTTTATCTGTGTGAAGAACTGATGAATTGTACAGTATCTGATAGTCTTTTACAATGAATTATTTTAAATTTATTTTGTGTAATTGTATACATTATTTATATTTTAATACTTCCCCTCCTGTTTGGTGAAGCACATAGCGTTGTCAAGTGCTCTACAAATAAAATAGCCTTGCCTTGAATAGCCCTGGTTGCATTGCCACTTCGATACTCGCACTGTATTTATTATTTGATTTACTTAATCCTACTGAGAGAACAAGTTTTGTGTGGTTTGTTTATACAGTGGTTTTGTCACTGAACCAGTCTCGTGGCTCTGGTTTTGTTGTTGTTGCTTGACTGTCGCTGTGTCATTGATGCTGTTGTTGTTGTGTGCGTTCCGCAGGAGCCCTCCCACATGCCTCTGTACCACCCCACGCCCAGTCAGAGCCGCCTGGCCTCACAGCTGACGGAGGAGGAGCAGATCCGCATCGCTCAGCGCATCGGCCTCATCCAGCATCTGCCCAAAGGAGTGTTCGACGGAGGCCCTGATGGCTCCGAGAAAAAGTTCAGAGAGTGAGTGTTTCGCACTTTTAACCCGTTTGACTTGGAGTGTGTAGGGAAAAAAACTTCAGTGTCAACCAGAGGAACCACAAGAACATAACATCTCTAGCTTTAACTTAATAAGGAAGCAAGAATTATGTATAAAATCTCTGACTTTGGAATTTCATCTCTTAGAATTTCTTATCTTTTATTAAGTAAGATAAGATAAGATAGACTTCATTGATGGAGAAATGTACTTGTCACATTTGGCTGTGCAAAAGATAGGCATGGTGCAAAAAGGAAATGTGCAAACTTGTTAAAAAGTGAAAGAAGAAGAAGGTCCTTTATTCGTCCCACAGTGGGGAAATGTCAGTTTGATGAATACACATTTACACATTAAGGCATGCAGCGAACATTATTCCCGCGCTCCATAAGGGCAAAGTGGGTTAAGTGTCTCGCCCAAGGACACAACGACAGCAGACATCAGTGGCTCAAACCCATGACCTTCGATTCAAAGGCCAATGCTCTACCAACTGAGCCACTGTCAATGGTGGATAAGTGTATCTGAACATAAGCTAGTATTCTTGTTCAGTCATATATCATTATAATAAAGTGTTTGGTTTGTAACGTACTGTGTGTTGTTTTCTGACAGGTGCGTGATCTGCATGCTGGACTTCGTGTACGGGGACCCCATCCGGTTCCTGCCCTGTATGCACATCTACCACATGGACTGTATAGACGACTGGCTGATGCGCTCCTTCACCTGCCCCTCGTGCATGGAGCCGGTGGACGCCGCGCTGCTCTCCACCTACGAGACCAACTGACCGCACCGTTCGCACCGCCCCCTCCTCCACAAAACACACAAAACCCGCGTAGGCCTCTCGTACAGCGACGCGGGGTAAAAAGGGGGCGCGAGAATATCTTTGCTGTTGTCTTGCACTTTCAAAAGTTACTCACCTAATGTTGGCCTTCTTTGCCCCAGATCACCATCTTAAAGGGGACGTAACATGCAACATCAACTTTTCACCGCTTTATAATTGTTTTCACTTGTCGTTTACTCATTCTGCGTTGTTTTTGAGATCCATGCATGTTTGAGTCATTTAGAATCGCTTAGTTCCGGGAAGCCATCGGTCTCCCCCGGCTCCTCTTCCCGCCACAGCGGAGTATATAAGTAACCTTGATTTATAAAGCACATTTCACGGACCAAGGTCACACGAAACACATTTTGTTTTTGGTGTATTTCGCTTTCTCCCCACAAGCGGTGATGATGCGCACCAGTCCTCCCAACTTAACTCTATGCGCTATTTAAATTTTCTGATTTTGTGATAAGCCAGACATTCCGCTAAATTGTTCAGGCATTTTTGCTGGAATAGGAAAACAAAATAGCTGTTTTTGCTGACTCGCTTTGTGGTCTGAGCAGAGCCTGCGGGAGCCTTTTGCGTGACCGCGTTTCTGCTGACATCACGTAAAGGGGCAGACCTAAAACAAAATGGCGGATTGAATAGGGGAAAAAAAGCTTGTTTCCTTTTATTTTGAGATCAGTTTTGAGATTTGCAGATGTACTTCATATAACGAGCCACGTGTGTCCTAGAAGTCTCACTTTAGAGCAGACAAGTTATGTCTTCTTTAAGATGTAGTCCTAGAATAAGCTGGTCTTGCATTAGAGCCCACGACTTTGGTCAGAAAGTGCTCCCAGACAACCGTGCATGTTTGTCAGTGTAGTTGTGAAGCAGTGTTTGCCGATGACGCGTTAAGTAAGAATGTATCGTAGTCTGGACCGTGGAGCAGCCCGTCTGAGCAGGACTCGGAGGCGGCTCCTCATTCATCCCCTGAACCACTGATGCTGTGCTGAGTGTGTGTTGACAAAGCTTTACTGTGGCCTCCCATCATGCAGCAGTGGCGGAAAATATGAACCGTGTCAAGAGCAGGGCTGTTTCCAAAATACCTCCTTTCTCATCCTTCTTGGTCCTGTTCAAATTGTCTTTTTGTGAGAGCAGATTTGGGTTCAGCTCAGGCCTCACAGTAGGAAAGTTGTGGGTTTGGTCCCATGCCATATCTTAAGTAAAGTCCACCAGCCCAGGTCATCCTCAGAATGGTATTCTAAATTAGGCTATAAAAGCGCCTTAATGACCCAGGGCTAGTCAAGTTAAGAAAAATCATAAAAAGTCAGCTTGAAAAAAAAATATTTAGGGTATTTTTCAATCACTGTGGCAGGTATGGTGCCCCAAATGTTGAAAGAATAAGAAAGGAGGTACATGTTAGGAATTCAGATGCAGCCCAAGTTGTGTCATAGAGATGCTTAAGCGTCTTCTTAATCGTATGTTATTGATTCCTTTTTGAAAGAGGCAGGAAATATGTTCAAACAAATGTATCCTATTAAAACTTGTTTTGGAGCTATGCAAATTTTGGTTTGGGCACACCAGTTTTAATCACTACTGTCGCCCAAAAATTCGTATTTTTATATGGTTGTCGACAGTCAAACTTAAATAATAATCAATGCTAAAGCTAATATCAAAACTAGATTCATTTTAGCAACAATTGGTACTAATTATAGTCTACTTACAGGATAATGAGCAGGTTTAGTTTTATTTCTCTACAACCACATTAGTAAAATATACCTAAAGCTAATAATATTTGTGTTTTATAAATGAGAGCTTTTTGTCTTGAGAAAACCAAAACATAAACGTATACATACAATTCAATATCATGCAGAGCCAATATTTCTTCCTGGGGAGAAGAAAAAAATTCTCACATCCTTCTTTTTCTATATTATTTTTGGTATACATACTTGCACAGAGTTGAGAATAAACACGCATTTTAGGAAAACAATGCGAGTTCAGGCAAAATTAACACCCCCTCTTCTTCAGCCTCACGGTGTCTCTCGATTACAGCGCACATGTCGATAATTGAGATTGAGAAAATGTATTGCGCATCAAAAACATGTAAATTATGCAATAAAAGTGTCGCCAAGCCGCCTGTCAACACACACTCACACGCATTCTGTTACACATTTATTTTTTAAACACATTTTGCCACTAAACCGTAAATGTTTGTCGTCCACTGAACCCGTCTGTTGCCGTGATGAGGATTATACATGTTTTATGCACACGAGAAGAGAAACAACCCAAAGCTGAGGCTGGTAGAAAAAAAAAAAGCAGTGGTGTTGCATGAATTTTTTCAGTGGAAGAGTAAAGTCAAAGGGCTCATCGGTGCATGAGAACATTACCGCGCTTGCACACTCTCTTTCAACTCATCCAGAAAATTGCACTTTACTCGTAGGACAGTATCTAAAACAATATATTAATATATGTACCTTATAACCTTGCACTATTTAATGAGTCTGTTTTTTTTCCCTCAGATGCGAGCGATAGACGGCTGATAGATCTGTCACTTGTCACCGTCAAATAATTCTGATGTTATGAGTGTGTTGTGCTGAAAAGACTGCTTATTGTTAGTCAACGGGACAGAGGATGGGTGCTAATTAATGCGGCAGATTTCATTATGTATTCATTCATTATTTGTAGATTTGACGTTTAGAAAGATGGCCATTCACAAGAAACAACGAATGCTTCCATTTTATTTTTGCTTTATTCGTAGCTGGGTCAGAGAGGTAATGCCCAGTGATCTCTGGAGCAACTTGGGCTAGCTATGCATAATTTTGGAATAATTCTAGTACATTAAAAATAATAAGTATGAACTAAGTCATGGAATGTTTTGAAGGACACAGAACACATCCTTCCATTTTATTTTTCTTCATTCGTTGCTGGGTCGAGGGTGGAAATAACCAGAGTTCCTAACCACATTGCCTCCAGCTCATTCAGGGACATCCCACTGCTTTCCCAGGCCGGCTGAGAGACACAATCCCTCCAGGGTGTGTCCTGGGTCTCCTCCAAAGGAATAATTTACTCGCCAATATATGTATGAACGTGTCCCATCACATTGGAATATGTATGCAGGAGCAGAAAGCTGGATTTCACGTTTACACTTGAGTAGACCCAAAGCCTTTAAATCCTCACAAAGTTATCACATTTGATGGAGCCAAATTCAAGGCTTAAACGCTTTAAACGTACCCAAACCTGGGAGATGGTGGTTTTACTCTGTATTGGGGCATTCAAAATTCACACAAAACTGGAGTTGGAATCATTGAGATGAGCTTTAGGGTCCTGGAGTGCTGTGACTTTAGCTCATTATTAGTGATGAATTCTCTTGTTAGGACAGAACCCCTGATCAGTATTAACAGTAGTTACACATTATTATGTCAAGAAGTAATCATTTTTAAAAAGGACCTCCACCTGTGTTATTATAAAATTAGTATATTAAATTGATGCACAACAAAATCAATTTTATGACAGTTTAAGCATTCATTCTGTCTTCTCACATTTCATTATGAGCCCTGGCCCCTTAATTGTGTACTTGGTGGTTGCCATGGTAACTGATTCTACCAAAGCCTTTGACTGGGGCCAACCAGGAAGTAACATCGTCAAATCTTTTTATCCCAAAAGTCCATTGCACAATCCTCTGTCCGTTTGCGTTTCAAGGTGTGAGAATCTATCCGGTGTAATATTTCTGTTGTGTTTTTCATCTTTGTTTTCTGACTAATGTTCCCTCTTTTTATTTGCTTTCAGTTTTTTTTTCTTTTTTCTGAACCATTACAAAACTAAAATAAAGCAGAAATGTACTGCAGACAAGCGTGTGTTTCGTGTGTCGCACCAGTCTTGCCCCGTGCAGATTTACAGCTCTATCGTCACAGCGTCGAGAGATTAAAGAATTATTTTCCGTGTTGTGACATATTTAAGCCATTTATTGATGCAACAGGCCGAGAAATGTGACGAGTGGAGTTTGGTAATAGAGGGACACAAACAAACCAAACATGCTGGGGAAACTCAAGAAATTAGAATATCGCTCAAAAGTTCCTTTATCTCTGTAATTCATCTTAAATGTGAAACTAGTGTATGATATAGATGCAAAGTGGCATATGCTTAAGTCTTTGTTTTGATGGTCATGGCTCACAGTTCATTGTCAGAATATTCTAAGGTTCTTAGATATAGTTGTAATTGGGGATGTTTTTAAGTTGTGAGCCAATTGGCAACTTTATTAAAAAAAACAGGCTTGGTATGTCTCACTTTGCGTGGAGTGGGTGTCATATATTAGTGCCGCATTGTGAGTTCAATTACAAAAGTAAATGGACTTCTGAACGATATATTATTTTTCTTGGTTTCACCTGTTTTTGTAACTGGTGCTTAAGCTATTTAAAACAATTTTAAGCATTGTTTGAGTGACTGTTCACAAGTTATTTTTGTGGGTGTTGAATATACAGTCACTAAAGAAATATCAAAGAATACATTATAGTTTTTTAATATATGCAATTTGAATTTCTGGTGCATTCACAGTTGATTGAAGTGAACTCTTGAACACTTGGGAAATGCTTTATTTGTGGAGATGTGAAAGCACCAAACAACAATATTATATTCTGCTACTTATTGAACAATTCTAGTACATTTTTAAAAATAGCTTCAAAGGTTTCAAAGTACACAGAAAATTAAAATGATCAATATCGTTAAAACGTATGCATTTTAATTTGGTGTATGGGTTTATCATATAGTTTACCAATGAACAAATATGAATCTGAAAAAATATATAAATATATTTGAAATGTAGTCCATGAAAGTACATGAAAACCAATGTATTGAGGATATATATTAAAGGTATAGGAGGATTTTTTTACTTCCGGTTGGATCATCAAGACTACTGGTCCTCCTAATTGTCCATCATTCTGGTGATACGTGCTCGTCAAACAAGACCAGAGTTTTTTCAAAAAGTGGAGAGGGTGGTTCTTTCCTAAAGTTTGGAAAAATCCTCCTTCATACCTTTAATTTTCAGTACCAATATCTGCATCCAACCATATTACTGTATGAAGACTTTGAAATGCTGTACGATCATTGGATGCCGGTATTGGGGAGACTGTGCTCTCCCTGACACTGACTACAGCTGTGTTTGGATTTACTGCTGGGAATCTCTTTAGATTTAGTGTTGAAACAGTTAATCAGCTTTTCACTTTCAAATTGGAAAGTTGTTGAAATTTGTTCCTAATGCGATTTGTGTGTGATTAGGAATTTGTGTGAAATGCTTAATAAGGTCAAATATTTCAGGAATTCAAGGATTTAGTTTGTCTGTTTTTGTCTGCTAGTTTTAGGGCCAATTTATTCTAAAGAGCTCATTTTCTGGCTGTAGGTTAAAAAGAACCATAGCTTTTCTTTTTTTTCTCAATTTATTCTTCCATCCTCAACACAAATACATGCAAATAATAATATAAAATCATGTATCCGGACATGACCATACATTTTATCTTTGACTTTCTCTGTAGAGCAGTAGAGGCTTTAGGGCTTGTACATTCCGTGGAAGGTGACGGGGAACGTGCAGTCCACCTCGGCCCGGGCGATCTCAGACAGGTCCCTGGCATTGAGGATCAGGCAGTATCCAGGCCTCTGGGAACCGGGGGCCACCACAATGGTCAGCAGGATGCCTGAGACACACAAAGGACATGGTTTTCAAGGTGATGTTATTGTAAAAACTGTTATTTAGTTTGCCAACACTTGCCCATTATAGTTATTTACAAAGCTATGAACCATGTGGCCATTAACAAGTCAGTTAAATACTAACTTGATCTATAGACTTTTGTAAGTTGTGTTGCTATGTTCTGTTTCTCAGTAGACGTTCTAGTTCTTGTAATTATTATATATAGGTTTTTGTTTCTCTGCTAAGCAGGTTTTCTAGTCGCCAGAGTTTGTTAGTTTGTCTGGAGGTGTATTAGTTTGTTAATTAATTCGCTCACACTGTCACACATTTTTTTAATTGAACTGAATAAATGAATGACGCCTTTATTAGTTCCATCAGACCCTCTTCCAGGCCTGAAGTCTGCACTCAAGGAGTTAGTGATAACAATTGAGTATTTACTTTACGTCAGACTTTACGTCAAGTCTGACGAAGGGCCTCAGCCCGAAACGTTACTATTTTGTGTGGTATGTAAATAAATTACACTGTTTTTGGGAGCTACATAGCTGTGCGGATTATTTTTCACTGTTTTCTACGTCTTGCATTTTTTAATCCAGCACGCCAGCTCAGATTACAGGGATGTGCGGCCTTATTTGACATTTTCTAACAATTGAGTATTTACCATCGTCTTCATCCACTCCATCAGGGGTCTGTACAAAGAGGGGCTCTGAAGGGTAAGAGTCTGGCTCTTGCCAAATCCAAGTCTCCTTGGTCTTCACGTTCAACTTGATGATCTATGAAACATTTACAACAACTAGTTTATATTTAACATTTAGTTTTTAAGAGGTGATTGATTAATGCAACTGAATGTCTGTGATATTTCTCTTGTAGATGTGATCCATGAACTCACTCGGTCTGGCACAAAGTGGTTGAGGCCCAGGCCATAAGCAAATGTGTAGTTCTTTCCTGAAAACTTCTCGTAGTTGATCTGAGGAAACTCAAACGCTGAAAACAAAAAACAAAATTTAATAAGGCAATAATTGGATGAATATAACAAAGATACTGTATGATTGTGAGGGCTTACCCTGACGTGGTCCAGAGAACAACACCTCAGGCTCCAACCAGATCATGCCGTCAGCGTGCATGGTGGCGGTGGCCGTGGTGTAGGGCAGGCTCACCAGGTTCTTTCCTTGTTCCTCCTGAAAATACAACGCAACTGTTCAGTTCCACATCTTCACACAGGTGATTTTCTCTGATCTGCACTAAATAGGACTTGAGTTTGAACACAATGATACATTTGTGGGAATGGTAAATGAGGTTAGTATCTTGTTTTCAGAATAGCGACGTTTATGAACATGCTGCTGGACCATATACAGAGGGGTCAGTCACCTTGTTCACATCCAGAGGAATCACGTATCGACGCACTTCAGGCTGAGGCGCCATCATGGCCGCCTTCTTCACCTCATCCCAGTTGGCTCGCAGGTTGGCCAGCCACAGGTAGTTGTAAACAAACTCAAAGCTGCAGAAACAAGGCAAAAACCCTCAAGACATGCAGCAGTAGAGAGCTGTAATCGACCAAAGTCTTCATCAATAGTATAATCTGGCTTAAATACCTAAAGAAACCACAACATCTTCAGCTATTTTGTTCTATACCTTCTTGAGTTGTGAAAAGTATTGAAAATCAGATTTTAGTCAATACTAAAACTAGTAACCTAAATACACCTAGATACAGTACTCATTTCTGAAAATAACAATACTGCAAAGAAATGACAAAAAGGACAGTATTTGAGATTCTCTGAGCAGATCTCAGAGTTTGATCTCAGAACTAGTATAAATGAGAACCATTATATGTGCTATAATAATGTGGTAGCTCATTTGTTAAATAGGTAGTTTGTCATTTTAGTATCGTGACAATACTAACACGTTCCCATTTCAATAAAAAATACAATTCAACAGTGATTAAAAGTTGTAATTTAGGGTCTCAAAAGGTCTAAAGGACCCAGGGCTGGTCAAGTTAGCCAAAATCATAAAATTAAGGTTACTTTTTTTTAATTTATGGCATTTTATTAATCACTGCAGCGGCTCGAGGATAGCACAAAAACGTATTCACCCTTCAGTCCCAAGTGAAGCCGAGGTTACTTTGAGTGGACTGCACATGCTTCAGCTGGGAACCGTGAAACTACCGATCAAGTGTGCGCTGTTGCAGTAGTCACTTAAGTCATTTGGGTGGTTTCAAATCCACAAAGTATTTTAGCCCTGATTGATTTGACTAAACTCTGGTTCACTTTAGTGTGAAGTGTGAACATAATCAATGAATGGACTACACTTGAGAGCGACTTCTCTTCACAGCGTTTTTCGTACCCTTTCCACGCACAGAGATCCACCACCACAAAGCCCTGGTCCTCGTAGGTGTTGATGTGGTGGAACATGCCGATGGGAGCTCCTTTGAACTTCAGGTCGATGTATTCTGCTGGTTCCTTTCTGGCAATGTGGAACAGCGTCTGCAAAACAAAACCTTGTTAAAACTTTAGATACAGTTTGTTTTCCCGCTATACAGGACTTTTCCGTCTCACTCCTTGGCTTTCGTTGGACTCAAAGCAGTCCATGTAGTTGGAGCCTCGGATGCTCCACGCGCTCAGGAACTTCAGCAGGTTGATTTTGACTGGAGTCTCCACAAATACAAAGTAGTTGTCCGACATGCCGAAGCTGAAGAGAAATGTTTGTTAGAAAGGTTTCGCCGATGTGTAACAATATATTATTATAAATGAAGACAAGGCAAATACCTGTGTACGTAGGAAGGCTTGAATCGCTCATGACTGGGAAACTGCACCCACACCTTGGACTTCTCGATTGGGTCAGATTTATCTAAATAGAAAGTAAGTACGTGAGTGAAGTTTATCTATATAGCGCTTTTCACAGACCAGAATCACAGAGCGCTTTACAATTGTTGAGGCCATTTGTCTCTCACTCCACACAGAGATGGGAGTGGGGTCGCTATACAGGAGCCCCATGTCATACATGTTTTTAATGGTAGGAGAAACCAGAGGGAAGAACATACAAACCCCACACAGAGAGGCCTGGAGGTGGATTCGAACCTAGAACCTTCTTACTGTTTAGCAAACCACTGCACCACCATTTTGCCCAAGAACTGCTGAGCCTGTACATGTCATTCATCTTTAAATAGTAAATACTGTAATATCCATCCATTTTCTTTCCATTTCTTTCTTTTCCATTTTGTGCATGGATTCTAATATGACTAAATATTTTTTTTCCCATATTTAAGAATTCATAGCTATATTGTAACTTGTATGGGGAGAGGGTAAATATGTTTACCCCACGATGAACGTTATTTTACTTTATGAATGGGAGGGAGGGGGGTTGGGGAAGAGCGGGAGGGGATTCTGGTGGTCACCAATGTCTTGTTTTTTTGTCTTACACTTAGTTAGTTTATCCATATTCTACCGAACTCTGCTTTGCTGCATATTGTGCCAAATTAAACGCAGTAATGACCAAGCATAGAGCACATGATTTTGATGTGGATCTGGACCCGGAGAGTAATTTACTGAGTAATGTAAGCCATACTTGTAAATATTACACAGATGTCGAGTTTACATCAACTAGCAATTCAATAAATGGTGTTTCATTTATTCATTTCAATATTCGAAGCCTTTATGCTAATTTTATTAGGATGAAAGATTATTTGTATTCACTTAAGTATCGTTTTAAAATAATAGCGCTTTCTGAAACTTGGCTTCGCGATGAGAATGTTTCTGATTTTGAAATAGAAGGATACACAATGCACTACACAAATCGCCCTGGAAGGAGGGGTGGTGGTGTGGTGTTGTATGTTGACAATATCTTGAATTGCAAAGTTGTCGAACCAATGACTATGGCTATTGAAGGAATTATGGAAAGTGTGGCTGTAGAAATTGAGATGTTGAAAAGCAGGAACGTGATAGCTGCATGCGTGTATAGAGCACAAAGCTCGAAAGTGGATGATTTTCAGTTCAATTTTGAAAAAATATTAGACGCACAGGATAACCAAAAAACCCTTTTGATCGGCGGAGACTTTAATATTGATTTTCTTAATTCACGAAATTGTAGAGCAACTTCTGATTTCTTAAGTGCTCTATGTTCACGCTCTCTGTTCCCTCTGATTTCACATCCAAGTAGAATCACCACATCCTGTGCTACATTGATCGACAATATTATCACAAATAATGCAGACCACTTTATATCAAGTGGCTTGTTGATTAATGACATTAGCGATCACCTGCCTGTTTTTACCATCTATGACCTGCAGCCTAGAAAATATGAAAAGCTGAATTACTCTACATACTGCAGAGTCAGAACAGAAATTAATATCCAACATTTTAGAAACGAACTTCTCAAGCAACACTGGTCTGGAGTCTATGTGGGTGATGTGAATGAAGCTTATTATTCCTTTTTAAATACTTTTATATCACTATATAATATTTGGTGTCCATTGAAGCAATCCAAAAAAATTACTAGAACTGATAAACCATGGTTTACAAGAGGAATAATAAGAGCATGTCATAAGAAAAATAAACTGTATAAAAATTATGTTAAAAACCGGAACACTGATAACGAAAAAAAATACAAACTATCAAAAACAAATTAACTACCATTATGAGAAATGCTGAGAAGGATTACTATAACAGAAAACTGAGAGAAAATCATGGGAACATGAAGGCGACTTGGAATGTACTAAACAGAGCAATCAGACCCAACTCCAAACAAAAAATCATACCTGATTACTTCATTGAGGATGATATTGTTCATAATGATAAAAGAAAGATTGCTGATGAATTTAACTTATTTTTTACTAATATAGGAGCTAATATAGCCAAGAGTATGGACGGATCGAATCAAAGGGGAACATCTGAGATGGGGAGCAGAATAATGCAGTCTATATTTCTGGGAGAGGTCTTTGAAAACGAAATTTTATCTATTGTAAATAAGTGTAAAAGTAAAACCTCCACAGACAGTGATGGACTCGACATGTTCATTATAAAAAGAACTATCGACTGCATTATCAAACCTTTGACATTTATCTGTAATCTGTCTATACAAACTGGTGTTTTTCCGGATCAAATGAAAGTCGCCAAAGTAATCCCGCTTTTCAAAAATGGGGATGAACATACATTTAACAACTACAGACCAGTGTCGCTGCTCTCTCAGTTTTCCAAAGTCCTGGAGAAATGGTTCTCTCATAGACTTACACACTTCTTAGATAAACATAACTTAATCAGTGAAAAACAGTATGGGTTCAGGACACAAAGATCTACAAGCCTAGCACTTATTGAATTGGTTGAAAAAATAACAGCTGCTACGGAAAGAAGAGAATATACAGTCGGAGTATTCATTGACTTACGCAAGGCATTTGATACCGTAAATCATGAGTTTGCTACTGTCCAAATTATATAGCTATGGAATCAGGGGGCCAGTACACCAATGGCTTCAAAGTTATATTTCTAACCGTGAACAATATGTGCATATCAAGGGGGTGAATTCACATTACAAAAAGGTCACATGTGGAGTCCCACAAGGGTCCGTTTTAGGACCTTTGCTTTTTATTTTGTTTATCAATGACATCTGTGAAGCGTCTAATAGCTTAAACTTTTTGTTGTTTGCTGATGACACCAGTATATTCAACTCGGGTAATAACTTGCTTGAATTAACAGAAAGAGTTTGTGCTGAATTAAAAAATGTGAGGAATTGGTTTAATGCAAATAAGTTATCATTAAATTGGGACAAAACAAACTTTATGATATTTGGTAACAAAAATAAAAGTGATGATGTGAAAATCACAATTGATGGAGTTCGGATTGAAAGGGTTAATGAAGTTAAGTTTCTGGGCGTTGTCTTAGATGAGAAACTTAATTGGAAAGCTCACATAGACTATGTAAAGAAAAAAATTAGTAAAACTATTGGTATCTTGTACAAAGTGAAAGATTTATTTGATTGTAGCTCGTTACATATGCTGTACTGCTCACTGGTTCTCCCATATTTCAGTTACTGCACTGAAATCTGGGGTAATACATATAGCACCAACACCAAACCCTTGTTTTTGTTGCAAAAAATAGCTATAAGAATTATTAACAATAAACATTATAGAGAGCATACAAACATCTTGTTTATAGCATCTGGACAACTCAAGTTTAAGGATATTGTTGATTTGAAAATCTTGCTCCTTGTGTGGAAAGCTAAACAGAAAATGTTGCCCAATTATGTGCAAGATCTATTTTGCGTGAGTGATGGACACAGAAGAAAACACAACTTCCGAACCAAATTTGCCAGGACAACACTGAAACAGAAATGTCCCTCAGTTTATGGAGTTAAACTGTGGAACTCCTTGAATGAAGAACTCAAAGTTTGTAAAAGTGTGTGGAAGTTCAAGAGAATGTATAAAGTAAAAATTTTGAATGAATATAATTTAGGTTAAAAAAGAGGATTGTATCTGACGAAATGTGAGACATTGAGGACTGTTGATGCGTTGTGCAATTGGTGACTTGGGTTTTGGTGTTTGGGGTTTAAATTGGGAAATTCAATTTGCTTTCCTTATTTTATTTTATTGTTTTTGTACAAAGGACAGGATATACAAGATTTATCTTCTTTCTGTTCCTTTTGTTCAGGTAAAAGCATGTATGAATGTGTCAACTGCAAACTGATTATGAAATTGCTTGAACAATAAACATAAACAATTTTAAACTCAAATTTTTCTACCCTTTAATCCATTTCTGGGTCAGGTTTAAATACTGTAATAATCATCTTTAAATAGTAAATACTGTAACCATGTGCAATACTGCAATCTCATAATGTCCCCTGAATGTCACTTCTACTTATTATCCTGCCCTATATAACTTTGATATTGATATTTAAGCATTTACAGCTAGCTAAGAAACATATTTTGTGTGGTGCCTGTGCGCTGCAACAGTGAAATTTTTCCCCTGTGGGACAAATAAAATGTTCTCTTATCTCATCTTGATTACCTTTCTGCGTCGGTGGCATCTTCACAATGTTGTAGGCCAGCGTGGCTCCTTTCCCCATGCAGTTTCCAATGTTCCAAACCGTGCCGTCCCGTTCGATATGAGGATGGGCGGTGACTCCGTTGATGTTCACATAGTTACACAGATCAACCTAAAAAGGAAAACGCAAAATTCTTGAAGATTATTCTTGTTTTCAGACTTTTCTGAAGGTTGACGGGGGCTGCACCTTCTTGAGGGTCTCCAGGTTTTCCGTGTTGACTTTAGTGATGTAGTTGGTTTCGGTGACGGCGTAGTAGTCCTCTCCGATCGGGTACACGTTCACCAGGCAGTTGTCCGTTACCTCTACACCCTTGAAGTAGGAGAAAAACCTGCAAAGAATACAAAAAAGTGTCAAACTCAAAATAGGAGAGGCAGCTTACTCCCAGTTTACAAAATAAGAGGATCTTTGTGCTCCTTGTAAATGGAGTACACTGTCTAATTACAGCACAAGTGCAAGGGCAGTGTCACGTAAGATTTTTTGAACAAGTAATTAGTTACACAATACTTACAAATTAATTAAATATTTACGCAACTTATTGCGGTTACAACCTCGAGACCGCAGCACACAACATTCCACAAGAACAAAAAAGAACACAACATTAAACAAAAACACAAAAGTGCAACGCTAAAGAGAACAAACATGACAGAAAGACAAGAAGACAAAAAATAAAATATAAAATAATAGATTTCATTTAAAAATTCAATAAAAAAATAAATAAATATATATATATATATATATATCAATTATAAGAATAATGATGATAATAATAATAATAATGACAATAAAAATAATACTGATTTGTTATTTTCTTAAAACACAAAAGATCTCTTCACACAAATGCTGTTGTGTGTGTGCTCTAAGCTTAAGCTGTGTGATGGTTTCACAAGTAACTGCTAAGTCAAATAGGTATTTTGTAGTAACTTTAATTTTATAACTAAACTAGTGTTATCAAAGTAATCTGTTACACCACTGTTACTTCTATTAGTAGGTGATCTATTCTCAGTAAGTCATTGTTTGTAATTGAGTTTCACACAACACTGGTCAAGAGTGAAGTAAGTCTGCATTTGGGTGGACGCTCTTTTCTTTAGACTTTTAAATACGTCTCCATTTGTTAAAAGTCTTGTCAAGATTAATTTTGTGGCATTTGTGAAGCACATTTAGTTGCAGTAAGGTATAAACTATATATTATGTCGCTATAAAAAATACATTCTTTTTACTAAAATTGCTTTGAATACAGTGCCCTCCCATGACAAGTGGGAAGCTCGAGTCTTTAGCCTTTTCTTACCTGGAGAAAATATTTTTGCAGGGATCTGGGTAAGCAAACGTCCCAAACTCGGTAATCACCACACGCTTTTCAGTGATGGCTCTCACGTAGGCATCTGTTTTTACAAACCTGGCAAATAAAAACAAACCAATTGCTTCTCTCTTTATCTGTTTTGCTCAGGAAAATCAATTGGACTTTATATTCTCTTACTTTCTATAGTAGGTGACCTGGCCATTCTTAAAGTCAAACTTGTGCATAAGAGCCTGCCCATCGAAGAGGTGATAAAAAGGCTCATCTCCAACTTCAAACAGACCAGGCCCCAGACGGAGGAGACTGCCCTTGATAAACGAGGGAATCCTACCTGTAAACAAAAGTATTCAAGATTCAAGGATTTTTTTTGCCATTTGCAGTAAAACCACATTGGAAAAACTGTGCAAGACTACCCCAGTGCGCACCAGGATAGTACACGCCGGAGCTCCTGTACTGCATCGTAATTACATTGGAGCTGAGAATGTAAATAACATTAAAAATGAAAATGTATGGTTTAAAACTCACCAGTGACTGTTGCTGGAATTGGGTCAGACAGCTCCTCGCATGTTTCGAAAATCTTCCTGTAGCCCCCAGCTGGATGCTCAAATCTGTCAGTAAACGCATGAATTTGGATTTCAATTGAATTATGAATGAGTTAAAAGTCCAGACAAAAAACATACACTAAAATCCTTTTTAAAAATTCATGCTATTTCTATCCAAATCTAAATATATCGTGAAAATAAAAAGTTCTTCTTACCGGCTGACCATAGTTGTTCCTTTTGCTGCTGCTCCACTCAAACAAACCCGTTGGCCACTTCTGAACTGGACTCCTCTAACCCTGGTATTTAGTCTATTTATCCGTGGAGGGCCCCCCTAAACATTGACTGCAATATTAGGTGTAAAACCTTTGCCTTGGCCAATCGCGTCGCAGCCTGAACAAGAATGCCTTTGTGCCCATATCCTTTGCTGGATGGCTCAATGACCACGCTGCTGAAACCGGATTTATTCTTTATGAGGGAATATTAATTACAGTGGGGGCTATGCTTTGTGTTGCAATGCTCCATGTGATTGAGTGTTGTAGCAAGTGCCTTTTAGTGAATGTTATTGCTAATGCTGTGTCATGCTTGTTAGCTTTTGTTGGGGAAATCTACAATCTACGTTGGATGTATAATGTATTGGGCAATGTAAATGTTTGTGTATTTTGGGCTCCAGTTTTAAAGGTGGAAAAGTCATATCTACAGAGAGGAGATGCTAGCACAATGTTGATATATTTGTATTGAGGTATTAATTAGGTCATTGGGGGTTTTACTTTCATGACCCCAGGGGAAGTTTACAGACAAGAGTAGAAAGTGTTTTTTTTTAAGCAGCAAAATCATATCTATTAAAAATACATATTTTTTTTATTACACTGATTTACATTAAACTACTATTGATAGGAATAATCATGAATCTATGTATTCTTTCCTGGTAACTTTTTTCCCAATTGTTTTGTTTTGCTTAACATCTCGGGCCTCCTGTAAAAAATGTAGGTTATTATGTATTTTTGTAGCATAATTATGTGATACCTAATTAGTAATTCTGTGAAGTATACTCATTATTAGACCAAGCATGTTTTATAATCCAAATAGTCTTTTAATAGATCATAAGACATAATTGTACGAACACTTGTGTCCCTGGACAGTTGGAAAGAAAGTCCCAAAGAAGCAATATTTACTTTATGTTAAGAAGTCCTGCAACTTGAAGCATGATTATAACTGGAACACAATAATAATGTGCTATTTTAGGTCAAAATAATAAAACTGTTTATATTAATACCATTCCATCCAAATACATTATGTAAAAACCCAGACACTAAAAAAAGAGGTATAGAGTCATTTGGACAACACGTCTCAAAACAATCTTCTGCAACTAAAACAAAGTTAAAGGGATGAAGCGTGTCCAGTTTTAATTTGCTTGTCTCTATGCAGCTTTAATCCAGGTGTGGGGATTAGGCAGAGCGTGGCCACAGGACAATAGCTCTCTGTTTCTCCTGAGAACAAACTCCATTAGTTTCAGCACTTTAAATTATGAAACCACTTTGATCAAATTCATTCAATTTGATTTTGCAGCAATATCATGAGTCGAGAGGGAACTTTGCGTAAATAGGGGAGAGTTTAAGGCCTATGACTATTGTTATTGGTGTAGAACAGGTCCAGCCCTACCCGATAAGCGGTTACTTAGGGCCCCAAACCCTAGATTTACAGTTTAATTGGCAATCATGATATTTTCTTCTTTTTCTTCTGCTGTTCTTCTCAGCTTCTTAAGCAGCTGTCAGGATTAGAAGTAACAATTTATTTTTCCATGTCTTGTTTTTTATCAGGTGAGATTACTGCCACATATTCATAATCCATTTTGCAATACAATAACATAATCAATAAATTAATGATCACTGATATATTGCGTGGACTGAGCCAAATGCCTTAAATATGTATATATAACGTGTGTGGTGACCTGTATGGTGTCGTATATATAAACAAACATAGACTGAAAGTGTGAAGTGGTCTAAACTGAGAGCCATGGTTTGAATAATGGAGAGAAAATGAGAAGAGCAACATCTGCTGGTGAATGTGCGACACTACTGGCAGCCATCGACCATTATGAGTGAATTACGATTAGTTTTGATAATGTATCTGCGTTTATGTGTCTATAGTATGAACGATAAGTGTCTCTTAACTTTAACGTTGGTAAGACAAAATGTTTTTGAATGTTTTTATTACATCCGGTTTCATATAAAAAATAGCTCCTTCCGTATCCTTCCTCGTCCTTCTTTTTCGTTCATTAGAAAAGACAGCTCTAGATTTTCACAAATGATAATTAAGACATTATTAAATTGTAATTCCAGCTAAATAAGTTAAGTAATTAATTAAAATCGAAGAATGGTAAGGGAGAATGGAGTGATTTATGAATCCGGATGCAGCCATTTCTTTGAGCTTTCGCATTGTTTTGCGGCGCATGCGCGTTTGAAGACGTGTTAACAAGATGGCGGAGATGCGGTCGGGCTGCTGCCTGTAGTTTTCTCCGCGGAAAATTCAATGTTTTGTGCTTCATTATCGCGTACTGCTACGTATAGTTACTGTTTCGTACCTTTGCGATTGTTTTTTTGTCGTTACGTTTGAGTCTAGATTTGCTGTTTCTTCGGCAAAATGAATTTCACCACGAAGGTTGTGCAGGTGACCAATGTGTCGCCGAGCACCACGTCCGAACAGATGCGCACACTCTTTGGTTTTCTCGGAACCATCGAAGAATTAAAGCTATTCCCACCAGAGTAAGTGAAACATAACACATGTTCAGATTTGATACACACAACAATGTTTGAGATGTTTCTTGCTAACCTTACTGATAATGTTTGTTTGTTTCGTAATGGCGCGACGGCCTGATGCGCTCTCGTTAGCCTCGATGCTAACTTGGCTAGCTCCCATTGCTTTGAACAGCGCTGTTATTCGAGAAACTAAAAACACTGATTTATAAGCACTTGATGTTTCCTCCGTCCCCAGTCGCTTAAATCATTGAGTATGCTTATTTATAGAAAGGGCAGTTGGCGTTTGTTATGATCGGAGAGGAAACAATGTCTAACCAATATGACGCTTAACAAGACGGCCATTGGATTGAAGGAGTATAGCTACATTGATGCGTCTGTAAAATGCATGTATAAAATCAGGATTTTTTGTAAAGGTTATTGATTAGCCTTTTTTCAAGCCATAAATCACAAAAAGGTCTCAAAAGTATAAACTATGAACTTTATGGAACTGCACTTTTTGCGTTCGTTACCTGAACTTTGTGAACTAGGCCTTTATCTGCTTATTTTTCAGTGTCAAATGCATTTTGTGGCTTTAAAATTGGTTGCAAATTAAGTGAATCTATGGTTTAAGCAGCATGGAAAGTCACAGGCTACGTCTTTGTTGTGACCAAGTTCAATGCAATAAAATATGAAGGAAAAAGAGGGGATAAGGACAGGTTTGTTCTGCAGACTTGTCATAACTGTGTCTTTGTTTGACCATTCCACAGTGACTCGCTGATGCCTGTCACGTCCCGGGTGTGTTTTGTCAAGTTCCTGGAGCAGGAGTCAGTCGGTGTGTCTCAGCATCTCACCAACACGGTCTTTCTGGACAGAGCTTTGATTGTGGTCCCTTTCGCAGAAGGTTTGTATCACGCGTTCTTAAAGTTGTGTGTGTCCTTTGATTGAATGGCATCATTATTCATCGCCATCACTGAACTAAAAAAACAGAGCTCTCTTTCTGTAGTAAGGCCCGGGATTAGTCCGACCCGTGTTTATTTTTGTTATCTCCAAACCACCTAAACCAGGTTTGGCCCTCTCTAAAACAACTCAATTATCAACTGCTAATCTGAGCAATTGTCTTGATAGATATATATGCATTTTATTTTATTCACCCATGTTGGACTTTCCTCTGTTAAACTTCTCTTTGTTATTTGTGTGTTGTGTGTATGTGTGTGTGTGATTTTTGTAGTGAAGAAGGCAAAAGGTCAAAAGGTGCCCTCGTTGAAGGCTCTCAGTGCTCCTCTGCAGCCAACAGGGGACTCTAGGCATTTGCAAAGGCCAGCACCATTCAAGCCCCACCCTGTCTTTTTGTCTCTCTTTCCCTCTCTCTTCTGTCTTAATTTATCTTTTGCAGGTTATTTACCTTATTAATGCTGGAATGTCAATACATTCAAAGCCATTATTTCTTCCCAAACTGAAAGCTACCTCTATTGCAAAGTTAAATTCAGAATGTCAAGACTAGATGGTCCCATGTTAGGTTTAGACTCCAAAAGCATTAACTTATAATAATAGTTCTATGAAGTTTGATTTGTTTTTTGATTGAAAAAAAACCCAATGGAAACAGGATGCAATTCTTATATTCAATGTGGTACATTTTAATATTTTGTGTAAGTAATCACAAAGTGCTGTTCATTGAATGGATCCGTACTGTTTTATTAGATCTGAAATGAGCAGCCCTGGTGTTGGTACAATCCCAGTTAACGGTGGTCTCCTTTTGTTGTTGTGTTTTGCAGCCAGTCCTGTAAACCAGGCCCTGCTGAAAAGGCCACCACTGCAGATTTTCTCCTGTTTGTTCTTTATTTTTATGTTGTCACTGTTTGGTGCCTGTAAATACAGTGGTTTATGGTGAAATGACAATGTTAATAATTCTGGTAATGATTTCTAATACGTTTCACTGATGACACACAAATTCAAATTGATAATCATAGATCTTTGATTTGCTAAATTGATGCAGTGACAGGTAAGAAACCAGAACAATAATTTAATGCGAGCACTTTAGCATTCCCCATTAAGTGTCAATGTCATGCAGCACATATTTTGTTTTGGTATCATTTTGACAACACCCTAAATTTCTCTTTTGTGTGTATCTCGATTTTTCTCTGTGTGCTTTTTAGTAGCCAAGCCGCCCACGTGAGTCGCTTGTTTGAGTCTATATGAAAAATGAGGGCTCACCCAACTGGAGAAGCAGCTGTGCTTGCTAACGTTTGGTTCATGACTTAAAAAACACGTTCAGGTGATTTTTGGCAGTGTTCATTGGAGTAGTGTGGTACTTTGCAGCAATAGTTATGTCACTGCAGTCATTATTTTGGGACCTCAAATCTGTAAGGTAACCTTTTATTTGAAGAAATGCAGTGTGAGGACTGTATGCTTCTGCTCTGTTGTGTGTCCTCCTATGTTCCCGTCTAATGCTGCTTTGTTTCCCACAGGTTCCATCCCAGATGAGAGCAAAGCTTTGTCACTGCTGGCACCAGCTAATGCTGTTGCAGGAATCCTGCCTGGAGGAGGACTTCTTCCCACTCCCAACCCCCTTCCCAACCCGGTATGATCAATGACTACTGTGCTGCTTTGTTTTCATTTGTATTAGTTTAATTCTGAGTGTGTTTATCTCTTTTTTCAGTTGGGTCCAAATCCGTTTGGCGCCCCGAACATGGATGCTCTGGCTGCTTTTGGATTTCCTGGAGCCAACATGAACCCACAGGCGGCGGACCAGTTACTAAAATTTATGACGGATCCAAAGTAAGTGTTGGATGCTATAAACACGTCGACCACCTCCTGGTGGAACATCAAACGCACTAAGCTTCTTTGTCCAGGCTGAACCCGCTGGCAGTTGGTTTGAACCTGAGCGCGAGCTTGAAGGCAGATGCATCAAATAAAGAAATCGAAGTTGCCATGAAGAGAGTCAGAGAGGCCCAGTCCCTCATCTCTGCTGCCATTGAACCAGGAAGTGAGTCATGTGTTGCCTGGCAACAACAGTGGTCATTGAAGAGGAAATTTGAATCTTTAAAATATAAATGTGTTGCAGGCAAGGAGAGCAAGCGGCGCCACTCTCGCTCACGGTCCCGGTCCAGAAGGAGAAGAACAAGGTCTCGTTCACGACACAGGTATTTGAAGCTTAAGCTGAAGTGGTCCTCTCACAGTTTGAACTACTTTTATACTCATGTTGTATTCACGTTCAGGCGCTCGAGAAGCAGATCAAGGCGACGATCCGGCTCCAGAAACAGGAAGCGATCAAAGAGTCCACGCAGGAGACGCAGCCGCTCCAGAGATCGCAAGCGCTCCCGCAGCAGGTGCACCTCCTGGCTTTATTCAAATGTGGACAAACGGAAGAGCAAATGTTAACTTTGTTCATAAACTTTGTGTTTTAGAGAGAGAAAAAAGGAGGAAGCAAGAAAAAGGTCCAGGACCCCTCCCAAAAGCTACAGCACAGCGAGAAGATCACGCAGTGCCAGTCGGTGAGTACAATCATATTATTTTTGTTTACACGTGACATTATTCTGATGAATGTATTCGTTATATTCCAGCAGCAGACGCAGAAGAAGCCGCAGTGGCAGCAGATCTCCCAGAAAGTCTCCAAAGAGGTCTCCATCAAGGTCTCCCTCTCCTAGAAGGTCACTGCAGTGACTTAGAGCATTCATTCTGAAGAACATCAATATTCATGGTCATTTTATCTTTCTACAGACATAAGAAAGAGAAGAAACGAGACAAGGAAAGAGACAGGGAGCGCAGGAGTGACAAAGATCGCAGCCGTGACGACCGTGAGCACACCAGCAGCAAGAAGAGGAGGAGGAGCAAGGAGAAGGAGCGCGAGCAGGAGCGCAAAGTCGACTCTGAGAAGGATGTAAAGGTTACTATAGTTTGCTCTGAGCCTGTGCCCACATTTTAACCTCCTCACAATGTTATCACAGGACAAACGCTCAGTTTGTTTTGTTCTAATTAACTGAAGTGTAGGGCACGCCCATTCAACTCTTTATTTTATCTTGGAAACTCTGAAGCTCCAACTTCCAACTCAGAAAAACTCGTTTGAACACTGCTCAAGTCTAATTCAACTCAGAAACTTTGCTGAACTCAAAAGTTGCTTTTATAAATGGATGGACGCTTGCACAACCTATAGCTGGAGTCGCACTGAGGGTCTGAGCTGGTGTGTGTGCTTCCAGGTCACCAGAGACTACGATGAAGAAGAGCAAGGCTACGACAGTGAGAAGGAGCGCATGGGGAGGAAGGGCTCCGAGGAGTCCATGTCTCCTCACTCTGAAGACAACGGCACTCAGGCGGTCAAAGGCGTCAAAGTGAACGGTTCCGACGACCACCACGAAGAAGACATGGATGTGAGCGACTAGTACCGTCCCGCCATATAACCCAAATGTTTAGTCCGTAAAATGTGATAGAAATAAGTTGTAACCGTTTCTCCTACAAAGTACTACACAGATTTAAGTTATTTTGCCTTTAGGCTTATCCAATGGTTTGTCGAGGCGCTTTTACCGCTGTGGCTACAAACGGCCTTTAGTCTCTGCTTGTGTCTGGTGTTTTGCCCTCTTCATGTGATATCTTGACATTTTGACGTCATGCTTTTCCTCTATTCACATTTCACAGGTGTATTATTGCTTCATGTTATTTGGAAGTGTTTTATTGATGATTACTTTTTTAATTAAATCCTCTGGACAAATATGTGGCTTTTTTTTATATTGCACCAATTGTTTTTCTACTAGGTACTTCGTTTTTATAACTTAAACCATGTGAAACTGAGCACATGGAGATCATTTCTTACCTGTACAGTAATATCTATTATCACTAGCTGCTGCTACACTTCACACTGCCTTTTTCATTCAAATATTGGAGCTAAGACTTAAATTGGACATGTTGGCTTCAAGTTAAGGCCAAACCAGCTGAAACTACTTTCTATTTATGCTTAATGTTACCAAAATGTGTCCATTTGTCATTCAGATAAATCAAAGTTTTCATCTGGGAACAGGTTAAGACTTCATCCATCAATCCATTTCTGGGTCAGGGGGGTGGCAATCAGAGATGCCACCCAAGTCTCAGAGCACCAGCCCCTCACTGACCCTCTGCAGGTGGTGAGTCCACAGGAGGGCGGCTGCTCTCTGAGTGTGAGCATAGCCTTGATCTTTCAGTGGGGGCTTTGGGCAAAGTGGGGTTAAGTGTCTTGCCCAAGGACACAACAACAGCAGTCATCAGTGCGAGTCGGTGTAGAGGTGGGAATTGAACCCACAACCTTCAGGCCTGAAGGCTCTACCAACTGAGCTACTGTCGCCCAGGTTAAGACTTCAATAATTTATAATCCACACACTTTTAATCTTATGTTAATAAAAACTTTCAAACTCTTGATACAAAAATATTCTATACCTATTTTGATACTATCGCAATGCTCTTTTTAGACAATTACAATTTCTAACTCAGTATTATATGGGGCCATAAAGGTTTATATTGTGTATTTTGGCATTTCTGCTGTACTTTATCAATACTTGCCTCAACTTTGGCTTCGTACTTGACATTGATACCACTACTTTAAAGAGTACTTGAGTGATGTTTCTTCAAGTATAGTAGCGTCAGCTTTGTTAGTATCTGGGTTATGAACAGTGAAACATTGCCACAATTGAAATGTCTTAATTTGTTGAATGCAATCGGGAACTGAAAATAGGGCTGTAATAATAGACTATGAATTAATTGTCGACAAATATTAGTAAGCTGTTAACATAGACTGAGGAATTGTTATTGTTTCAGCTAATTTCTTTGGCTGCAGAAACATTTTCAAAGTACTTTTAATCCAAACAACCCTCTCCAGGGGCATCACTTGAGCCGTGCTCTGGTTAATTGTATGAAAAGTCCCATCTTCACAGACTTAAACAAATTATTAAATGGAAGAATAATCATCCAACTACCAAAACAATGGTTACTGAAAGTCATGTGGAATATATGACAAACGAGATGGAGTCCAGAGTTGAAACATGGCGCTGGTGCTTTATTTAAAGGGATGTGGAGAAGGTATGGTCGCTGAAAGCCACTACATGGATTGCAATATTTTTCCCATTTTTTTTGAAATATCCAGCAACTTCACAGCTTTTACTCTCCCTTGATTACAAAACAAAAAGAAAAACACAGAAACTACCATCGAGGAGAGATTTATATAAGCACTAGAAATGTGTTTCAAAGTATTAGTGTTACTTCTCGGTAATATAACAAAGAATATAATATAGCTTAAAGATGCATGTGTGATCCTCCACAGCCTTAGCATGCCTTATATCAGTGCAGTTATAAACCAAATATAGTTTACCTGAATCCCAAAGACGCTCTCAAGGCGCGTCCACACACTAAAGTGAAGTCTGGTTCACTTCAGGCTCATAATGCTTCATTTGTGGTTTTAAAATCTTTTTCTGTTCAGCACTTTGAGTTTCCTTGTGTATGAAATGTGCTATGCAGATAAACTTGCCTGGCAACTGGCCACAAATACTCCAACAAGCTTCATCTCAACTTCAGAGTGTCTTAAACTTGTAACAAGTGAGTAACATTGAGAGAATTGTATTTAGTAAAAAACACATCTTTTGCTTGTCCCTTTTGCAAATGTTTGAGAATAGTAACATGCATTTAGCTTAGCATTTTTGTTGGTCTTAATGCTTGTCATATTGTTACAGTGCAGGAAATCACACTGCACGACTCCAGAACATTTTCTCTGGAGCGCCAAAACAGGTCCCTAATTTACTTAGAAATAGAAAAGAGAATAATTATTTTAATATTCTTATGTCCAAGTGTCAGAGCTCCACCATTTGTCTGAAAAAAACTCTAGCTCTGTGACTTAATGAGGACCTTTGCATTTGTTCCTGAAGTGAACCAAATCCAGTTCGACCAGCGAGTGTGAACGCTCCCTCAGTTACAGACGCACAACAGACCTGGATACAGAACTGTTCACTCACATCATATTGTACAACACAGAGGTAAGATGATCCGACCTGAAGAGACACGAGGTCCACACGGCAGAGGACGGGCTGGCGGCACTGGGCAGGGACCTCACGATTACTACTACCCCGGTGTGACATCTTTAGAGGCAAAATCCACAGAGAGAGCACAGAGAGAGACCAGAGACAGAGAGACCAGAGAGAGAGAGACCAGAGACAGAGAGACCAGAGAGAGAGAGACCAGAGAGAGACCAGAGAGAGACCAGAGCAGGACCAGAGACAGAGAGACCAGAGAGAGATCCCAGAGAGAAAAACCCAAGAGAGACCAGAGAGAGAAACCAGAGACAAAGACCAGAGATCAAAGCCAAATGACCACAAATAGAGCGATGGAAAATATTTACATGAAAATTTAAATTTCCTCCAATGATTTTGAATAACCGTCAAATCGTTGCTTTTCTCTCACAATAATCGTCACTCCAGAATATGAAATCGTGACGTCCCCAACCGTGCCTGTGCCAAAGCCTCGTCCCAGCGGCGTGAAAACATTCTGAAGTACTGAAATGTATTGCTACACAGCGTTACTCCATGGAGTATACCATAAACTTTTATAATACATCATTTATAAACAAGAGTCAGGAAATGTGGAGGGATTCTTCAGCTGCATGGAGCACATTATGATCACTCAGACTGACAGCGATGCACCGTAGGGTTTCAAAGAATTACCAGAATTGTTCAAAGTCTCAACAACAGTTTGTCCAGAGTGCATATTTAAAACCCTTCGAATTTCACCAGCACAAGTCAAAACCTTTTTTATTATTATAATTTTTTAAACAGTGCACAAAGCTACTCTCCCAGTGCAGGGGCGGCCATTTGCTTTGGTCCGTACACATGTCGTTTTGCCTGGAATGTTTTATACTAGTGTAAATAAAGTTCATCTAATCTTATCTTAATATGGTCTTTAGCTGTGTGCAAAAAAAATAAAATAAATAAAGAATTGATTTTCAGATAAATATTGTAATTTATTAATAGATTAGCTATAGCCATAATTTGTATTTATTAGGTAATATTTATGTTTTATGTTTAAAATGTATTAAATATATTGCGTACAGAAGCATGGCAATCTTCAAAACAATATTAAATTGTTTTTTTGTTGAATGACGGCCGAGGAAATGCTAAAACTAAACTATTAAATTAAACATAAATGCACAAATGATGTTGTATTTTTGTTCAAATGGGGCCTAGAGAAGGGGCAAAAATCTGTTAATTATAATAATATTGAACCTCAATGAAAGAAATTAAGTTGAATCGTATTGAATTGAAAGTTACCTGTAACCTCTGGGCACTTATGGATGAAACCGTCACTGTTAAATATCTATTGTGTGTATTAAGATTTTAGACTTTTTTATGTCTGTCTTTAAATCTATTTTTTTTACTTTGTGACATTTTCAACCAAATACCAAAGCAAACTCAAGATTGTGCCTTCCTGTTACTTATAATGACTATAGAAAATAATGTTGATTCTGATAAAAAAAAGTTCAGATTTTTAAGTCATAATTAAATAATGTTATTAATAAAACTTGGCACATTCCAAGCAAAGCGAAAGCATCTCCACGACGACAAGCGGAAAGCGGACCCCATCAGCAAAGTAGCGCATTGGACCTTCAAAAGATACACGACGTTTTACAGCAAAATTCAATTAAACGTAAGGCTCTCGCAGACTAAAAGTACAGAAAAGCCTCATCAAGCTGCCTTAAGTTTACACAAAATGCCCCGACGCGCCTCCACGCACCCGCACGCCCCGCTGCTTTTCTTATTCTTAAGCGAGATGACGTATTTACAGAGGGTCAGTGCAATCTCCAAGTGAGAATTCAAATACCGCAGTCCGATACCCGATACTTACATTTGATATAGTTATTATTACAAGAGAGGGGAGTGGAAAAGTCCCGCGGCTGCTGCTCTGTGGGTTGCAAGTACGATGGAAAAAGCGAGCACTCTTTTTGACGGCGATTACATGGCACAGTCTTTTGCATTGACTTTTGCTTTTCGGGGGAATCCATCGGAAATGAGATGCGACCGACCGCTGCCCCCAGTTCCCTTTGAAACACACATATATCGATACAGGGACAGGAGGGAAAAACAGCGAACGCGGTTGGATTTTTCCCCGGTTCAGAAAACAGGTCAGAGATCGGGGAAGCGACAGGGGTCCTCCTTGTACTCCGCGGGGATGACGAAGATCGACTCGTCGAAATCGTCGTAGCGGAACTCCTGGAAAGTGACGGTGGCGGTGATGGTGGGGAAGACGGGGATATCTGAAACGGAGAAGAGATTTATGTGAAAACCTAATAATATATATAATGGTTTTATAACAGGATGACAATAAGAAAGATGAGCTCGACATAAAAGATGAAGGAAATGTGCTACAGTTTTAAATAACACACAGAGAAACTGTTGCATTCATATTTGTCTGGTGGATTTATATATTTATCTGGATCACCAACAAAACAAGTATTTGTGCCGTAAAATTCTGTCAAAACCCACCATAACTTTTGTCTTGTTTTGTTGCAGACAGACAGACCCTGGTGAATACATAACCCCTGGTGGAGGTAATAATGCCAAAAGGAGAGGATTAAAAGTAGAGTTTTACCAAGTTTGACTGGAAACCCAGGAGGAAGCTTCATCTGGACGAATTCTCTGAGTTTGTTGAAATGCTTGAACGGAGCAATGACTTCCAACACGTTCAGTAACCTGAGGAAGACAAGAACAATAAATAATGTTTGTACAGTGACATTATACTGCGACAGCTCCAGTTAGAGATCAGTGTTGGAAGATTCAGTTGTAGCACTGCTCATTTCATTTAAAAAAAAGTTATTATTTTATCTTTGAAAAACCTAAACCATAAGTCGTCTAAAAACTGCACACTCTGTAATCAAGACCTCATCAAATATGTTGTGACCATAGACTGTAAATATTAACGGACAAATTCATGCCTATCTCCATCGTTCTAACTAATGGGCCAAAAAAACGCATCTGCGCATGCGTCAGCCGGCACGAGCCCCATTCATTTAAACGAGTGACTTCAAAAATTCACAGCGACTAAACTAGACTGGTCCAAAAAAATTCACCCCCTCAGCCTTGACAAACATGTGGAACGGAGCTTTGGGCCAAGAGCCGACTTTTGGACCATCCTGTAAAGATGTTTTCGAGTGGTCTGTTATGTTAGCATTGGCTAATTCTTTTTCCGGATCCAACCCCATTGGCCCGGGGTGGTATATCAAGCATGTCAGCGCACGTCATTTTGGTCACTTTTGCACCAGGACTCGCCCCTACTGGTTGTGAAAGACATGTTATTCTGCATAAGTTTTCCAGTTCATCATTTAAAAAACCCATAGAGACATCAACACTGAGAAAGAAGAAATCCAAACCTTTCTTTCTCTGATGTGAGGTCTTCCCAGTTGTCTCTAAGAGCATGACCCTGAACATGTTCAAAATGTGCACCTCTATTCATTCTACCACATAATAGATAAATCCTAAATCCTTCAGCCTGAGATGTTTGTGACAACAATCTCCAAGACAGATGTAGTATCAATACTCGTGGCCATTTACTAAAGTGGAATGTAACATTGTAGGAGTAAAACGTTTTGGGGGATGTTATGTTAAAAAAAAGAAAAAAAAATGCAGAAGGGAGAAAAATGACATTAGAAAGCCATTAAGCATGTTAAGGACGGGCGTGTGGCGCCGGAGCGCATTTGTTCAGAGCAAGAGATAAAACTCTTTAACTGCATCACGTCAACCTCATATTTTACAGCATCTGCCTCTGAACGTGACAGACGTTTCATCAAACCACCTCCACGCACTCTACACACTCTAGTTTCTGAATTTGGAATCAGAGAAACTATGTGAAACAAAGTAATAATCAAAGAGCGTCGTCCAGTGGTCATTATCATGTTTGAAACTGTTTCTGAAGGTGGAAACTCAAACATTATACAGTATGTTTAACTGCATCATTTCTAAGCCCTATTCCCACTGGTCCACACTGGTGCCTACATGATAAGTTTAAGATTAATTCATTTATTGGTCCCACAGTGGGGAAATGTCAGTGTTGCATCACCAATTACAGAAAAGTAGGAATGAGTATTAGAGAATTAAGCTAACTTTAGCATAATAAGGAAGCAAGTCTAAAATCTCAAACTAAATGTAATTCTATCCATTCTATCCGTGTAATATTTTAGGAATAACTAATATCATGGTGTATTGAAGTGCCGTTGCTCAGACATTCCTCCTTTTACTGTTTCCACATGTCCACAGTTCAGTGACACCGGGAGAGGCAAAACTATACAACCATTCTCAATCCAGAACTAATCTAATCTGATCCCTAATGTTCTGTGGATGCCATTGATTACAATCCTTACTAAGAGTTCTGATACTGTATGTAACTTCCACTTAGACCTAACTAGTTATAATGTTGTGTAAACGGTACAAAGTAGGTCAATCACCTAAAACTGAGAACTAAATGCAGTTAAAATAATGGCTGCGGTGGCGAAATGTGACTTATAATATGCATTTTTAAACTGAGTTCTTTGAGAAGTTTCTGCCTACAGTGGAGCTCCGTCGCCGTGTGCACCAACAGAAGCCCACAGACGCCAGCTGTGGGACAGTCGGGGCTTTCATCTCGAGTTTAAAAACAGAGCACAAGTTCAAGTTTACTGCTGTAACCCAAACGATGTGAGATAAGTGGGCTGTACTTACGACTCGATGCCCAGAGGGAAATCTTGGCTCATGGCCACCGTGGCTTTGAAGTTCTTCTTGCTCTCCTTGCACACGAGCTCTCTCCCCAGATGAGGAGGCCTGGAGGAGGAGACGCACAAGTGAAGATGGGGCCTTTCCATAATAGATGAACTTCACAGACTGCTTTTTGTACTTCCACAGCTAAGCACAATATCTCACCATTTTATCATCGATGGAGACTTTTACTGCATCACATTCATGTTACAGTCTTTGTCAGATTACGTGCATTTCCAGGTTTAGTCCTGGTTCAGACGATAATAAAGCCAGGGAATCCAATTTTAAAACTCAAATCAAAGAGGTAAACAACCCCCGCTTATCTAATTAGCAACATGTGCAACAGGATGACGATGGAACAATAGTGGCCTTATTGGTTTTGCTCTTTCTGTGAGGTAAAATAGAAAACAAGAAAAGGATTGGAGTGTCGACTTGAATAAATACCAATCAGAGGTAGAGCTGGGTTTAGTTTTTGAGTTTCCTCGAAATGGAAGAATCATAATTAGGTTTTAACCAGTTTAGGTCGAAGTGAACGTCTGCAAGTTCTTGAGTAAAACAAAAATAAAATATATTGATTCTATTGCAAACCAGAGTGTTATCGTAAGAGAAACACTTTCAGGAGATAACCTTTCAAACTGTTCTTGACACCGTCCTAATAACCCAGCGATACATACTTTCCATGTTCCGCTGTGATGTACTCCTCCCAGGAAATGGTGTTTGGAGCCGGAGTGCTGAGGGACTGTCTTTTCACAGCCTGAGGGAGAGACAGTCATTACTTTTATATACATTGCCAAAACGATGTCACAAAGACGTTCAAGAGATGTTATATATTGGAAACTTTTCACTGCATCATCTAACCATGCAACCATCTAATGTGATGGTTTTGGTAATACATTTGGGATACCATAAGAATTTTCTAAAAACTAAACATTGGAGATCTCCTGGTCCACCAAGAATGACTTTATTCGTCCCACAGTGGGGAAATTTCAGCAGTTCACCAGTTACAGAGCAGTAGGAATGAGGAGCACATAATAGCTTTGTACTAAAATAATAATAATAAAAACAATCTAACTAAGAAGCAAGAGTTACGCGTTTTTTTAAGCATTGTGGGAAAACATCCCTAAACCCTAAAAGAAGTCAAGTTATCATGTGTTTTCAAAAAGTAATGGAATTGACCAGATGCCTATAGTCTCCAAAAATTAATAAAACATTTTTTGGAGCGGACCAATAAAATAAACCAATGGAATTTGTTCATCCCAACGAACCAATGGGATGTGTTTACCCTTCATCACCCGAGTTATTGGATTTTCTAAAACCTATATTGGCTGTACAGAAAATGCCAATTTCACGTTTGCCACCCACTCTCCCTGTTGTGACAAAGAAAAGATATGCTGGTTGTTTGGTTTGGTGGAGAGGGGATGCGGGGAGTGGTTTCGAGTTATTGCTACGGCTAAGCTAACAAAATCGCCTACTGCACATTTAAGTATAAAATCAGTCATTCGGTATTAAAACCACTGAATTACCATGCATTACAGTGTTGTGTTGTCACCTCAAAGTTGTGCTCCCCGATGCTGCCGCCTTTGCTCAGACTCTCCATGATGGCCTTGTTCCTCAGGATGTCCTCCTCGCTCAGGTGCTCGCGCCGCTTCCTGGACTCCAGCACCAGGCCGTTGACCGCGTAGAAGTCGGCCAAGAAGTTCCCTACGCGCTCCTGCCGCAGACAAAACACACGCCAGGCTTTCATCAAGGACCAGTATTCCCAAAGCTACTTCTGATGCAAAAATAAAAACATCTGTAAATGTGTCAGAGGGAGGCTCCGGGCGCACGCCGCAAAAACACACTATTTTCCCTCATATTTACAACCCGAGAAGACAATCAAGAGTTTTCTCAGAGGAGATGCACCCTGTGTGGAGAATGCCCCCTGGTGAGTCTTTCTTCTGTTCTGTAATAATTGCAGAATCTACACAACCATCACTGACTTGGGGTTTTTGCACTACAATTTATGCACAGTGGGAAGCACAAAATAATAACTATAAAAGATTTAAACTGGTTGACATCGTCAGGCTGAATACAGAAATATTTGTTTTTTACATACAGGAGGATTCTTCAAGTCTGGCTCCTATTTACTTTGATTGGCAAAAACAATGTCTTTTTCCTTATTGCGTAGTCTTCTAAACTTCTTTTGAAAACTAAAGAAAGGCTACAGGGATGGGATTTTTTTTCTTCTTCTTAATTTTACGCGCCTAAAAACATATGTTTACCTATATGTCATATGGACGCTCTGTAATTTGTTTGTGGTTTGCATTCTGTGTTTTTATCTATAACTTAACAAAAATCTTACAGAAATGAAAAATTACATACTTTACAACATGTATCTTAAATCTGTGCTTATACAATGGTTGATGTTGACAACAATGATACATTAGGTCATTTGTGTCTTTCATACCAGACACACCTGGTATAGAAGAAACAAATAATATGATCCACTAAAACTAGATGAAGACAAGACAAGATCGATGAAACACCGCCATCTGGTGGTAGAAGGAAAGAACATTCAGAGATCCTATTATCCACGGCACATGTTTATCCATTTTATTTAAATTTCATTATTTTACATTTTAAAACATGCCTAGACAGAGAGCATCAAGATCAATTTTTAAGGGCCAAAAATAATGCTTCTTCTAATTGTCTAATAGTTGCAGCTGGATTCTGCAGTTCTCCATCAAAAACAACACAATCTAACATCACATATTTTCCCTCGAAACATACAATTGAATTAAAGAGTTTTTGTCTTCATGATTTATGAAAACCTTCACTGTGATAACATGTGTAACATAAAATAAATGAGGCACATTAATCTAATTTAAATGGTTTCCTGAATTTCAGACGAACCATCGAGTTTATTTACCCAAACATGGAGTTTTAATGTTCCCTGACCATTTACAAGACTTCCTGGAACAATTAAACGGCCATTACTGCCGTAGCAAAATCCTGCTGCTGCGTAATACGTTTTATGACTTACACCTGGGATTTTTAAGTGAATACGGCCGGGGTAATAACGATTAGCTTTAAACGGAGGCTGACGATGGATAATAATTCAGCAGAGGCCACCCATTAAGAAGAGAGGCCTGGACCGGCGGCATGTTTGTTTGTGTGTTTCCTACTGTTTTGTCCTCTCTGAAGAGCCATCCGATCTGACTGCGAGAGAACGTGATGGACTTTGTGGACAGGGTGGCGGAGTAGACGTCGCTGCTCATGAGGATGTCCACCTCCTCCTCGGTCTCCATCTCGGACTCCTAAAGGGCAGACGAGAGTTTGTCGTTAGCAGTCGGTGTGAATGTGAAACGATGCTAGGGCTGTTCCAAAACGGAGAAATTGAACAGACATGTGCATTACAAAAGAGACACTAATACTGGGACTGAAGAGGACTTGTTCTTTCCCTTAAACCTCTCTTCATTCACATTTTGCCAAAATATGCAGAACAAAAATCATGTAATAAGTTAAAGGTGTTACACAACTTTGAAACTACAAACAATTTGACTCTAAATAAGGACATGAACAATAATAAAAGTGGAAAAAACATATAAATCAATAATTAAAACTTAATTGACAGAACTAAAAAAACAGTATGAAGGAGGAGTACTGAAGTCCATCTTTGATATGTTTTCTTTTAAATTGAACAGGTTTAAGAAAGCAACATAAGATTTTTGTTTGCTTTCTGGTCCTTTTCATTTGCGTGCCAGGACTAAAATCATTTGATATGTAATTGTAATATGTACTGAACTGTGCACAATTGAAATAAATAAACAGTTTGGTTCTATCACAAACCCATGTATTATTATTATTCCCCTGTCACAGCTTTAGCATCTGCCCGTCTCAAATGTCATATATAATGATTAAAACAAACAAATTGTATAAAAGAATTTACTTTAGAGCAGACCTCGTGGTGTATTCTTTGGTAAACTTTGGCCTCGTTATCCAGAACCACAAAGGACCGAGACGGAGCAGCGTCGCCGTCAAAGATGAAGCTGAGATCTCCTCGTTGACATTTCATATCGTTGAAGTCTATGAGGGTGGTGTCCAGTCTAAACCGCAGCAGGATTATAATTACAACACAACACAAACGTGAGCAGCTCATTTACATGCACGACTTGAAACACTTGTGACACGACACATATCAAATACAAATCAATTGTTTGAAATTCCATAAAGAACGTCCTTACAGTGTACAATGAAATAATAATAATAATAATAAAAATAATAATTCATCGGTTTTGTATAGTGCTCTTTCAGGACACTCAAGGATGATGTCATTATTCTTTTAATCCATACACGGTGGTGATAAACCATTATTTTAGCCACAGCTGCCCTGGGGCACACTGACAGGAGCGAGGCAATCAGTCTGTGCATCAACCCCTCCGACCACACATCCACACACACACAGTTTGGCACTATACAGCCACAGCCGCCCCACTGTGACAACTGGTGTTCCCAGAGGTCTCCCATCACGGTACTAACCAGGTCATGCCCTACACAGCTTCAGAGGTCTGACAGGATCTGGGTTTTGCATGCAATTATGGCCACAACTAAGGCTAAGTCAGATACACAAGAATTAAAATGCATTTACTCAAACTTGATAAAAAAGTGTTATGTGACATTGAAGGATTTTTATGCACAACTCTTAATCTTTTAGGGGTGACAGTAGCTCAGTTGGTAGAGCATTGGCCTTTGGGCCTGGAGGTCGTGAGTTCGATTCCCACCATGGGACCTACTCCAACTGCTCCCACTGATGACTGCCGTCGTTGTGTCCTTGGGCAAGACACTTAACCCCACGTTGCCTGAAGCCCCCGCTGAAAGATCAAGGCGGTTTCTCAACTGATGGAGCAGCCATCTTCCTGTGGACTCACCCCCTGCAGAAGATCAGCGAGGGACTGGTGCTATGAGCGTTGGGTGGCAGCTCTCATTGCCACCCCCCCCGACCCAGAAATGGACAAATAAAGGGGTTGAAAATGAAATGAAATGAAAAAAACTCTTAATCTTTTGGGATGGAGCCGGCCATCCACATTGTTAATGCTGTATAATCAGCCGTAACTGAGGTCTTTTCATTAATTTATCAGACTATAACAAAGAGCATATTAAAAACACTGTTTCCCTCCAAGGTCAGACCATCAGAATATGATGAATACATAATACGGTTAAATATTTAAAACCCACCTGATATTGGTTCCCTGCTTGTAGATTTTACAAGCGTCAGAAGGCAACATGCGAGACAGCAAAGGCACTAGGACACAGAAAGGACAGTACACATTAGTCATGACGGCAGAGCGTTGGGCATTCTCCTGGAGAAATCTAACAATATTATCGTGTATCATTTATTATGAAACACGTGAAAAACTTACCCCAGCTCTGGAAATCCCAATGCAGTTCCAGGTAAAAGTCTCCGAGCTGCAGAATGAAATGAAGTTTGGTCATTCTAATGCAGTTTTGTAAATCTAATGCCACCATCAGGGGACAACCACACTCACAGTACTCAATATTCTGCCAATAATAACTAAATAATACACAGCCATCTTTTCAAATATCAAATAGAATGGTACATAATAATCTTCACAAAACTTTTACACAAGGGTTTCCATGACTGTGCCTGATATTGACTGGTTTCCATTTTCCAATAAGATAAACTTTATTGATCTCACAATGGAGTCATTTACATGTCACGTTTGGTATAAAAGTATCGACTAGTGAAACATACTTTTTGTTTATTATTGAATTGGCAAGATGCGTTCATTACTAATAATTAAAATCCCAATCCACCGAGTCTACCTATTCAAATTGTCTGGATCCATTAGAATATTTCTTCAATGATTTAAAAGCTATGGGGCTACTCTGTGTCCTATTAAAACACATGTGTATTCAGAGCGTGCGGCGTGTTGGTGCAGTTATGACTCGGACTCATTAGCATACAGGAGCGCAGGAATAATTAAGCTTTAATACGGGAGCAGCAGGGAAGGAAGTGGTCCAAAGTGACGGCCGCTGTGAGCTCACCTCGCGTAAAGCCTTCAGTAATTTGGGCCTTTTATCCTCCACGCTCTCTCTGGACTGCTGCTTGAGCTTCCGCAGGATCGCTGTGACTGCACGAGAGGACGCCACAGGGTTGGAGGTTAAAAACAGAAGTTATTACTTTGAGAATGAAACCGCACTTGTACCATGAGGATATTAAAAGATTAAAAAAGTATTAACGATATTATAGAGTCAGTGGAGATTTTCAGCAGTTTTTTTGTCACACAAACAACAACCGATCAAAAGGTTTTTTTTAGATGGTTGAGTTTCAAGATGTCAACAAAAACATGAAAGTAACTAACCACAAAAGTTCATAAATTTGAATTGCTTGAAATATCATATTTTTTAAATCAGGTACATTTTCATTTATATTAGTTTTGTCTGCATATAATCAAAACATAATCCTTTTTTTCTTTTCTTTTTTTTAAATTGTTTGTTACACACAAGATTAGATGCATTTATAGTTGTTGACAGCAAGTAGTCTGTGTGTGTGTTTTTTTTTTATATATACAACCCCCCCTCCCACTTCCACCCTCCCTCAACATCATCCTTTTCCGATACATCCCTCACTTCTTCAGTAAATATTTTTAAGCTAATCTCCAGGCAGGACATTCAATATAAAGTTCAAAACCACCTTTTTTTTTTTAAATCATATTTTTCATATTCATTCATATATTTTTCTATTATTACCAGATTATAATCTGGGGCAATCAAAACATAATCCAGAAAAGATCCATTTAGGCATCCTTCCAACATTGCCTCATAATCGCCCAGTCATCCAAGAGTGCTCCAATAGCTTCACGACCATTCATTGATTATTTGATTGATTAATGATCTGGGTATTGACAAGAAAAGCCAAAATGTTGCCTTAGAATTTACACAGAAAGAAATGATGGGTAACATCAAAATACACTATTCATCAAATGCACATGTGGACCAATGATTCAGGAAATTGATTAGCTAATAGCAGTCCCCAGTCTGAGTATTTGCCAGCAGAAACAGAGCTAGCCAGGTGCGTGAACAGAAAAACAAAAAGAGCAAAAGGAGTTAGAATGCACAGCTGATTGTGGTGACACCAGGTGAGAAGCGCTGACGAGGCTTTAGCCACTGCTCCCACAGAGAACATCTGCTGAGCCTGTGTGTGGACCGCATTCATTGTACAACCTTGTGATTGTTTACTGGACTTTTTACGGGCTGACCTTCCTGTCCCATCGTGCATCAACCCCGCCGTCCTCCTCCACCCTGTCCCGAAGTGAAGTGACCTTCTCAAATATACACAGGCCAGTCTGTCACCGCAGGAGCAGAAAACAAGCGCTGCATACTAAACAAGATGCGGGTCATTTTGTACAAGCCCACAGTGCAGATAGAAGTGACCTCTGCTCTGTCACCAAATCTGAAATAAGAGACTTGGTTATGTAGGAGACAGGCCTAGATTCCAGCAGCAGACCTAAAGCCATCATAGAGTCCGCCTGCAGCCTTTCACGTGTCATTTGGCTTTTTCTGTGTCAGGTTTAGAAGCTGCGGCATCATTAGGCGAGAGACTGACCCAGGCTGTAAGCTCTGGGCTTCCCACACTAAGCCTCGATTCAGGAACTGTTCCAGACCCATCTGGATGACGAGTGCACACAAAATCCCTACCTCTAGCTTTTGAGCTGCAATAACCATCAAATAGCATTCTCTGCAAATAAATATCCCATAAAAGCAGTAAGCATTGTCCTTTAAAAGTCCTCTCAACCCAATCACACGACTGCTCATGCTTACTCATATTTAGGTGTGATGACTGCTGGAATTCCAAAAACCATCAAGGTCGTCTCTAATAGGCTTTGCACGCCTGCATAAACAATGGGCCATTTTAACCTTGATACAAAATATTGGACAAACATTTTGAGTCAAGAAGCAGAATGACCTGGTGGTGTTTTGCAAACAGTGGTGAAGGCCCTGAATCTCCATCTTTAGCAGAATGTACATGTCCTTGATAATGGTAAGTAAATTATATTAATGGATAAAGAAAATAAGAACCTGATCATCATTATTTTCATCACATGTATTACCAACATATAATACATATACTCTTAATTGTAGAAGCTATTATTTGGAAAAAAGAGAAAGAAAAGCGGAAACCCAAAAGTGCCTTAGATCCTTGTCAACAGACCATGACCATGGCCAAAATGTCTTACAGGAATGAAAACCATGGTGCAAGGCATTTCATAAATGTAAACATAATTATTTCTCTAAATAGGAGTGAAGCGGCACTCACTCATTTGTCTGTCTCCGTAGCTGATGGCTTCTGCCAGAGGACTCCATCCTTGAGCATTTTTCACTTTGACAGGTGCATTGTGGGCCAGGAGCAGGAGAGCACATTCTGAAAACACAATTACCACTTAATTTAATGAAGAGACACTACAAATACTAATAGTTTTACTTCTTGATCCATAATGTATTCCTTTATAACATTTATAACATATATATGTTATAAAATGTTGTGACGGAACACCATATTGATCGACAAGATAGTATAACCAATTTTACCTTTGTGTCCAAGCATCACGGCCAGGTGAAGAGGTGTGTTTCCTGAAAAAAGGAAGAGTCACATCAGTTTAGACTTAGGTCAGCGTCATTATAACTTATCTTGATAATATGCTAAACTCAACGGATATTTGTCAGAATTATTTAACTCAACAGAGATTTAACCTAGATCAATATTTAAATGGGTTAAACACATTTGGAGCCTTTAAAAAGTCCCAAAATATTAAGTATTAAACTGAACGGTACAAATGCTCCAAAAAAAAATTCTACTCATTTCAAGCACCATTTTCATTATAATTCTTTCTACACATAAATGCTGTTTCACTATATACTGGTAAAATAAGATGGTTTATTGCCTGATATTAACCCGAAACTTCAGTGCTTGGCAAAAACCATTGAATTGGCAAAAACATTTCCAGAAAGTCTAAGCTAAAGTATAGAGATCTGTATCAATACAATGATCAAAACTTAACTGGAGCACAAAAATATCAGTGCTGTAAGTCTTCAGCCGTTTAGTTGCTCAATTGGTTGATGATTTCTTAGTCAACCAAAATTGTCATCAAATTATGTATGTAAAGAATAGAGATTTTGATGGTAAAAATTACAGATATCAAAGGCCACAGAGAAAATTAGCTAAAGATTTGAAATGTTTACTGTGAAAAGAGCCAAATCAAACACTGTAATTTAATGCTAAAAAACTATTAGGGTTAGCCATGTCACCTCATTGATCCACCAGGCCTTTAGTCATATATTATTATGGTATACTATCACCAAGAGCCTTTGATGAAAGTCTATGGTTTCTGTCTAAAACCACAAGTAATAAAACATGTACAACCCATATGCACTGACCATGCACATCTTTCTGCAGGATGCCATGGCTCCGGATGAGAGAGGACAGGCGGCGGACATCTCCTCTGAACACACACTCGTGGACGGGGAAGTCTACACTTTCACTGGTCAAGATGATGGGGTTTTTGTTATTATCGTTCACCACTGTCCCCACCGACGCAGAGTTCCCATTGATGTTGTTTTCATTGAGTTGCTGCTGTTGTTGCAGAGCCGAGGCTTTGTAGGACTTCTGAAACAGCTTGTTGGACTTGTAATGGTTACTCGTACCATTGGGAATTGGCGCATCATCGTTCGTGTCCATAATCTCTTCATTTTTGTTCGTTTTGTTGTGGTCCTTTCGCGTAGTGCGGATCTTCTCACCTGTCATAATGAATACTAAATCTATTCAACGCTACAGCTAACTACAATAAGCCTAAGGGATATTTTGCTAGTGTTTTGGTCAACAATGTGGATGTCAGTAACAATAACAACGTAAACACATATATCGTGTATATAATATAACAATAAACCCGCTTAAGTCTGCATCAATACCAACATTATCATTAGCATCAGTTAGCTACCTAGCCCACAACAACATCTACTATGGTGGGTGCGGTGATGTAAAAAGAAATACATGAAACAGAACACGGACACAAACTAAATGAACACATCGGTAAAATAAGGATGAAAGGTCGCTACATTGTTTTAGGGTTGAAGTCCTCTTCGTCGGGTAATAGAGAAAAGCGGTATCGTTTCTCTTCGCTTTGCGGCAAATTTCATCCAGCCTGCCCAATCCGCACCGCTGCCCTATCTGCCTCAAATCGGACTGTGCGCATGCGCGTAGCTTTCATGTTTTCGCCCCTCAAATAAAATTGCTAACCTATATTATTCTTCATTGTTAGCAAGGGTAGCAACAATGTATTCTCCACATAGTAGTATTTTACCATCATGTTACGGAGAATACTGAGAGTGGGGGAAGGGAAGTAACCAAAATATATCCAAAGTGTGTTGGGGTAAAATAAAAATAAAACTCAAACACATTTTGCCACAATAAACATGATTATTACATTCAACGTTTATAATAAAAGCATTAAATAAAACAACACAAACACCATTGTTTATATGCTGAAATTATTCTTAATAATATCAAACGAGTGGATTCAAATCGGGAGGCTAACAGACACGCCCCTGATAGTTACTGTCCTCAAACCTCGCGAGATTAATCAAAAGCGAGAGTTGACGCCTGCGTGTCATCTTCATGGGACGAAAACCTGATTTTAGCGGCAGTGGTTAGCTCTTCAAAACATAATATAAACTAAATAATGGCCCCGCCTAAGAAAGGGAAGAAAGTGGTGAATCAAGAAGAGCTGCGGCGATTGATGCGAGAGAAGCAGCGACAGTCGTCCGAAAAGAAGCGAGTGGAGTCTCCTTTTGCCAAATACAACAGCCTCGGCCATCTGAGCTGCGTCCTGTGCAATATACAAGTCAAGTCTGATCTGCTTTGGACAACACATGTGCTCGGTAAACAACATAAAGAGAAGGTTGCAGAGGTGAAAGGGGGGAAAGAGTTGCCCCAGAGTCAAGCTGTGAAGAGGAAAACTGCGGAAGCGGACGAAGTTTGCTTTAAAAAGCCAAGACCGATTCTAAACGCGAATCAATCCACGTCTGGATTGCCTGCAGGCTTCTTCGAGAAATCGGGCGCTCCCCCAAAAGCTGCCAACTTGTTAGCTGGAGCATATGACGATGATGATGAAGACGAGGAAGATGACGAGAAACCCAAACCCACAAATGCATCTACTGGTCAAAGTGGTAGCGCAGAGGCTTCTGGGATCCCCGCTGATTTCTTTGACAACTCGATCCCCTCCGTCCCAGCAATTTCTCACTCTGGATCCATCCAAAAAGCAGAGACTCCAGAGAAGGAAAAGCCAGAAAAGGATAAAGCTGCAGAGGCTATACCAGAGGGCTTCTTTGACGACCCAGTGACCGACGCCAAGGTGCGTAATGTGGAAGCACCCAAGGATCAAATGGACAAGGAGTGGGAAGAGTTTCAAAAGGAAATGCGACAGGTGAACACCAAATCTGAGGCTATAGTGGCGGAGGAGGATGAAGAGGGACGCCTGGAGCGGCAAATAGATGAAATTGATGAACAGATTGCGTGTTACAGGAGAGTGGAATTGCTCAGGGACAAGCGTGATTTGGCAAAAAGTAAAATGCAGACTAAACACGTGGAGCAGATGGAAACAGATGTCAGTATGGAGGAGGAGATGGAGATGGAGGAAGAGGAGGATGAAGATGAGCTGCTTGGAATTCTATCCCAGGACTGGAGGGCTAAAGGGGCACTGTCATAATACACACCTTGTACTAGTTGTACAATATCTTGGACTGTTCATTAACATCTGCTGTAAATATTTGATATGAATATTGATGAGAACATGTTTCTTTGTAATCTGATCATTTTTAAAAGAATGCCAAAGTGTTGCCATGTGGAATAAATGCATATCTGGTATTGATATACACTGATGTTGAATCATTTGATATCCAAACTATCTCCATGACCCAAAAATGAGGGAAGCCTAAGACAACATTTGTTGGCACTTTATGATAAAACCGGAATATATTGGGATTAAACGCTGAAGCGCAACACAAAGGTAAAAACAATTGTACATACCTTTTTGAACTTTGTATTTATTCATAAGTGATCACACAAAAACATTCATTAAATCTCCATTAGCAGCAAAGACCCAAAGTCAAGGTTGTGACAATTGAATAAGAATTTTAGCTCAAATAACCATTGTCCTGCAAAGTTGAGAGTTATGCATATAAATAGGTGTTTCATGTTATAGGCAACATGCAACGCTTTTTTTAAATACACATTTACCAAATCAACATGGTACTAAAATGAATCAATTACTATGTGATGGTCAGTGCTTTAACTACCTGTTGTCGTGATCTCTGCAGGCAGTTAAAATCTACCACAAGTTAGGAAACGGCTACATTATTAAGAGTTCATTCTGTACGTGTTCATAGCCCTTCATATCTTACACTGATAATAAAAAAATACACCTAATACCTATAGTACACACAAAACACCAAATAAAAAGGTGACTACTTAGAATGATCACAAAGGAGTTGTTTTGGGCTAAAAATAACTGTACAAGGTGGTAGAGTTAGCTACAAACTCAAGTCTCAAATCTAGTAGTCATCAACAAACCTATGTACACCAGGCTATATAAATATTGTCAGTATTGGGGGAATATAACATTGTTTGGGTCACAACATTTGTGATCAGCTAAAACTACGTCACACTCACGTAAAAGTATACAGTACACAAAAAAGTCAAAGAAATATAGGAAAAGAAAAGCAATAATATCAGTGCTATTTAGGACAAACAGAGATCATAATCGTTCACAACACTTACTGTGGTGAATTTAGGAAAAATGACAAGATTATTTAAACAAAAAAACTTGTGGGACGTGATTTCAGAGGATATGCCAGCACCACATCTCCACAGTCCCAATATTCACTTCATCAAAATGCAGCAATTATTAAATAAGGTCCAGTCCAGGCCCTAAACTGAATACTGTCCATTGCATGCGCTGTGGTCTGCGAGCTCACAGACCCAGGGCGGTCTTCAGTTCCAGCAGAGAGTACCTGTAGTCTCTGTCCACGTCAAAACAAGACATTAGTCGAGCACTGGGAATATGAAGTCCAAATATATGCTTCAGGTCCTGGTAGGAGAGCGAACCGGACTGCATCCCTGCGTGCTGGAAGACTTTCTCAAGGTCTAGAAAAAGAGGTAAAATATGTATAAGTATTTGCATTTTCAACAACATTGTTGCTGTGACCTAAAGTGCATTTGCATTTCCTTACTATTGTTAGCTACTTGTATCTATCTATCTATCTATCTAATATTGTGTTAGATTTTGTTGTTGTATATTAGTCACTGTTGTATTTTTGACGCATCAAAATCCAATTAGATAAAAAAAAACACAATCCTATGATTTTCTCCTGGGTTCGTATGCCGGCTGAAGCATAAGTATTCATTTCATATCATGACAAGTGGCAATATTAAGTTGACAGACTATTTATATGTATGACATGGAATATTGTTAATGTCCTTTTTACTGTATGTGTCCCATGTTAAATGCTCTATTCCCACATGAAAATACTGTATGCGTATGAAACTCATTGATCAAAACAAATATCCTCTTGTGCCTATAAACACAAAGGCGTATTAAATGCACACGCCCATCTCGCCCAGCACAAATGGCCTTTCTTTAAATGCTTGTCATAACACACCAATTATTCCTGATGCAATGCAGAGAAATGTGACTCAAAAGCACGTACCATTTAAAGTAATGACACCAGGCAGTGACACCCACTTGAGGCATTCTCTCCGAGCGTCTCTCCGAGCATCTCTCCTGGAGCGCTTTGGCGTGAGGGAGCGAGGATGCCTGCTTGTCTGCTGCTCTGTTGGCACCACTAATGGCAACGAATAAAGACAAATGTTTCAGTACAATGTGTGCAAAACAATAGGGAATAGAGAAATAGTCGCCGACGGTCTGGAAATAGACGTACCCTGCATATTGACATCTTGAAGAGTTGCTTTGGTTGTTGTGGGATCATTCAACTTGTCTGGAGTTTGAGTGATGACTGAAGGCGTGTCCTGTAAAAACAATATTAGTGCAGTTTTTGTGTTTGTTTTTTTAAAGGTATGATTATTTTCCATCAGTGATATTGACGTGTTCTTACAGCCGGCTTTGGTGTATGGTTGGAGTCGGACCGGTTTTCCACTGAAGACAGTCTGTGGGAAAGATCTGCCACTGTTGAAAGCAGCAGGTGGATTTGTTCATCAGTCCATGTGTGGTGCAGCTCCTCTGTCTTGTTCACGCCACTTAGACTCTTCTTTAAATCTGTTAGATCCTATTGACAAAAAAACGCAGGCATATTATGAACAGAAAATACTACTGCTTACTTTGACCTCGTTAGTAATTTAGTAATTAGTACTAATCTAATATTATCTTATTTGTGTGTCATTTGAACATTTCAAGACCTCAATGTAAACAAAGACATTTCCGATGCAGATATCATGTTTCTGATTTTGCTAATTTAACTCGTATTATGAGAATGCTACTGTGTCCAATTAATATCCCTTCTGACTCAATAAAGTTGAAACTATGTGATTCAACAGACAAAAAACGAGGAATGTATTTTCAGCATTTTCAGTTGCCTTGGGTATGAATTGGGCTATACAAATAAACTTGCCTTGCCTATTTTTTGGCATTTCACTCTACATGCATGGAGCCTTTAATGATTTATATGTACATTTTACTTAAATTCTGATTATTTTCGTTGCTTTTAATCCAAAAATACTTGTATACTTTCGGTTTAGGCCCTTTAGTGGGTTACGTAACTTGTTAGATTCATAAATAACGCATGTAGTTTAAATTGTCCCAATAGAAAGAGTCTTGTAAAACTACAGCATATGCTTCATGTTGAAAGAAAGAGCTCTGCGAGTCACCATGGAGACGCTTTGGGCTGAGAGCTGATTGGCTGAGAAAGGGTGGGGTCCTTTCGTTTGAACTTTTCTATCTGAAAAAACTGATCTAAAAACGTGAGGCCAAACAACACATGCATCTAGACACTAGTGATCAAATAGAAACAGATTTATTTAGAGCCCGGAACTAGTTTGATCGATAATATTGCATTGCTCAATGTGTTTGAAAGTTGGGTACCTCAGCTTTATGCAATCCCACATCCCTCTTTACAAGCAACTTCTTCTGAAGAACAATGCTCTCAGAAAACTGGCCTAGTTTTCATGGGAAAAAAAATATTGCAACCAACTAAGCTCCCGAAATAGATTGGCACTTGTTTCATGTATTATAAATGACAAACGAGCGGCTGGATCCCAGCGATGACAGGGCTTTTCTTAAACCTTTGACTCCTTGGCAGCAGAACTGACAAAGGCAGCCAAAGATTCAGGCTTCAGTGGGCAACAAATAAACAACGTTAACATAAAGATGGAACAACTCTTTGACCTGAATTTGTCTCGTAGAGAGAGAATATGGCAAATAAAATCATTACAACAGAGTCTGGATCAGCAATAGACCACTTCAAGTTTTGCAAAGTGGAGCAAATCTATTAACAATTAATCCACCAGACCATAATTTAATCTTTTCATCACCACGCTGCTTCCAACACTTTCATGAATGATAGATTTAAGGCAAAAACAAGCGCAATACTGGTTTACATCATTAAAAGGTAGATATGTAAATAACAGAGACAAGCTGTCAAAATAAATAAGCTAAAGTCAGCCTTGGCTCGTGAAAACCCAACTATCTTTGCTCAAGTGGAAAACAAGAGCTTGAAGCGGGTTTCCAGATTTGAGGGGGAGCAGATCAATGTCTTATGGCGATATCTGTCAACAGCTCATCGTATGAATTATTCAACAACAACAAAATCTCCTATTTTCCTTTTCTGAATCCAGAATATACTTACCATAGTTTTCTTCATCTCGTCATCTGCTTTTTTTTCAGATTCAAGGGCATCTTGCATGGTCTTCACATCATGTTGGACACTGGTGAGGGTGCTCCCGATGGTGGCCACACTCTAAAAGAACAAGGCAATATTGTTTAGGGATTAAAAAACGATTGAGGTTATAATAGTAATGATAAGACGTTTACCTTCTGAAGCTCTTCTACTGTTGTGGGAAGACTGATGAGGTCTGCTGCAGATTTGAGGTTAGCTTTCAAATGATTGACGGCAGAATCCAGTAAACTGATCTGGAGAAGAGACGAGCCATGAAATGCAGTGTATTACTTACAACTACCTTGGGATGAAATATTATACAGCATATCACTAACTTAGCAATAATACCAGCACAAATCCTGCCATGAATCTTCAAACTCTCTGTATATGCATGAATCACTGAACATTTGGGCTGTGTTCGAACTGGATTTCTGACGAACATTGTTATTGTCCAATTTGGTAAAAAACAGTGTAAAGTATGTGAGAAGAAATTACCTCAAGCACATTTGTCACAGATTTCTCACAACCTATACGACATGTTTTTTTCCTAGAATAAATAAAGGACTCACGGCAAAAACGTTAAATGTATACACTGCACTGTCCTGTAAATTCTTGAATTGTAGGCATTCTCAATTCTTGCAAAATTCTTATTAAGAAGTTAGTCAGACCTGAGTTGTGCACATTCAGACATTTTGTTAAATATAATAAAAAAGTAGAATGCAATTAGAAAATTATACCACTCAAAAGAAAATAAAAAAAAGAAGAAAATACTACTACTCAAAAACACAACAAAATATTCCATTGACCAATGTTCAACATATGCTAAATTCAAGAGACATTTTCCCAAATTTATATGATTTTTTGCTCCTCTTGTAACCTTTTTTTTTTTTCAAAGAACTGTTCTTGCCGTTTCGTAAATTGTGACCATGAAAAATGCTTTTTTAATTCAATTGGGATTAGTTGTAAACCATAGTAAACATTCTTAAGTTAAATGTGTGGAAGGCAGTAAAGGTGGATCAGTGTGACTCACAAGTGTGACCATTGTAAATGATGAATGAAGTGTTCATAATACCTTCCTGTTGATTTCTGTAATGTTAGACCAGAGCTTGCCAAGGCCCTTGTCTCCTTTTTCAATCTCATCCAGCTCTCTCTGTTTGTTTTTCAGGTCCTCATTTAGTTTGGGAATTTCACTCGAAGACACCTTTTGGCTGGATTCCACTTCAGAATAGAAAACAAAAAGGGATGAGAATCTGTGCATTCAGGGGAAAGTTCTCTCTTGTTGGTTTGGTTCACTTTAACTGGAACTCACTTGTGGATGTAAACCCACCAAACATGACAACATTTGGCCAGGGCTGGACTGGGACAAAAAAACGGCCCGGGCATTTTTTCCTTCTTAGCGGCCCAGGCAACTCAAAAGGTTCAAGGAGCCATATTTGACAAAAAAACTAAAAACAACATCTGTCTGGAGCCGCAAAAAAGCGTTTTATAAGGCTTATATGAAGGTAACAGGGGCTGAAGCTGTATTAGCTATATTAGCTGTATACATTAGCTATATAGTAAGTAAGTAAGTAAGTAAGTTTTTATTTATATACCGCCTTTTCACTGCAGATCTGAGTCTCAAAGCGGTTTACAATTGTTAATTTTGGGCATTTGTCTCTCACTCCACACAGAGATGGGAGCGGGGTCGCCAGTACAGGAAGCGCATGCCAGAACTATTGGACATATTTTTAGTGGTAGGGGAAACCGGAGCACCCGGAGGAAACCTACGCAGACACGGGGAGAACATGCAAACTCCACTCAGAAAGGCCCTGGTCCGGCCGGGATTCGAACCCAGGACCTTCTTGCTGAGAGGCGAGAGTGCTATCCACTCAGCCATCATTTAGATATTAGCCTAATATCTAAATGACAAAGTAAAGGCTACAGACACATAAAAACCATTCATGATTATCAAATGTGTATTTTCACTGCAGCGTGTCCTGGAGAGAATGACGCACCACATGACAAGTCTGCTTTAAGTTTAACCTTCATGCAATTGTACAAATACAGTAAATAAATCTGCTTTTTGGCTCCGAGTTCACCTGCATCACTGTCTGTTCATATCCATCACGTCACAGGCTGAAGTTTGCTGGAGCTGAATGTCCTTAATGGCCTTTTCTTTCACTGTCTTTGCGAAGGTTTTTGAAGTCTGAAAATAGGTGCTCTGACTTTATGATGTATGACACATGATGTATGTGGAAGCAAATACTGTAGAGGATCAGGATGTCTGCAGTTTCAACAATAAAATAAAGTACAATAGTCTACATTAAACAGAGTAATAAACATGTCCCAGAGTGAGGGAGGTGGGCACAGACAATACTATTGTTTGTTACAGGGATGAGAATTGGTCAAAAACGTCTGAAATGCATAATGTCAGCCATTACCTGGCTCTAAATCTGTTTAATCTGTTCACAACATTTAAAATGTAAAAAAAAATTAGGTACCCGAGCTTTAATTTAGAGGAAAGGGGAGACGCGGACTGTTTCCTGCAGCGGTGTATTTATTGGGTGCACAAATTACGAAAAGACATGCATGGTCCTGTGCGCGTTTATGGTCTTGGGTACATGGGCACGTTGCGGCTACGCGCTCACCGTGTTGTGTTGTGAGCGGTTCCTGCGTCCAGCTCAGAGCCGCTGGATGCGGGAACACTGCGGCCGCTGAGGTGGTAGAATCCCGTTCGAGTACATACAGCAGGTGCCCCGCGGACACGCGCGCTCCCCTCAAACATTTCTCAACGGATTTACACTTTTCACAAACATGTTTTTTGTATGAGGCAGACAGACCGGCCCAAATATGGGCATCGGCCCTTCGGGCATTGCCCGGTACGCCCGATGGCCAGTCCAGCCCTGCATTTGGCCATTTTAGGTGTAGGGTCAGAGAGTGTCTTGTCCGAGTGAGTGTGCATTTGTGTGTGCTTGTGAGAGTGCGCCGGTGTGTGTGTGTGTGTGTTCTTTGCCTGTGTGAGTGTGTGCTGCAGTTTATAATTTCTGTATCCTTATTGTTTTACTTTGGTGCATAAGTTTGAAAAAAAAAAAAACACAAAGTAAGCTAGTCTTTTGAAACAGATCTGTGAAGCTGAGAGTGAGCCAGACTTAGTCCAGTTAAAGTAAACCAGACCACCAGTCCAGATCAGCTTTGACCAATATCTATGACTTCTTCTTACTGTTGTGGAGCTTTTCTTTGAGCGTGTCTAGGTCCTCTTTCAGTGCAATCTGCATCCATATGAGCCCAGCACAGGCCATGACACAAGCAGCGAGGATGATGAAGAGAAACAGGGGGTAGCACACGTTGCAGCACTGCGCATAGCTTCTCCTGTGACAAAACGGAACGAAACGCGGGAACATTAGACATGCTCGATGCACTGCCCTTCCATTATTAATGATGCACATGCAGTATTTTCAGATGGGAATAAAAAAAGCTGACTGATGCGTTATAGTGGTTTAGAACATGAGGCACATACAGTAAAATGGACATTATATATGACATGAGAGCCCATCAACTCTATATTGCAACATGTTATGACGTTAAAATAATACCCATGTTTCATCCAGCATACCAACCAAGGAGAAAATTATAGTGTGTTATGTGTGTTATTGGATTTGGCAGCACAGAACTGAGTCAAATATTGTTACAAGTGTATCAATCATTAATACTTTGTTACTGTATAACATAAGACTTTTGCATTCTCAGCCAGTCAGTTGTTTTAATTATGCTGTTGTGTGGAAATTCTTGAGATACACACACGTACAAGTCCAAGACAAATGTTACAGCTTCAGAGGTGAATTATTATATCATCCGTTATCTTATAGATCCTGTTTGATGTGTGCATAACCTGAGTGCTGTTATTTTGTATTGTAATGTACACAACTACGACATTGAAATTTCCCCACTGAAGAACGAATAAAGGTTTATCCTTTCTTTAATGTCCCTCAGAAAACAATAGTTTATTCTATTCTATTCTATTATTACAACGTTATTACTACAATATTACTCCATTATTCCCCAAGATAACCCCAGCATTACTAGTGCATTATGACTACATGATTACACAGTGAGACTGACGTGCTGAAGCTGGCAGCTCCGTTCATGTGGTTGAACTCGTCGTCTTCAGAGCTGGATTCGGACTGTGATCCCGGAGGCTCGGTTCGGAGGAGTCGGTGTCCTGTGCCCTTTTTGGTTTTCTTCCTCTTGCTCTCCCCAAGTCCAATTAACGCGTTCAACTCCTTCCTTTTCTTCATCTTCTTTTGAGGAGTCAGCGAACCCGCCGATCCCGATTTGAAGCCAACCAGATCCAATGTTTTATCCAGTTTGGTGGATGTTGTCGTCTCTTCCGTGGACGAAGCTAAGCTAGGCTAAAGCTTTAGCCAGACAAGCTAACAGAGACACAACAGTATGTTAGCGGCTGAATCACAGTCTTTGCACAAAACCAACATGCACAATCTACCATATATACCCATTTCTTTGAAGCAGTACTTACCAAAAGTAATCCAGGGTTATATAACTTCAACTTTCCCCCCGCCGGGTAAGCATTCTGTGATGGAAGCTAAGTTAGCTCGCTAGCAGCTGTCATGAAGCTGTCAGCTGACAACGCTGCGGTCCTCTTGCGTTTATTCAGCTGCGATCAAACGTACAAGGGTCTAATCTATGCATTTTGAGAAGGTCATAGAGACAAATAAACGCGTTGCGGTTAAATAATGTGTTAAAACTACAATATGAGTCGGCCTGTGTCCAGCAGGCTTGTGTCTGTATTGTTGGAGACGTCAGAGTAAGCTCACAGCTGATTGGAGGAGAGAGGAGGAGCTGCACAGGACGTCATCTGTCCTACCTACTCTATTTTGGACAAACTCCAAAAATAGAAGCCACAACCACGTAAAGCCACTTTGCAATAATAATTAATCTGCTACTATTCTTCGATTTATATAGTTAGTGACAATAATTAGGTTCAGTTTGAAGCTGAATTCCACCAAATGTAATGCTGCTGTATCTACATTTACTATGAATATTCAACACACAAGTACAGGGCTACACAGCACAGTCGATTACAGGATCTCTTATTTCTTCTTATCCAATAATCACTTGTGAATATTATAGAAAAACTGAAATGTTCAAAACAAGTATGTACAAAGATGTTTTATTTTATTTGTGTTGTATGTGTTATGGAATACACATGTTTTATCTCGATTGACAGGCACAATGGTTAGAGTTCAGACTGGTGGTGCAGCTCTTTTGGTACTGAAGACAAAACTCCAAATCTGTCAGGGGAACAGGAATCTGAAAGTCTGTGGGACTGTGGGACGGTGCCCTGAATGAAAAAAAACAACCATTTGTTTCTAGGAATAAAATATGTTTTTACCCATGCATCACAAATAATTAGCTGCATCCCTCTTCATCTTCACTCTCAGTGGACCTGTGGTGCTATTGAGCAAGTCACTGGACCTGCTTGAGTAGATTACTTGTTGGTCTTTGCCTCTTTTTCACTAAGCTCAAACCCCCTACCAGCTTGCTCCTGCTAAGAAAAATAATGTCTTTTTATGTGCTGGTCCCACACAAATCATGACCATGGTCATAATAATAACTGTTAGTGAAAACCTCTGTGGTGGGCCACTTTACTCAAGCTCTAGGAACTCTGCATGTTTGCAGAGAAGAGAAGAGACTGGCTGTTGGCGCTTTTTCACAAACAGAATAGATTTGTCATGCAATGTCTTTCACATCACAATAAAAGCCCACCCAACCACTCACAATGCTAATATAACAATATCGCCTTATGTAACCAAGCCGTTGTTAATATAATGAAGAATCCCTATAGACATCAGGGTAACAAGCGTATTGTTTGAATGTATTCACCATGAATATGACTGTGTCTCGTAAGCATATAGCAAAACAGAATTCAATCAGCCGTCTGCTTCTGCGAAGAACACCTGGTGGGGGTACATGCACCACGCTGGGGGCATGTGAGGACCCTCTCAGTGTGAGCCCGGAGAATCAAAGTAAACAGGAGCGTTTCATCTCCTCTCTTCTGCCTGCTCACGTTTTCTGTTTTACCCCCTAATCCATGGTTAAGTCTGCAAAAGGATGCCACTTCACCTTTTGCCTCCGTGGCTATGGGCGGGGAGATTGGGGATTGGAGGGGCAGACATAACACTTGTTGGTGTACTTTGTTCACAGCAGGGGTCCCAGCTGCAGCTGCTCAGGGCAGGGCCCATGGGTGCTGATGGAGAATGTAAGCATGTGAACATGGCTGTAATCAGAAGGTAATTGAAGGTGTTGTTTTGGCACCAGGTTTGTGGTGTGATTGTCAATGTGAGCATGTGTGTTGTTCCACTGCCAAATTCTGAATCCAGGCGATGTCTGTGTTTATTTACCTGCGACGTGTGCTGTGATTCAACATTGCACAATTTTTTTTGCAGTTTTGTGAAGAAAAGGCTCTCAGTAAAAAAGCATCATAGCTGCAAAATCACATGGAGCCAAAAGTGAATGCTTCCCAGGTAACATTTGTACTGGATTATGTATTTTAAGATAATAACAAACTTTTAGTATAACAATTATGGAGATATTAGGGTTATAATTAAGGTTAGGGTTATCTTTAATGAATGAATAAAACATATCATTGTATTGCACCGAGAAGGTTCGATCCCCTGGCCTTTGTTGTCATATTTCTCCATATATCTGGATGTATTTCCCCCTGGCTCCAGTTTACCCCATCTATCAATATCATGCACCAGTATGAATCAGCTAAGTGAGTGAATGATTTCAGAGGGGCCAAAGTATTAGTAGCCTCACCTCCATCTGTCTGCCTGAGACTGAGGCTACAAAATGAGGCTTTGGACATTGGCGAAGTGCTAGTCTTGACATCTGCAACAAAGTAACAGATCATCTACTTAATGTACTACATGAAGATCGTGACAGAATGAAAGCAGCAGTGCAAAGTCCAGTTCAGAGCTACTGTTGGTGGATGTGGTTATTGTCCATCAGAGGGGTGCAGAGAGAGGAGGGGGGCAGTGTTTAGAAGTCTTAGCCTGAGGAAACAGGCTGTTGGACAGTCATGATGTTCGGACCTGTGCGGACCTGTGCCTCCTGCCAGAGGGCAGCAGGTGGAACAGATGATGAGCAGAGTGGACCCACAGGATGTTCTGCACCCTCCTCAGGCAGCGTGTGGCGCTTTCACCACCCACTGGAGTGCCTGTGGCTTAGTAGAGCTAGAGAATCACTAAAAATGGCGTAGTTGTAAAAGTTCACCATCGTTTGTCTGGAAATATAGGCGCTCCTAAACGTCCTCAGGTACAGAGTTGGGCCTTCCCTACCTCTGAGACAATATGCATGCCCAGGACAGATCCTCTGCCATAGTCACCCCCAGAAATCTAAAATGGAAAGAGGGGTGTGTTTAAGACCATGGCACCAGATGTTGCACCTCATTCTTGCAATCAGTCTCATTGACAATGGTGATAAGTCGAAAAACTTGACAATGAGGTTGGAGGATGAATAGGCAGTGCACTCATGGGTGTAGAGCAGGACGGCTCAGGCCACACCCCTGGGGGTCCCAGGGTTGATGACAAAGGTGGAGGCTGAAACCAGCCTGATCTCACAATGTTACTGGGAGCCACATGACCGTGAGGCGGGCTGACATCAGCGGCCTCAGGGCACAAATCTGACCACAATGCACTGTTCGCCTTCAGCCGCCTGCAGCCACCTTCAATACTGTGTCTTAAACACGGCCATTAGCAGTTTCAGACTCGGGCCACTTTGTGCCAGTTTGTGGCTTGTGTGTTACACTGCATTGAAACCAATCCCATGGAGACAGAAGATGAGATCTATGGGGAGGCATTCCTTACAATAAGAGGAAAGACATTCATGCCCAAAAACAGGCCCAGGTGGTGTTTTAAGCAACTAAGACAATAAATGCAGTGAATTGGATTGAAAATAAATGCACTTGCATGTTTAAACATGTTTTATAACGTGACTGAATTTGTGTTAAGGGAATGTGACTGCTCTGTTATGACTATAGAAATCACCAATGAATACTTGTGCGTGTGTCTCAGTGTCTGTTGGAGTTATTTATGGCACTTGGGGATATGAAATATTAATCAACCAAACCGTCTCTGATGAAACTGCAAAACGCTCCCAGTAAACAACCCTTTTTTAGCGTTAACTCTGTCTCATTTAGCCATAAGTAGAGAGCTGATGAGCGTAGAGATTTGAAGGCATATTTTCATGAGGCTGCAATGAGACTGTGCTTTTCCACAGCAAATCAGTTAGTCTGTTTTGATTATGCAATGAATATTTATCTAGTTAAATTATTCAGAGCAGTCTTGCTTTATCATATGTTTTTGTAGCTGGAAGTATAAACATATGGCACAGGCTCTGGGTGAGAGTGTGTACTCAGAAAAATCACAACTTTACCAGAGAACCTCAGTTGTTAAGAGTCTTCAAAGAGTCTTCAAAGAAGATTGTCTGAGCTTTAAAATGTAATATAATATGTTCCCCTGTCAAATCTAAAGCTTTATACCTTACTTCATTATTTTAGCTTTTTATCCAAAACACACTAACACATTTTCCCCCAGGGGCAGCCGTCTAGTCAGAGACTCCCAGACTTCCCTATCCACACACAATTATATATACAGTGCCTTGCGAAAGTATTCGGCCCCCTTGAACCTTTCAACATTTCGCCCCATTTCAGGCTTCAACAACAACAACAAGTGGGACACAATCGTGAAGTGGAACAAAATGTATTGGATAATTTAAACTTTTTTAACAAATAAAAAACTGAAAAGTGTATATAGTGTGTGTGTGGATCCAGAGGTGTTCCCAGGCCAGCTGAGTAGTACCTCCAGCGTGTCCAGTGTCTTCCTCAGTCTCCTTCCAATGGGACATGCCCCCAAGGAGCCATCCCAAAGAGCTGCCCGAGCCGCCTCAACTGGCTCAGTTCAATACATGGTTGCTCAGAGGGATGTGATTGTAGAATTATAAAATTATTTAAAACATTTGGGATCCAATGAGGAAATTCTTGGTTAAATCTTAAACAAAATTATGTCAACTGTGTTTTGACACAACAACAAAATTACTATGCAATATAATCCATCATCACTTGATTCTACATGCATGTGTTTTTGGCCTTTGTCACTTGCCAAACCGGTCCTCAAAGGGCCGGTGTGACTGCAACCCAAGCAGGAACACACCAGACTCCAGCCATTTCCTTAGGCGATTTAACCTGAAGAGGTAGTTCAGTGGTAGTTCCGGAGTT